TTATCCTCGGCCAGACGCTCGCTGCCCGCGGGGTGTTAGAATGCCTCTGACGCGGGAATCCGCGCTCACCATGCAAAATCAGATCTTTGCATCAGACATTTTCTACCATTAAAGTTTAGAATGGTGTTGATTGAACGATTAGATGATGTCATCCAGACTTCGTTCGTGTCAAGGAGATCATAAGGAATTATTTCCGCCTGGGATCTTCATCTTTCTAGTTTTCAGTATCTTCTTCGTCAAGGGGTTATTAGATCTTCATCGCTTATTGTGTACGTACCTTGTAGCCTCACTTAGACCCACGGGCTGAGTCGACTTGTCCCAGGTCTGCGGTTATACGCACTAAGGGCTGTGATTGGTTAGAATTTTGATGACCCAGTTGTGTAGGGTAGGTCCCCCAACGGCACAGATCGCTGAATAGATCACTTATTATTCACTCGGCAATGAAAAGTTCTGTTACATTTGTTACATTGACGATAGATATTTTTCGCGCGAAAAGAATCCTTACAGTCCATATGAAAGTGGTGTTGTTAGGTGTTTCAAACGACACCGTTGAAAAATTGCTGCTTCAGTAGTGCTCTTCAGTCTGAGCACAATTAGGCGTAATGACACAAGTGAGGCAGCTATTTTGACATGGAGAAGCGGAGAATCATTCTATCAATATAATGCCATTTTGTAAAAGCTTCAGCTTCTGCAATACTTCGCAATAAAAATCTTGAGGAATTAATATTAGTTGTCCAGCATTGATGCACCAGAATGTTCCCCCGCAACATCGTCACTCCCCGCATTCAATGAATGCCGCTTACTCCGGATCACCAATCAAGCACTGAACAATGACATAATTTAGCTTGACCAGGAAATGATGAGCGCCAAGCTCGGGCCGACTTGGCAGTCTTGAACAAATGCCGTTAGCAATTTGACGACTTTGGAGCTAATTTGCGGGGTTACCAAGATTTTGGCATCGTCTGATTCCCGGTCATTGAGTTCTTGCTTATTTTCATCATGTAGAATACAAGGTCAAATTTTTATTCAAGGTCTTTAAGGCTTTTTTTCCACAGATTTTCCATAAATCGTAGCTTTCATCTGCGACAATACTCTGGTAAAATCTGCTGATTGTTGAGTGCATAGCACCAAATGGTGTAACTGACAAGATGCTTTCTTCAGTACGTCAAGATAAACTCTTAAATTCATCAAGCTCAAAATTCTACAACAACTTATCTTTGTTCTTTTGAACGAATAGAATACTAATTTACTTGATGTAGTATCTTAATTATGTCATTTTGGCACTTCTTTCTTCAACAACGCTGGCAACTAGTACTCACGACCATGACCGCATAAAAAATTGCTATCAACGTCATAGCTCATCAAACCACTCAGCAAAAGCCAGCGAAAACATCTACAAGACCTCATTCCCCGGCGTAACATGGGATAACGACAATTGGCTCCTCAGTACATCCAATCTCGACCAAGGCCACTATCAATCTCGTGGGTCAGTAGCAAACGGCTATCTCGGCATCAACGTCGCCGCCGCCGGCCCATTTTTCGAAATTGACCTCGACGAAGAAGGTGGCGTCATCAACGGCTGGCCACTCTTCTCAAGGCGTCAAACCTTTGCTACTATAGCGGGTTTTTACGATGCACAGCCAAACACAAACGGGACAAACTTTCCATGGCTTTTGCAGTATGGTTATGAGAGTGTCATCAGTGGGGTTCCGCACTGGAGCGGACTAATTCTTGATCTGGGAGATGATGTCTATCTTGATGCGACGGTGGATAATCGGACTGTTCATAACTTTACGTCTACCTATGACTTCAAAGCCGGTGTTTTGGAGTGGTCGTATACATGGAAGCCTAAAGCTCAAAAAGGCTCTTACGAGATCAAGTACCGCCTGTTCGCGCACAAGCTTCACGTCAACCAGGCCATCGTGGATCTGACAGTCGTCCCATCCATCGACTCCGAAGCGACGATTGTGAACGTTATCGATGGATATTCTGCAGTGCGCTCGGACTTCGTCAAGTCAGGCGAGGACGATGACGGCGCCATATTCTCGGCTGTACGACCAATTGGCATCGCCAATGTGACGGCCTACATCTACGCACAAGTCAACGGATCAAAGTCGCTCGATCTATCCCGTCGCAAATTGGTCCATGGAAAGCCATATGTGCACACCAACGAATCATCTATTGCACAAGCTATCCCTGTCAAGTTTTCAGGTGGTGTTCCTGTTCACATCACTAAATTTGTCGGAGCCGCTTCCTCCGACGCCTTCGATGATCCTGAAAAGACTGCGAAAGAGGCTTCACGCAAAGCGATGGAGGAGGGGTACGAAAAGTCTCTTCTTTCGCATGTCAAGGAATGGGAGAGTGTGATGCCGAGTGATTCTGTGGATAGCTACGCCCTTTCCGACAACAACACGCTCCCTGATGATGAGTACATCATCGACTCTTCTATCATCGCCGTCACAAACACATACTACCTCCTCCAAAATACAGTCGGCAAAAATGCACAAAAGGCAGTAGCAGGAGCTCCCGTCAATGTCGACAGTATCTCGGTTGGCGGGCTTACATCCGACTCCTACGCCGGCCTGATCTTCTGGGACGCTGACCTCTTTATGCAACCTGGTCTCACAACATCGCACCCCGAAGCTGCTCAGCGTATAACAAACTATCGCGTGGCCAAGTACGACCAGGCCAAAAAGAACATCGCGACTTCTTTTGCGGGTTCTCAAAACAAGACTAAGTTCTCTGACTCAGCGGCCGTGTATCCGTGGACCAGTGGTCGGTTCGGTAACTGCACTGCTACTGGTCCTTGCTGGGATTACGAGTATCATTTGAATGGGGACATTGGGATTTCTTTAGTGAATCAGTGGGTTACAAGCGGTGATACCGACTTCTTCAAGGAGACACTGCTACCGATTTATGACTCCGTTGCGAACCTCTTTACGGGTTTGCTGAAGCCGAATGGATCATCGTGGACTATCACAAACATGACTGATCCCGTAAGTTCAATCGAGAATTTGTCTTGCTTCCAATGCTGACGCGACATAGGACGAGTATGCGAATCATATCGACGCTGGTGGCTTCACCATGGCACTTGCTTCGGAGACTTTGATCCAGGCCAACAAGATCCGCCGACAGTTTGGAATGACAGAGAACAAGACCCAGGACGAAATAGCCTCTGATGTGCTCTTTATCAGAGAGAACGGTATAACATTGGAGTTCACGACCATGAATGGTAGCGCCATCGTGAAGCAAGCTGACGTGGTGCTCATGAGCTTTCCATTGGGTTACAATGATAACTACACTAACCAGAATGGACTCGACGATTTGGACTATGTAAGTTCTCTGACACAAACTATTTAAGCGTATGTTGACTCTAATGTCCTGGACAGTACGCGAACAAGCAGTCTCCTGATGGACCGGCCATGACATGGGCAATCTACTCCATCGTAGCCGACGAGCTATCACCATCTGGTTGCTCAGCGTATACCTACGCACAATACTCCTATAAGCCTTATACGCGACCTCCGTTCTATCAGCTTTCCGAACAGTTGGTCGACAACGCTACCACCAATGGTGGCACGCATCCTGCATATCCCTTCCTCACTGGCCACGGGGGCGCTAACCAAGTGACTATTTTTGGGTACCTTGGACTGCGACTCATTCCCGATCAAGGCCTTCACGTGAATCCGAACCTACCGCCTCAGATTCCGTATCTAAAGTATCGAACGTTCTACTGGCGCGGGTGGCCTATTTCTGCTTGGTCGAACTACACCCATACTGTTATTTCTAGACATCAGACGACTAAGCCTCTTGACGTTGCGGATTCTCGATATGCCAACAAAAGCATTGCGGTGTATGCCGGGAAACAAGGAGACTCTGCACTCCATCATTTGACATTTGACGAGCCAGTTGTTATCAAGAACAGGCAGATAGGCAGTGTCAACACTGTCCATGGTAATCTCGCCCAGTGTCGACCAGTCAAGTCCTCCAACTCGTACGAGCCAGGACAGTTCCCTCTTGCAGCTGTTGACGGAGCTACGTCGACAAAGTGGCAGCCCTCAAAGGCTGCTGAGATCGGCTCACTGACTGTTTCTCTTGCGAAGAAGGATGTTGGATCTAAGGTCAAGGGCTTCTACTTCGATTGGGCTGATGCACCACCTGTCAACGTCACGGTTCTATTCCACAACAAAACCATTGATGATCCGACAAAGGTCTATGGAAAATCAAGCCATGACTCGGGATATGATGTCGTTGTGTCTATAAAGAAAGTCAAACTCTCGGATGCGTACAACGCAAAGACCGATAATCTGGATGCAGTTGTTATGCCTACGGGAAACACAACTAATGTCACCCTTCCAGAGCCTGTTCCGCTATCTCGGTATGCCACATTGTTGATCGCTGGGAACCAGGCTTTGGATGCGGTTGATATCAAAGCTGGGAATGGTACAGGAGCTACAGTCGCTGAGTGGGCGATCCTGCACTAAAGGTAATTATGCGATGTAAATGATGGTGTATTATAAAAGGTTCGATGGCGGACGTAGCGAAACGAAGGCAAGGTCTTGTTTGAAGAAGGACATTTATGTCATCAGTGCAGAGGTCAGATTCTCGACGCTTCTTACCTTCAATGAGCTTCGGTACTTATGATAATCTAATGTAAACAGTGAAGAGAGCTCGTATGTGATGCTTAAGTCAAAAATTCAGTTCAAAGCGTCATGGCTCGTGAGGACTCGCAGAGACAACGGCCGCTTTGTAAGCGAGGACAAGCCGGTTTTCCAAACCGCTTCCAAGCACCTACGACAGAGGAAGCAACAGAAAACTTGTACCTCTCAAGTCAACCGCTTTTATCGGGCACTGGTGTCAAAGACTGATCACTAGGCAAGCTGGATGAATTCACCAAAGGAATTATTGTAAATTGAGCAAAGAATCGAATACATGGACAAGAGCCTCTTCGCCGGTCCTCATACAGACATGACCGGATCCAGGTACCTGCAGCTAGCCGCTCAAGACTTGCATGTGTCATAAGGCGGGTTAGGCTTATCGCATGCACATGCGCCATTCGGATGCGCCTTGTCGATTTTGCCATTTCCACGGCCCTGATCATGGCAATCCTTGTTGCAAACTTTGTTATTGACAGCACCGTGGCACTCGACCGCGTAGTAGTACTTCCAAGGGTTGGTACCACTCTTGAATCCGCGTTCCTGGCAGTACGCATCCATTGCCTTCTTGTTGGCCAACTACAAAGTGGTCAGATCAATCTTCGTATCGGCGAACGTGTAACTTACGATGCAGTAGCAATGGTGAGTGTCGGTAACCTTCGGAGTCATGTAGTCGTCGCAAGGGAACTGGTCGAACTTGCACGCTGCGTAGGAGTCGCCGCAGGCAGGAGCGTCATTCGGCCCTTGAGAAGAAGGTGTTTGACACTAGAGACCATTAGAATATTCCATCTTGAAGTTGTACTACTAGGCCTTTCTTACCATGGGCCTGGGGCAAGTGCTACCACGGGCACTTAAGCGACTCGGGGGCCAATTGGGATGTTCAAGTTGAGACCTCTGGTCCGCGGACACGAGGCTCGCAGTAGCGAGAGCAGAGATGAGAGTGAGGAGCTTCATGTTGATGATATTGAACCTTGTCGAGTAAGCTTGAGGGACTGACAGACAGCAGATATTCAGAGGATAGTGACTGGTATTTATAGACTGGCCTCTTCGAAAAGGAGTGAAACCTGGGGCAATTTCTAACATAGCGGTAAAAAACGGTAGAGTCTATGGGAAATTAAGAAGTAAATTATACGGAAGAATTATTATGCACTTATGGAATAAGGTTCTTAACTACTGGGGTTGACAAAAACTTTGCATCTGCCGATTGACGTGGACCGGTCCCTCGGTGCCGAAAACCTTAAATATCCTGACAGACATTAACACACCGCTTTGCAGGTTAGTTACTTCGACTTTGCAGGCCACAGCTTAGATTATCTTATGATGATCCTTAGGATGAGGATACTCTAAGTTTAGACTATGCCTAGTCCCATTTTAGAGGTTTCATGTACATTCAACCCGACTGCCGGAATTGCGACAAGAACTTTAAAACACTGGCCATTTTCTGTGCTAATATCCGTGCATTCCGGGTCTTTGACAGGTGGGCACTTGGTTGATTCAGGCTTCCAGGACCAGGATAGTATGTATAAAGGTATCTCGGTAGACGGGGGTCGACTACTGTTGCACGAGTAGCCGCCGAGTTCCGGAATCGCGATATGGTTTAGGTCAAATATGTGCGCAACCCAATGCAATTGGCTGGCCATCCTTAAATGTTCGGACAAGATCCTTTCAGCCATTTGAAGTGCCGTTGTGGCTTCCTTGCATGCCGTGCGCATATAAGTCGGCAGATACTTGAGATATCGCCTCTAAGTCTCCAGTTGATAAATCTCAGAACTTGTCAGGATGCAACGCGGTGTCTTCAAAGTATGTCTGGTATGAGAAGAGACCCAAGCGCGATGTTTGGTTAGTCTTGCCATCTCGAGACATCACTATTTGTTCGCCGGACCAAGTATGTAGTCTTCTGGTCTGGCTCAAGCCCAAGCAAAGCTAGAAGGTTCTATGCCAAGTGCCTAACAGTTATGGATAGCTTACCATGAGGATGCTAGCCTTCTGTCTTGTTGGAACCACTCAATCGCCGTTTAGATGTGACGAAGTTGTCTTAGAGAACTTTTGACTATGCTCACTGGGGTCTTATTTATATAAACTACCAACATCAATACATGTCAACTCCTGGCTTCCTGGACAGCGCTTGCTATCATGCTCAGCCTCATCTCGTGAGACTGTTGCATCATCTTATTTATGTTCAAATATGACCACTTCCTCGTCATCTCCGTTGCCAGCTTCTTGAACAAAGCACTGGTACCACTTATTCCCCAAAGCCTCACGAGCTTTGGTGAATCTTCAGGCCCGAGAATCTTCTGCAGCTCCTCTTCGTGTACCCTCGCATATCCCAACAGCATCGCGGCGAGCCCTGCGGCAATGGGCGTCGCTACCGATGTCCCAGACTTGCAAACATCCGCGCCTTGGTGCTCACTCCTCACCAGAGAGGCTCCGGGCACGTTTAGTCCCAACGTCATGAAGCAGGTCTCTGAATCATAGTCTGGAGGGGGGTTGAAGCGTTGCGGGGTACCATAATCGTCGGTCCCTCGGATGGATAGCACGTTTTTGTTATATGCTGGGAACATCTCGGCCTTATTTCCACCACTATTTGCGGCCGCGGCAAGGAAAATAATGCTTTGGTTGGTTTCTAGTATGGCCTTAAGTATTGCGTTGCTGATAATTGGCTTTCCTTCGATATAAACTTCCTCATCAAATCCGAACGACATGTTAACAATATTGGCGTCGCATTCTTTCCAAGCCCACTCTATCGCCTTTCGAAACGTTAGCTCTGTGATCAAATCTGAGAAGCGAAGAAAGTTTGTTCCTGTTCGGGGTTAACACTTACTTTGGCGATGGTTTCCGTAGCATGTTGTAATTCAGACGTATCTTTGGCCACACGGGCAACAAAAATATCAGCAGCCGGCGCTACTTGCATTAGTACTGACAAGACATGTGTACCATGTCCCTCTTCATCCTTCGGAGTTGCTTGGCCTAATTCCACGAAGTCTTTCCAGCTTTTTAGTCGCCTTCGCCGGTCTCTATTGAAGAAGATAGCGCCTGGATCGTAACCCGTGTCCAAAACTGCGATGCGAATTCTCTTCTCTGCCATATCTGTCTTCTGGAACGCAAAAAGGACATCTCTCGCAACAGGGCTCTCTTTGACCCTGGCTAACCATGCTTCTGCTTCATTCCTATTAGAGATTGTTAGCTTGATATAGCTACAACGCTCAAAGTTAAACACATACCCGAGGGATTTCTGTTTGCCGCAGGCTTCATTGCCGTGAGGCGGATCTGACGGAGATGTATTGTTGAGCAGGGCCACTGATGGAAGCATTGGATTCTTTGGAGCACATCCTTGTTCTTTCAACTGCGCCATTGCGCTCTTTACCCGATTGCCTCGAATATTTCCGAACTCATCAACCCAGCCTGTAGCATGAACCACCTTCTTAAGAGGCACAATGACCTTTCTGAACAAAATGGCACGGCGTTCTTCTATTGTCAGCTCTTCTTCCAGTTCCTCGGGAGACTTGAGGACGCCTGGCATCCGGTTTGGTGTGAACAGGTTTTCGCTTAGGCAGTTCGCAACAACTAGTCGATAATCTTCCAAAGCTTGGATACTTCTCAACCCGATATCGGGTCGCTTCCCACTTCTAATTCCTCTTCGTACCCTGGACGTAGTATCGTTGATTATTCTCTCTAGCGTTGGAGGCTCAGCTGGGCTGGTTCGGATGGCTGGGGTCGTGCCACGTCTCCCCCATCCAAGATCGTAAAGTATGGCGCCAAGTGCGAGAACCCGAGGATATCGGTGGAGGAATTGGCCCAGTGGTAACCGCTCTACTGAGTCCGGTTCCGCTGGTCCCGCGAAGGAGAAGGTATAGTAAGGTGCCCAATGTATCCCTGCCACATCTTCGTCTTCATCGTCGTCGCCCCTCTCACGAAAGAGCTGAATTGTTTCTGTTGTCCAACGCACACCCATAAGGTCTGAGTCGTAGAGTTGCCAGAGGGACTTGGCTAAGATATAGGCCAGTAGAAGCTTGCTCTTGGCTACTAGGGAACAGTTGCGGAGTACATCAGCTAGCGTAATACTTCTTTCGTTCGCCAGAGGCACTTCGATATCTACAGCGCGTTTGAGGACGAGCAACATTTCGTCCTTGATGCGGATATCCATGCTTCCTAAGCCGATATCTCTGCCGAGTAGGTCGCAGAACTCGGATGATGTCGTGATTATGTCACCATCTGAGGCTGTTAAGTCTTGACCTTCAGTTGTAAATTGTACCTTTGGTCTATTTGGCTGTTTCCTGAGTCCATTGCATCAGCAGATGAGTCAAAAGTCCCGATCAGGTACAGTACTTGGAAACTCGAAACTGTAGGTGTTGCCAATTGAGACTTCCTTGTGACTCCGACAAGGCCTTTTTCGAGAAAACTGTGTGGAAAAGAACTTCGTCGTCCAAGCTTGGGAGGCTCTCTTTCAGCTCTAATCTTCCCAAGTGGTTGTATGGTATCGAGTGCAGCGAGGGAGTCGACCTACAGCAGCAGTAGGCATGTTTCCTAAGGGCCTTGTAAAGTGTATCGTAAACATGCCTTGGGTAGCTTTCATCCTCATTTATCTGCGCCAGTATACTTCTGCCGTCCTGTGCTTGGGCATCACGCTGCGCTGCCTCAGCATGATTCTTAGCCTGCTTTGTGGCATCGCAAAAGCTTCGGACCAAATTGAAGAATACATTGGTCATCTTTGTTGTCCCGGATGCGAATCTTTCTATGCTCTTTTCTATATCCAGAAGTATTTGGTTCTCCGTATCCGATGAACTGTTCTGTGTTAAACCTGCATGAACTAATGCGCTGAGTGTCGGAAATCGCGCGGAAGGATTCTCTTCCCCCCTAGATTTCGCTAGATTGTTATCAGGGTACTGAAGACCCTCAGTCAGTAGAGAGTCTTGCCTAAAGCTGATGTGAGCAAAATTACGAACCGTGCAGACAGCTTCTAGGGCACATAGAAACATTTCAAGTTTGGCAACACCATCGCTTATCGTGTCCACATGTTCACTTTGTTCGTATCTGTCATGCTCAAAAGACATGCATTGGAGGGAAGTTGACATGGTCGCTAACCTCTTCAGCATTTCCGGGCTCCGGCCAAACCAGGATCCTCGCCATTTTGCCTGGAGTTTTGCAGCAACTACTGCCGCATCTTGTGCTGCACGCTGAGCAAGCTCTAGTTGCGATAAGACTTCCATGGAAAAGACTGTTGATACGTAGTGATACAACAGAGAAGTCTTTCCTGAGACTTCTGGAGAGGAAGATCGGTTATGCAAGCCCCGCCTCTACTCACCGATCTTAATCATGATTGGTGCGTGTGAGCCGGTGAGGCCACCCACGGGAGGCCTCATTCAGAAGTGCGGGGATATATTGATCGTGTTGAGTAAGAATCCGATTATTCTCAAACTGAATCCCTAAAACATCGTTACATCCTAAATTAAATAACCATGGTCGCTACTTATGCTCTAGCCCCGAACTTCACCTACCACCCTAATACATCCATTTGCATGGGCGACATTGTGGAGTACCCCGATGATCCCACCAAGCCGTTAAGCAGTGTTCCACCGGCTAATTTGAAGCCAATCACAAGGCATCTCGACTATGACTTTGAAGCCAGCAGCCAGAACACCAACTCGCTTCATGGCAGTGTCTGGGCAACCTTTCTTCAACAAGCAAGCGCTAAAGTGGGCGGCGGAACAAGCGATGAGTTATTCAATAAATACACAGCGCTACGGCTTGAGACAATCTACTTCACAAAGCAACCGACTGACGAAGAGGCTGTGGTACGTGTCCAAGAAAAAGCGGTGAAAACGGCCGTGAATGCAGGTTTATTGAAGAAGAAGCCGGTATTTATGATCACTGGCTTGAAGGTGGCAAGAGGTTTCCAGGTATCTAGCAGCATCAGCTCAACTGCCAATGCCCAAGGAGAACTGAAGGCTCCTATCTCATCCCAAGACGGGATTGGAGCAGATTCAGATTACTCTCGAGTGAAAAAGCAGGAGCAAAAACATCGATCGAAGCAAGACATCATCTTCGCCTATCAATTGCATGCCATAACGCACAAAGGATGGTCACAGAAGGATGTGGATATTACCGTTCACAAGCCAAAAGCAGCTTTTTTGGATGATGAACAAAAAACGAATATGGAAGATTCGGTTTCTATGGAATTGGCCACCGAGTCCATCCTACACGATTTTGATGCTGAAATCAAGATGGAGGTTATTCACATAGACGATTGCGATTGTGTGATATTCACCGAGGAGTAGTCGAGACTCAGTATCGCATAATAATCTGTTGCATGATGTATCACACTAGAGGTCAAATTCTTCATCTACTGATACTGCTTTCTGTATTTCAACTGAACTATGTGATCACGAAACCTATGCCCTGTCTCGAAGGTAACTTATAAACCGATGGAGAGGTCATCAGATCTTTACTTTCTAATCAAGATATTCGACTAGTTCAGAAATAGGCAGCCAAAATGATGCAAAGATACTTGATTCCTGGAGTCTATACAGTACCAACAGCCACTGCAACAAGCCTTTCTGATATCTTCATTGGTGCCACGTGTGCCCCCAAGCCAAGGCGGTCCCACTTCTAGCATGTCGTAAGTACCTACCCCGCTTATCATCGTTTCTCCTTCAAGCCTCTCTTTTCACCTCTTCCTTTTACGACAGAGACATAGACTCAAATCAGCATCATCACATGAGTGGAGAGCTCCTGACACCATAAATGCATAGGTGCCGCACAGTTATAGTAGATGTACTCTCTCCTTCGGTTAGGATTACAAGTTGCTGATTACTCACCATGGCCTCATCCAAATCTCAAGCGACTGGTATTGAGAATATCCATAATGCGACGGTGGCATGTATCTCTAGTCTCGAGGCTTGTCTATCCGTCAAACCACTAATGAAAGGGGGCTGGGCAGAGAATCGCCTGGCCGACATGAATCTCTGGGCCTCTGGTGTTGGTGCATTGGCCAGGCCGAAGGCATCCCTTGACCGTCGATTGGAGTTTCAGCCAAAAGCACGGCTTGTTCTATCCGAACTACTACTGACCCTTAAAACGTTAATTGAGGTCTGCCGCATACATGCCATGGACGTGAACAGCGCCAAAATCGATACATCAAGAGACGAGGATACCTCTGCGTCACCCGTGGACATGTCCCTTGTCGTTGACTTAGAATCTGCTTCAAGTGCAGAGTCTTGGTTCATGGAGTTGGGCCATGACATTGGGATGGTTTCAGACTCCTCTAGCGACTCGTTTACAGAGGACCAATCGGCTTACTGTGATCATGAAACAAAGCTCAAAAGGTCTATGGACGATATTGATGATTTAATAGACCAGCTTATCATGCTGGGATTTGCCATTCGAAAATCGGGAACTGCCGCAAGATTACAGAAAGCCGACAAGACTTTCAATCCGAAGCAAAACGCGAATTTACGAACATATCTCGAGTCTATTGTGCTCCGAAACACTGGGAAAAGACGACAAGATAATGATTTCGATCGAGGCCTGACCTCTTGTGATAGAATGCATCACGCAAATGCGCTTAGAGAGGTCACTGCGCCGCAGAACCATCTCATCATTGCGAACCTGCGACGTCGACACAGATTCAACTACGCTAGAAGACACCAGTTAGACCTAGGTCAACAGGTAGCGCAACCGATCATCACAAAGTCTGTGTTGTCAGCCCCGGGACCAACGCAATACCAAAGCACAATGACTCGTGATCCTTTGAGCCAGGACCTGGATAAGCCAACGATGGCACCTATGGGCTCAGCCACGCCTACGGGCTCTTCAGAAGTGCACGAAGCGCGAACTACGAGCGAGACTACAGCTTCCGCGGTGGAGGGCAGTATTATGAACTTAGCAAGACCTTCTGAGCCTGCTACGAGTGTTATGTCAACGAGCATTCGAAAATTTGAATACCCCTCTCCACCCCCAGTTTCAAACTTTATGAGAGGGTTCAAGTGTCCCTGTTGCTATCAGACACTTCCAGAGATGTTTCATGAGTCGTCGAGGTGGAGGTATGTTAAAATAAAACCAGATAGCAGATACACTAATAACGATCTAGAAAACATCTTACGGAGGATTTGTGTCCATACACATGCCCATTTGCTGACTGTGAAAGGGCAGAAGTCTTATATATCTCACGCACAGCCTGGCGTAATCATGTCCTCGAATCGCACGGGGAGGGTGAGTACTGGGAATGCCAAGCCTGCTCCGGAACAGTTTTCTCCACGGCGAAAGAGCTAGCCGAACACAACCACTTGATCCATGGAAGCACAATATCCGAAGATGAGATCGCGGACCTCCAGGCTTTCTGCCGTAACATTACACCACCCAGCATATCGCATTGCCCGCTCTGTCTCTGGCCAGAAGGAGAGGAAGTTTTGCCAGACGCCATGACGAGTCTTGAGCATGTAGGCAGCTGTATCCACGAATTCTCCATCAATTCCTTACCGTGGGCTAAATCCTTATCTCTCCAGGGAACTGATTCTACCACCATATCAGTTCCAAATGTTGAAGAGTGGCTTACTGGGACCGTTGAAAAGTTAAATATAGAGGAGATCCAAGATCTGGACGTTAGAGGATTTCAACCTCTTCCTCGACCACCTCGATCCCCGATTCAAGATCCTATGCATATACCCCATGAATACTTTGCTGAAATATCAAAGTACTCATCTCATGCGGAACGAGGATCTCACATTCCCAGTGGTAAGTGGTCTGAGGCTTCGCACCCTCAGAAACCCCTTTTAAATCACGTCCGCCACGCCATACTTATCGGAGTAGATATCAGCACCAATGGAACGGTGGATGAGCTTGCGGCAAACGACACCGACTCTGCTACTACTACCCAGTCTCATACGCCTCGTCCTAGTGACCGCCGCGGCTTCGAGATAGCTATCATTTGTGCATTGACCCTGGAAGCAGATGTCATTGAAGCTTTATTCGATCACCACTGGGAAGACGACGGTCCACCTTTCGATAAAGAGCCCGGCGACCCAAATGCATACTCAACTGGCGTGATCGGTCGTTTTAATGTTGTCCTCGCATACATGCCAGGAATGGGCAAGGTCAATGCCGCTACCGTCGCTGCCAACTGCGGGAAGAGCTTTCCAAGCATCAAGCTTGCTCTCGTTGTCGGCATCTGTGGTGTCGTTCCTTTCACCCCTACCAAGGACGAGATCGTCCTAGGCGACGTCATCATCAGCAATGGGGTCATCCAGTATGACTTTGGTCGACAGTTTCCTGAGCACCTGGTACGCAAGGATACCTTGCTAGACGTCCCGGGCCGACCCAGCCTGGAGATTCGGGGAATCTTGACAAAGCTGCAAGGTCTCCGACACCGCCGTCAATTGAACGCTAAGATCGAAAGCTTCTTGGATGTTCTCCGTCAGGATCCGGAACTCCATGCTGAATATCCCGGATCTACGAAGGACATGCTCTTTGAGGCTTCTTATCGTCACCTAGATGATCAAGAGTCGTGCGAGCAGGCCAGATGTGAAGGTGACCTGGTTAACAGAAGCCGCCTATCGAGAACAGATGTCCCTCCGAAGCCTGCTGTACACTTTGGTTTGATGGCATCTATAAATACAGTTATAAAGTCTGGTAAAGATCGTGACCGCATCGCCTCGAAGGAAGATGTCATTGCCTTTGAGATGGAAGGGGCTGGTATCTGGGATACGTTCCCATGTATCATTATAAAGGGCGGCTGTGACTATGCTGATAGCCATAAGACCAAGGCCTGGCAACGATATGCAGCAGCCACGGCTGCAGCTTGTGCGAAGGCTTTCCTTAGCTTTTGGAACCCGTCGCATCAAGCCTCTCATGGTAAAGCTACCAGGTAAACGCCCCAAAAGACGAATACTGCTAAGATTGGGCTCTAGGTCAAACAGTAATCCCACTGTCAAAACAACAAAATATATCAGCTAGTTAGTATCGCCACAACAGAAATTAGTACCCCCTCCTGACTGACCTGTGACAGGATTGAGGACTCATTACCTTCCGTTTTCGAGGAACAAGAACTTTACAGGTCGTGAAGGGGTGATCTCTGACCTTCAGCGGCTTCTATTTGCTGATCCCTATGGCCAACGAGTCGCTCTTTTCGGTTTGGGCGGATTAGGCAAGACACAGATCGCCATTGAACTTGCACATCGTGTGAAAAGGGAAGAACAAAACGGTCGCCACTATTCTGTTATATGGATGCCTGCACTGAGTATTGCTAGTTTTGAACACGCCTGCACCAAAATGATTAGGGAATTTGGGATCGAGTTAAATGGCCAGGAAGATCCTAAAGACACATTCAAGAAGATCCTGAGCTCAAAAGAGGCTGGAAGGTGGTTTCTGATCGTCGACAATGCCGACAACATGGAGTGCCTCTATGGAACTGCTGACACCGCCGGGGGTATCGAACAATTCATACCAGGTTGCGAGCACGGCTCTGTTCTGTTTATAACTCGATCTCATGAAGTTGCTATTAGCGTGGCGCAGAAAAACGTTATAAAGATGCAAGGAATGGATGACCGAGATGCCAAAGCGCTCTTGCAAAGTTCTTTGATGGAAAAGGATCAGATGCAGGACTCGCCAGTCATTGACGAGATATTACATAAACTTGCCTATATGCCGCTCGCAATCACTCAAGCCTCGGCGTACATGAAAGTCAATGAGGTTTCGGTCAGCGAATATCTCAACCTCCTCCAAAATACTGACGAGGAAATGGTAGAACTGCTGAGTTATAGCGTGCATAATAGCACCCACTGCGACCCTTCCCAAGGCGCCGTTATGACCACTTGGATTGTGTCCTTTCAGCAAATCCGACATCTACATGACGACGCTGCAATACTTCTCTCTGCCGCGGCCCACCTTGAACCGAAGGCTATACCATGTGCCTTATTACCGCCTCTAAGCTCTCAACAAAAGATGACTCGTGCTATTGGTATACTCTGCGGATACAGCTTCTTAAGTGCGCAAAAAGTTGGTGAGACGTTGGACATGCATAGTTTAGTGCATCTTGCAATACAGAGATGGAATGAACAAGAGGGACTTGAGACAGCAACACGGAAGATGGCATTTGCACATATTGCTGAGGTCTTTCCATTTGCCTACCGGGAGTATCGTGAGTTATGGCGACAATATATGCCACATGCACTAAGACTCCTAACAAAGACGGATGGTGCCGATGTTGGAGACAGATGCCGACTCGGAAAAAAGGTTGGTCAATGCTTGATGATTGACGGACAAGCAGGACAGGCAGTGCATATCTTTGAGTCTGTGGTCGAGGTCCAGATGACATTCTTGCCAGAGAATCACCTAGATCGGCTGGCATCACAGCGAGAGCTTGCAGAGGCATATGGATCTAATGGTCAGACCAAACAGGCAATTAAGCTGCTTCAACATGTGGTTACCGTCCAAAGGGAGATATTAGCAGAAGATCACCCAGATCGGCTGGCATCACTGCGAGAGCTTGCAAAGGCATACAAAGATGATGGAAGAATAGGAGAGGCAATTGAACTGCTTGAGCATGTGGTGGTAGCTCAGGCAAAGGTATTGCCAGAGGGTCACCTAGATAGGCTGGAATCACAGTATGAGCTTGCAACGGTATATGAAGCTAACGGAAGCATCAAAAAGGCAACTACACTGTTCGAACAAGTCGCTGCAGTCCAGGCGGTTGTGGTATCAGAGGAGAACCCCGACCGGCAGCTATCAGCATCAATAAGGCGGCTGCAGTCCCGCTATGATAAGTTGAGGGAGGCCAAGGCTTCGGGAGAGCCATACGGCGGGGAAACTGTCGATTAATTGTAGTTAGCTCTCTAGGGTGTAACGAAGGTGAGAGTTTGGACAATTTCTTTCAACATCTGCTTGGGATTTGTAGAGAAGTAGTCGTTAATAAGTTTGCTCGTATTATTCGTTTATCATTCCGTTCGACATCATCACTTATCAACTGAGTTGCCACGGACCTGCATAGTCATCGTAGCAAACATCCTATCGACAGCTCGGAACGAACACGGCACAGAACAGTTTACATTAAAGACCTAGACCTCAACCTTTCTCGCCTTGCCACGAAGCTACAACCAATTACACTAGAAACAATGAGGGAAGATTGGTGCTGCACGGCAATAATGCCATATCGTGATGGTGGACGTGTTGCCATGATGTTGTGTACTGCAAAGGTTCCTAGATAAGGGAGTTTGGAAATCATTGGGCTGTAGAATAGAGGAAATGTTATCCAATTTCCAGTTAGGACAGTGCTGGACAACAGTTATGAAGACTTCTCAAAATACTACCCCGTTTCTCAACATGGCTGCCCGGGGGAGACCCCAAAAGAAAAAGCACCATTTGGGTTCAAAAAGAGCTATACGGAACATGGTCTACCGAATGAAACAATCAGTTACTGGTCATTTTGCCTATTATGGCTAATAACAGCTAGAGGGCTATTTAAGACAGCCATCCACTGATAGCAACAAGGAGAACCGACTTGATCAAGTTGATTTGTCTCTCATAAATTAATTCACTGCCATTCCCCAATATCAAGACAAAATGGTGTCCACGGCAGTTCGTTTCGCAACCCTCAGCGCTCTCTTCGCATCCAAGGTTTCGGGTCACGGCCATGTATCTAAGGTCTTCATCAACGACAAAAGCTACTACGGCCACGATCCCACCAAAGTTCCCTACGTAACCCAGCCAGAGAGTATCACCTGGTCAAATGGCGCTAAAGACAACGGCTTCGTCACGTCCACCGCGAGTGCACTGGCGTCTCCAGATATCATCTGCCACCTCAACGCTACCAATGGGCAGCTGACAGCCGACGTCACTGCTGGCACGACCATCAAGGTTCGCTGGTCGGACTGGCCTGAAGCCCACTGGGGACCAGTTCTGGATTACATGGCGCGCTGTCCAAATGACGATTGCACCACTGTGGACAAGACCAAGTTGAAGTTCTTCAAGATTGATGAGTTGGGGCAGTTAACGAGAGGAACTGTGCCTGGCCAGCCGGGTTACTGGGTGAATAATAAACTTCGCGACGACGACCTTTCATGGAACATAACGATCCCGGCTAAGCTGGCTCCGGGAAGTTATGTCCTCAGACATGAGATTATTGCCCTACATGCGGGAGGTGCAGAAGGGTCGACTCAGATGTATCCTCAGTGTATCAATCTGGTCGTCAAGGGCGACGGCACTGCACAGCCTGAAGGCGTTCCTGTGACGGACCTTTACTCTTCCAAGGATCCGGGGCTGCTTCATAACGTATTTGTGGATGAGTGGAGTGATGCGAAGTACATCATCCCGGGACCTACGGTCGTAAAGTTCTAGGGATGTTGGTATGTAAATAGCTAAGTAGTTAGTGAATTGGTATTTGTCAGCCAAATTTGGTAACTCGAGTTGCGGATCGCGACCCAACAATGAATGATCAATTTAATCAAGACTCTGTCGGTCTGCGTGGTGATCACTTCTCAACCCCGCGCGTTGCCCGATTAGAAAAAAGCGCGCTCTCTGCCTTGAAGCTTAGTTCGATTTAAGGATACTTATTTATGGATCGCTTTGGATGCCGATCCCGTTGGTGAAATTGGTTGTTGTTGCTGTCGCTGGAGGAACTGGTGGCATAGGCAGCGCTATCGTCGACACACTTTGCTCAAACCCTCACCAGAAGATGATTATTCTAACTCGCAAGGTGAGATGTCTAACGACAACGACAGACCTAGACACGAGCCTCTAATAACATCTAGATTCCCGATGCACGTCACGCGACCGATACCTTTGTCACCCTTGAGTACAGTGACGTCGGCGCAATGGCAAAGGCCCTCGACGACAATGTTCACACTGTCATCTCAGCCCTGCGCGTCTTCAACACAGCTTCCACCGAGGCAGATAGTAACCTCGTCAAAGCGACAGCACAAGCTAAGATCCCCAGACGGTTTGTCGCAAGCGCATGGGGCATTCAATATGCCGGCGCGTATGTACGCCTTTATGCCCTGGTTCCTGTACAATAATGGGAACTCAGACCAGGACACCAGTTGGACAAGCTCGAGGACGCACTTTAGCTGAACTGCGGACGACAAATCTGGGATGGAGCCGTTTCGATAACGGGTTCTTTCTCGATTATTACGGCCCGCCGACCTTGGAGTCTTATATGCAGAGGGTTGCTTGGGCCATCGAAATCGCGAATAACAAAGCCGGATTCCGGGAGCAGGAAATGAACCAATCACCTTCACGTATACCTTTAACGTCGCCAATTTTGTGGTTGCAGCCTTGGATCTGCCCAAGTGGGAGCAATTGATGTCTTTTTATAGTGAAAAGACGACGTGGAATAATGTCCTCAAGCAGGCAGAGGATGCTGCAGGCAGAAAATTCACCCAAGACTACCGAGGGAAGCTGACAATACGATAGGCTTCAAGTTCGATGTTTCTTATGATCCTGCCGAGAAACTAGAGAAGGGAGAGGTTACTGAACTTCCCTTCAACAAAAACGCGACCGACTTTCCTCAGAAGGTACTGGAAGGTCTCATGTCACACTGGGGAATCTATGCCTCGAAGGGCAAGTATGATATGCTGATGGATAAGGCTCTAAACAACGTATTTACAAGCATCCAGCTGTTGAAGGTGGAGGATGTAATGGAAATGTGGCGGTGAGGTATTGGATCTAGTACATAGACAAAGACTTAATGAGCGATATAGCAAACACAAGACATAGCCTCGGCGTATCAATCAGAGCTCCTTCTGATCCAGTGATTCCAGCCACCTCCTGATGCTAGCCACGAGAAAGGATTCAGGGATCTAGTGGCGATATCTGGGTCACAGCAGTGTTTCGGACGCGTGATAGGGCCCTTGTGATACTGGAGCGTGTGTGGAGGATGAGAGGAAAGCTTGGTGCAGAGTGGAATATCGCTGCGCGCTTTGGGATAAATGCGCGATGCTGTGTTGTTACAGTAAGGTCTGTTTGATGATGATAAATCTATGGTAGAATGATGATGAAACCTAACTATTAATTGATTCCCGTAAAACAATCCGCTAATCGGTCCTCAAAACATCAGATAAGTAAACAATATGAAATACTAAACCTCCGGAAGACTTGTAGGCGTCACAGCCTGTTCCTCCTGTTGCTTGCTCAAAGCCTGAGGGAAAGGCGTCAACACCGGAGAAATATCACCCCACCATTTATCACCATAGCGCTTATACCAATCAATCGTCATCTTCAGCCCTTCATCAAAGCTTGTCTTTTGTGTCCAACCAAGCTTCTTGAGCTTGGTAGCGTCCACTGCGTATCTTTGATCGTTGAACGGACGGTCGTGAGTATGTTTCACCCACTGTTGGAAGTCGTGAGTGTCCTTAATATCGATGCCCATCTCGGTGAGAATAATATGACAGAGTTCAAGATTGGAGATCTCGTCGCTGGAGCCGATGTTGTAGATCTGACCGATCTCGCCTTTGTGAAGAATGGTGTCAAAGGCGTCAGCGGCATCTCCGGCGAAGAGATATCGTCTTGTTGGACTACCGTCCCCATGCAGGATGACCGGTTGACCGCGGTTAAGTAGTGAAATGAACTTGGGTATGATTTCTACCACCAAGATTAGAGTCGACTCAGCAAAATAACAGGTTGAAACTTACTCTCAGGATACTGGTGCGGCCCATACACATTATTACTTCTCACAATGATAACAGGAAGTTTAAAGCTCTTCTGATACGAGTTCACCAACATCTCTGCAGCAGCCTTGCTGGCAGCATACGGATTCGTCGGTGACAGAAGACTCGTCTCAGGAAGATCATCATTCCCATGCGCAACCTCTCCGTAGACCTCATCGGTAGAAATATGGATAAACCGCTTGATCCCGACTGTTTTTGCACTTTCAAGAAGAACATGCGTGCCGTACACGTTCGTTTCAGTGAAGCTGTATGAATTGCCGAAACTGAGATCGACGTGCGATTGCGCTGCGAAGTGGAAGATAGTGTCGATGTTATAGCGACTAAGACAGTCTAGAACTTCGCTAGGACTTGTAATATCACCCTGATAAAATGTGAAATTTGGTTTCTCGCGGAGAGCTCTTGTGTTGTTGAGGGAGGAGCAGTAGTCCAGCTTGTCGAATGATATGACATTGTATACGCCGGGGTAAGTGAGGACGAGGTGTCGAACGAGCCAAGAAGCACTGCTCATCATTAGAATATGGTAGTTTTCTTTACTGGGCACTTACATGAAACCCTCACCTCCTGTGATCATGATGTTTTTGACATCTTGCTGCGGCTCAAACTTGGTGCTACCCGTTAGAATGGGCGCGTGCTGCCAGATATCCCGCTCGGGAAGAAAGCTGTAGCCCATTGTTTTGGTGCTCAATATTATAGATTAACGTAAACGTTGGGCAAGGCCTCTAGCAAATATTTCTACAAGCAGCTATCGAGGCTATTAAATCATCAATGTTTATTAACAAATGAAATGGCTATCTGTTCTATTCCCCTTTCCCCGTGGACGTTTTAATAGCGCGTATTCCCGCGCAATTCCCCTGCCCTGCCAGGGCGAAATTCTTCAGCACGCCAAACTCTATTCTCCCCTTTGATCCCTTATCCCTTTGTGGCGGAACGTATACCTGTTCAGCGCAACTCGAGGATTATTGGAATAATGCGGATCCTAGTTAGTTTTCCACTTTGTCACTCCCTGTTTCACATCCCAACACATCAACTTACGAAAATTGACTTCAAGTCGCTTGTTGTCCAACTCCGAACTTGCGAAATATCAGCGTATCACACAGAGATTGTCTCTCCGCTCTTCCCGTCAACAACATATCCTCCTAAATTATCAGCTCGCCGCTGTCCTTCATTCCACCTCATACTTCACAACTCCTGCCACACTGTACAACACATCCGTTGAAATGCCTGGGATCAGCATCAATGGCTCAAATGGCGTGAGCCTTCGTAGACCAGACCGCTTCCTCATCTGGGGCGGTCACGGCTGGATCGCCGGCCTTCTGAAAGACCTCCTCATCCGTCAAGGAAAAGAAGTCTACACCACGACAATCCGCATGGAAGATCGCGAGAATGTCGGCAAAGCACTTCAAGTCTTTAAACCTACGCATGTTCTCAACGCTGCGGGCTGTACGGGTCGACCCAACGTCGATTGGTGCGAGGATAACAAGGCGCAGACCGTGCTCTCGAATGTCATCGGGACTTTGACGCTTGCGGATGAGTGTTCTCGGCGAGGGATCCATTGTACTGTTTTTGCGACTGGGTGTATTTATCAGTATGATGAGGAGCATCCTGTTGGAGGGCCTGGATTTAAGGAGACTGATGCTCCGAACTTTGATGGGAGCTTTTACTCTATGACAAAGGCTCACGTTGAACCTGTAAGTGTTAGCAATCTTGACAGTGTTTCTCACATTGCTAATATCCTTTGTTACAGATCTTGGCCAGCTTTGACAACATCTTGATTCTCCGTCTTCGCATGCCAGTTAGCGATGATCTCAACCCGCGAAACTTCGTCACCAAGATCTCCCAATATAAATTCGTCGTCGACATACCCAATAGCAACACCATTCTTCACGACCTCCTCCCTGCATCTATCATCCTTGCTGAGAACAAAGATACCGGAGTTTATAACTTTACGAACCCCGGTGCCATCTCACATAACGAGGTGCTCGGCTTGTTCAAAGAGATCGTACGACCGGCGTTCACGTGGAAGAACTTTAGTATTGAGCAGCAGGCGAAGGTGATCAAGGCTGGACGGAGTAATTGCCAGTTGGATACTACTAAGTTGGTGAAGAAGATGAAGGGGTATGGGTATGAGATTCCCGAGGTGCATGCGGCGTACAGGCAGTGCTTTGAGAGGATGAAGGCCGCGGGGGTTCAGTAGTCATCAATCATCTTTTTGATTCTCTGCGATATAGCTTTGAGTGCTCGTCGATAGACTAGCTCTGCTTTAATTATTTGAGTTATCTTTATTGAGCACTGCGATTCTTGTAACATGACGTCTGACTTGCAAACCGGATGTGATCCTTGCAGTTGTTACCTGTGGCCCAGAATTTTTATGGCCACGTGGAACTTAGTGCAGCATTTGAACCTTCTCTTTCATTTTGATGAGATCTCTCAGCAAGGTACACCTTCAATAATACAGTAAAGACGATACGTTCCCATTGCTATGCTAGTTGCCTACTTCTACATCTCAAACTCATCCTATATCTACCAATCCTTCCCACAATCCCCTGGTACAAACGGTGCCCAATCCATCTTCAGCACCATCTTGGACTCAGGACAGTAATTATAAATATGCTGCTGTTTCTTTTTCGATCCCCATACACCACCATGCATAAATCCCGCTCCACCAATATGATACCCCATAGGCTCATAAAGCCCATCTCGCCAATCATCTATACCTTTCACCCACTGTCCTGGTCTTCCAGGCTGTTCCATCTGCTTCATCATGTTCACATGGGCGCACTCTTCAGCATCATAGTCACCGTCGCATTTTGGCTCAGGTACTATTTCCCCGGGCCCGCCGTTCATCTCGCCTGAGAAGAGCTGAGACACAGAGCCATTTGCGACTCTACCGTCCACGTGATGGCCAAGGCGTGTTGAAAGCCAGACATCCTCGGGGTCGCTGTTGTCGGCGCGCTGTTGGTTCTGTAGAATGCTGACGATACTGCTTACCCGACGGATCGACAGTCCGCCATTACCACCATAGCGTCCCCCTACATCCCAAGGCGCCCCGACATAGTCATATCCAAGAAAATCATCAACAGTCCGTTTATTATTCGCGCAGAGTATCGAGTCAGTCTGAAAGACGAGTAGCATCTCCGCCGGCTGCAGTACAGTATCGTACAGCCATAAATTCGTCAAGAAACGAGAGATCATTTCTTGCCCGGCAGTGCTCATATTTGTGGGTATATAAGTCAAGTCCAGTTTCCCAGACTTGACGTGTTCGCGCATTGAGGCGGAGGAGTTCACGTAGGCTACTGATTCATTGGAGCCCATAAAGCGAAACTTCCAGTCTGGCGGCATTTGGTACATGAACTTGAGAAGCAAAGGGGTGATGATGGGTTGCGGTCTGTTTTCGATGAGGAGGGCGACTTTGGACTCGCTGTATAGGGATTGATTGGCGTAGTGGAGGGTGATTTTTGGAAGGACAGGGAAAGGCACTTCAGTCAGGTTTAGGATGATGGTGATGCTGTGATTGCTGTCAGACTCTTCGCTATCAGAGGGAGAGGAGGATATTTACCTGGATACTATCATCAATGCTATAATAGCGATGCGCGATAGCGACGAAAGCTGTCGCTGCGCTTGGAACATTGAACTCATCATTGTGATGACATCTAGAGGTTGGTGTCAACGGCAGCTGCTCACCCAGAAATGGGTGCGATTGCATAAATGTGGACTGTACTGCAAACCGTGCTGAACTCTTATCGTCCATGCTCGGAGTATCCTAAATCTGGCCCAACATTGGCGCCAGACCCTGCGCAGGGATTGCCAAAAACGGCATGGACCAGTGCAAGCACGCCACGAACTCATCCCCATTCCTTTGCCTGTTGATAAGACCAACTACATCATTAGCGATGAACATGCAGACACTGTGTTCTTTTGTTCTTGAATTGTGCTTTGTCTTGAGGGCCCCGTGTCCCCAAGCCAAGAGGGCTAAACCGCGATTTCAAGCCCGTCCCTACTTTTCTTTCCTCCATGTACTTATTTATGTCATTCTAGTCAAATGTACAAGTTTGAGTAATGATGGCTTCCTTTGTCAAATTGAAGCTCCGGCGAGATTCTCTTCAAGCTACTCTCATTGCCATCGCAGCACTGATATCTGCGTAAGCGACACCTCCGCACTCGACCGCTCATCATCTAACTGTTACCTAGATGGTTCCTTGCGCTCGTCATTCTCCCACAATGCAAACCCGCAATTGCCTCAGCCCGCCAGAATCTCCCCTCAATCGCCATCGACTGGTCCCCCAACGACGACCCCCGAAAGCACTACAACGCCTCCAAAGTAGCGCTCATCATCGAACATGAGCCGTTACCCCTTCTCGTACCTTTAATCCTCCACATGATCGCTGTTGTGCCCCCAGATTGGCGCTTCATCTTCATCGGATCACAAAAGAGTGTGTGGACTGTCGGTCGAGCTTTCGGGATCCAGTTTCAGCAAGGTTTGGGCAAGATTGAAATGATGCAGTTGCCGCAGCCTTGGAAGATCAGATCGAGGGAGGATAGAAGTCGTCTCCTTACTGACACCCGGTTTTATGACGAGTTTCTACCTGATGTGGAGTGGCTTTTGATGTTCAGCTCGGATAGCATCTTATGTGCCAACTCGGAGTTGAGCTTGAACGACTGGCTGGACTACACTTGGGCTGGTGCAACTGAGTAAGCTACCTCTCCTACATTGGCTTTATTGTCTAACAAACATCCAGTAACAGAGAAAAGAAGAACCTCGCAGTCTACGGCGATCTCTCTCTTCGTCGCGTCTCAGCCATCAAGCAGATTCTCAGCTTTCAGTCACGATACAACGACACCGCAGGTGATGATTCATGGTTCGGCACGCGTCTTGAAGTTCTTCCTGATGCGAAACTAGCCATGACTTCAGATCGACCCTTTGCCGTTCAGAACAATATCACCGCGAAGCCGATGGGGTACAATCTTCAAGGCCGTGGGGATCAGGTCGACCGAGAAGTCTGGAAGTTTCCTGAGGCTAGAAAAGAGGCTTTGAATTATTGTCCGGAGATACATATTATTCTCAACATGAAGCTGGAGAGGGAGAGATGTCCTGGGGATAATCTCATGGGTCAGATTGTAGCTTCGACGACTACGACGGCATCAGCCTTAACTACTTCCTAATATGATTCCACAGCTGTCATAATAGTCTATTAATGCTCAATCTAACTTGTTGTAAACATCATCAAGGATGTCTTTTCTTTCCGCTGTCTCGCTAATATGGTTACCATGTATTTTCAAGATCTCAGCGTTACAGAAGTGTAACCGCTCAGGGACCTTCAGAGTCCTAACCACTTTTGGACTGGCTAGTATTATTGGACTGTACATCGGGTGCATCGCTCTTGAGCTGACGCACAAATGCTGGCCACTTGGCTGTACGCTAGTTACTGCCGAGCATCAGTTGTGCGGGACTAAGCTATCCCTCGAACCCTTCATGGAGGTCCGACCTCCCTTTTCGTCTAGTGCTTATCTTCAGCAACTGGTAGTGTATCTTATCGGGCTCTATCCCTTGCCGTGGAGGGGATGAGACAAATCCGGCCGTGCTACTAACCCCTCCGCCCTTGCACTAACCAAAGCCTATTTCCTGGCCCAGAAACACGAATTAGATGGTCGTGCCTCATCAGGCGCAGGAGACAAGTAGACTTAGAGCACCAAGAAACCTCAAGAATTTGAAAGGAGACTAGCCAAAAAAAAAAGAAAGAGCCCGTTCAAGAGTCCATTAATCTGGTCTAGGTAACCTAAAGGTTTTATAGAGTTTGTTACCTCTCCTAGTGAGAGTCTACTGTGTTTCCGTGCCTGAAATAGAGTTGCTCTTGGAAGGGCAGTAGAATTCCAGCTCCCTCAGTATCCAGGGCATGGTCCTATGTCTGAAAATGAAGATAAGTGAGGTCTGGCCTATAAGTACTTGTCCAAAACACAGAACGATACTCCTATCTCTGACTTTGACATGTGAAGTTGACAAGCTCCTTAAGCAAAGGGTTTTGGATATGTGTTATCCTATACTGAATTGCTGAGGCTATACTTGCAGCACGCGTCTTACCTTGCTTGACCTTGCCTCTCATCTCAAACCATCGATCACCATTCCTTTCTTTTCAGTCATCCAACTTCTACGCTCATTACTCCAAATATGTCTCCGAAACCAGACTCCAAGCTGTACTCCATCCCCGAGGCAGCATCATCGTCTTCGTCCGCCACAACAATAGATTCTTCATCTCAGACGAGCGATATCGATGATTACAATTTAGGTAGACGGCCCAGTGATTTTGAGCTCAATGAGCTTTTTCACGATGACGAACCGCTTCTGTCTGAACATGGTGAGTATGCGCGAGAGAAGGAACAACAACAGCCTGTACCTAAAGCATCGAGCTCGGCGATGAAGTCAGCCTTTTGGACACTGGTCAATATTGTTGCGACAGTCTTGATTGTACTCCCTCCTCTCTGTTTTCAACACCATTATGCTTACAGTTGTTCAGGTCTTCACAAACAAAGCTATCCTCTCTGGAAACTCCCTCAAACATGCACAACTCTCGTTCGCAGCGTTTCACTTCACCATCACTGGCCTCGTGCTCTTCATACTCTCACGACCCAGATTTGCATTCTTCACACCTAAGTCTGTTGCCTTTCGACAAATGATTCCGCTCTCAACGGTCATGGCTCTCAACGTTATCTTTCCGAACCTCTCGCTTGCATACTCGTCTGTACCATTCTACCAGATCTCTCGTATCTTGATCACACCCTGCGTCGCTGCTATGAACTTTGTACTTTACAGAGCTACTCTGCCTTTCAATGCGTGTATGGCACTAGTTCCGGCGTGTGTTGGAGTTGGAATGGTGTCGTACTTTGACACCAAAACCACGAGTTCAAGTGCTGCTACGACTGGGTTGCTAGGTGTTGTCTTTGCATTTCTGGGCGTCTTCTTTTCGTCACTTTATACAGTCTGGCTAGAGACTTACCGACGACAGTTGAGTATGACAAGTATGCAGCTTTTACTCAACCAGGCCCCTCTCTCTGCCTTCCTGCTGCTGTATTTTATTCCCTTTGTTGACAAGGCTCCTGCTCGGGAAGATCTATCTCTGAACCTTTGGGTCTTGATTTTCATGGTACGCTCCTATCTCATCAAAGTGCTGCGATAGAATGTTAGCTAATGAGTCATACAGTCTGGCATCTTTGCAGCCCTGGTCAACGTTTCTCAATTCTTCATCATTGCGGAAATGGGTCCAGTGACTAGCACAGTTGTTGCCCATGGCAAGACTTGCATCATCGTTGCTATCGGCTGGTACATTTCCGGTAGAGATGTTGCTGATAAGTCTATCATCGGCCTCTTGATGGCTTTGCTCGGAATAATTCTGTGAGGAATTTGTGATGTGTACCGTGCTTTGGACGTGTTGACTGATTTGATGCAGGTACTCGGCTGTGATTTTAAGACAGGGCCATAGGGCGTAGATCATAACATTAGACCAAGATTATAGAGGGATCGCAGAGCATGTTCAGGATTTACCTGCACCAGATGTATGTAACTCTCGCAGGCTCAGTTGTCTGACACACTGCATATTTGTGGGGAACGGGTTAAAGTCGATTGAGGCGCACACTGGATGAAATGTCGCAGCTGGAAATAAGATAAATAATTATTTGGAGAGGCTAAGGGCATTGATCTGCCGAGCTATTGGGGGGTTAGGCCGGCAATTGGAGGGGCCTGGTCTGCCTGTCTGCGAAGCGTGATGATGGGATATTACCCTGTACTTGTGTATGAACGGAAAGAATAATACCTAGATAACTCGAAAGACCATTAATGATAGGAACTTGAATTGTTCATACAAGGTGGAAATAGGTGTGCGACACCAAATAATCATTAACCTCAGACACGATTCTTTTCACCTCATTAACCGCCGTAGTAATAACTGCAATGGGGGTCATCTCCTATCAAAAACTTGAGTGCAATCCTTTTAGCAAGACCTCATCAAAACGACCATGTCTCAGAACAATGAGAAATTTTCTACAAAAGATCACTGGGATTTTCGTTCTGTGTTTACTGAATTGTTCGGTGATTGCAGTTTATGATCGTGGGGTGGGTTGTTGGTTGAGCGCTCATTAGCGGCATATTGTTCTGCCGAGGCTGGACTGAATCACATTAGGGAGATCCGATATTGACACTGGCAAGTTTTGGTTGCCGTGTCAACCAGAGCCAAGCATCACCAACTGACTCCACTCTCGCCTCAGCTTCAGATCCGTGTCAGCAGCGCTTGTCACGGTATCACATTTCTCTCCCGCATGCATCATGAATAGCATCAACCAGGATATTCTTTTTTGGCTCGACCGCATCCCTCCTCATTCCTTCCCTTCTGCACAACCTATCTCCAAGAAGCGGTCCCTCTCCAACAGTGGTCCTCTTCCCTCGCCGCCTCACTCACCAGAGTCTGGCTCTGAGGAGATGCCGCCCGTCACTCCCGTCGCCAAGAAGCGCAAGACGCTTGGTGATTTACCTTCCCTCGCGCGCCGTGAACAAGGACAGGATGACGAGGAGGAGAATGAGCAGACACCGAGAGCTGAGCCCTCACTGTCTGATGATCGTTCTTCCCAACGCACTGGTAGTACCAGTGCATCCGGCACCTCATCTCCCACCAAGGCTTTGAGAGCGCTCAAGTATCAGGAAGATGGACTGGACCATGTGAAGCTCGACTTGTCGGATAAGACACTTCCGGCGTCTCTAGTTGAACTGGCGAACGACATGCAAGACATTGGCAATGGCGAGGGTGTTGTACCTGGGTATCTCAAGGTTGGTTTCCTTTTTCCTGGTCGTAAGTTGCTTGACTGACGCCTGACAGGATGAGATCAAGGATCTTGGCAGAACGACAGCCGCCCATGGCAGTTTCAAGTCTTACCGATTTGATGATGAGGACAAGCGATACCCCAAAGCTTCGCATCGGCGGCTCAGTCTTGGTGATGTCCTTCAGGTTGTGAGCGATGCTCGAGACTGCGATGAGTATCAGGCCGATGAAACGTATTGGAACAACCATGTTCACACCTCCCTCCTCAACATCATCTTTCGTGGAACCAACCCTTGTCCGACACAGCTCGATGGTTTCAAATCTTGGTATATCACACCCTTTACCTCACTCCGACCATAGCTGACACTCGCAAACAGCACCACAGCCTCCATCCTCCCCGAGTATAAGATCAACGCCACCGCCGGCAAGAAGGTCGACTATGCCAGCTTCATCAATCCAGAGCAGGACAAGCTCCTCCCCAACGCCACCAAGCTCGTCGACAAGATCTGCGCCAGTGCAACTGACAACAGCATCAACCACACCAGCTTCCAACGCCTCCTCGATCGACCTATCTCTTTCAGCATTGAGACAAAGCGCGGTGCACAGATGGCGCAAAAGGCGGAGCTTCAGATGGGCGTATAGCATGCGGCCCAGTGGAAGCATCTGAAGTCTCTTGCTGGTAGTGGCTTGGTCCACTTGCCTTTTATCCCTGGAATAATTGTCCGAGGACACGTTTAGGAATTCGTGGCTTCCACCTTTGTCGGCGGCAAGACTGTAAGTGCTTTCATTGCTTGTGATTTGAATGTGCTGACTGTCAGTTTTCAGACCCTTTTTACGGCCCATGGCTCTTTCGGATCGACTGCGAGCTTGCTCTCGACCTTCCAGGTCGTCGCTGGCGTCCATCGACTGAGAATATGGGCACTTAAAGTCTTCTGGCCCTGGTATAAAACGCATGTACTTGGCCCGAAGCCATCGGTAAGCGCCTCGGCGGATATCGTATGATTTGATCTTTTGGACGTTTATTGAACTTGAGCGTTTCCATCACTTCACGCCGCAAGTTCTCAGTTCTTGTACCACCAAGACATCTGACCATCGAGAAGCTACAAGGTGGAGAGATTCCGTCCCACCACTGTATTCGATGCCTGTTTATGACTTGGAAACAATACCTGGATCGTTGAGGTTGTAGTGGAAATCTCGGATGACGATTGGACGATGGAACTTGGATGTTGAGATGAGGATCAATTTGTATAAGGTATGTATATAAAGCAGAGAAGGTAGTATCGTCTTCCGCACTGTATGCAGCATTTGGATCAGATCATGAGCTGTTGAATAGCACATTGATTGGAGCATACATGTCTCAGAAAGAGCCATTGTAATTAGTTTCCCTCATGAAATGCTCAATGTCAACTCGAAATAGCTGCCCATGAAGTTTGCTTCCCAGCCATATATAATGTTCGGGATGAGAAAGGTCCGATTCACCTGGACCGCTATCTCATTTCGCTAACGTGTTCTCCTATTCTGTTTCTGTCATTATTCAGGCCTTCAATATTCATTTGTCATGGCGCCCATGGTGGCCACCTCAAGTCTCTTGCGTATAACTTTAAAACACCTCAAAACAGGGGAGAAGGATGATTGAACTTGTTCAAAGCTGACGCATTTCATCAATGATTTGCCCTTTTATATCCCTTGATCCAGTATTCCGATTGCAGGAAGACGCCGACATTGATGGACTGCCATGGTTTGATCGGATCAACAACAGCAAGATCAAAACGGCGGATCAGCTAGATATGCTCACGCGTTAGCAAACTGATCGAGAACAGAGTGCCTGAGGTAGCTTGGAATTTACCTCAACAAAAACCTTATTCAGCTCCATCAGCGCGATATTCTTTCCAAGACATTGCCACCGTCCATATTCAAACACAAGCTCAAGAGTCCCTTCCATAAGACGAAGTTTATCATCAGAGCAATCCAGCCATCGTTCAGGATGAAACTCATCGGAATCTTCACCCCAAATATCAGTTCGGCGGAATATTCCCCAGGCACAATAACCAATCTTGGTACCTCGGGGTAAATATTTCCCCTTGAAGGTATCCCCACCTTGAGGAACTTCCTTGCTCATGAGACCGACGACTGGCGGGTGGATTCGAAGACCTTCTTTAATAACGGCCTGGAGGTATGGCATTGCGCGTGCTTCGGCAACGGCCACAACAGGAAGACTCAGTTTGGCCTGGTCGATCTCTGTTCTCATTGCGTTAACCACCCGAGGGTTCGAGATTATGTAGAGCAGAGTTGCTCGGATGGCTGTGGCAGCGGTGGCAGCCCCTGCTAGACTTGTCGAGTGTTAGCTAATTGTTCAAGAAGCGAGGCGGTGACTCACATCTGCATTAATATCTCAGATTCAACCTCATGCTGAAGCAGTCCCCTCGAGACAAACGAGCCAATCATGTCTCTCTGAACCTTGGGGTTTGGGCCAAAGCGTTCGGCCGCGACCTTCTTTGCGATCGCCATAACCCTACCAACACCAGCTTTGTCCTTGTCTGATGGTAGCATACTCCTGAAGATGGGAAGCTGCAGCAGTTTGATCACCCACGGAATCACGGTGGTAGTTATGATCGTCGGCATACTCTCTTCCATCGCAGTGACGTAACCATTCATATTGGAGTCAGTGTCCAAATCGCCAAACGCCTCTCCAAAGGTTAACGCAGAAATGACATCCAGGGTAAAATACTGAGCTTTATATCCAAAGACAAATGGCCTCCCTTTGGCGATGTACTGAGTATCGAGCAACTCGAGTAAGCGTTCGACGTTCTCGTCAACCGTAGTTTCGATACTGTCAACTTCTTTGCCAGAATATGCTGCAGCCATTTTTGAACGAGTATTCGCATGTAAGTCATCGTTTCGTTGGGATAAAACGTTATCTTTTCTTGGATCAAGGCGCATGGCGTCGTACCAACTGGAGCGTTTGACCGAGTGCGCACATTGAGCATGTGTTTCATCAGATCTGGGTCGGATGTGATGAGGTCGCTGGGTCCTACACGGGTAATTTCATCTGTTCACTAGTGTCAATTAAAAAACGCATACTTTCGTGGGACGAAGTCGATATAGTGGCATGACGTACAAGAGGCTCATATAGTGACGGTTAGGGGCAGACCAGAAGAGCTGCTGATGATAGACCAAGACGTCACATTTGTTGTCGCACCATATTTTTCGCAAGCTTCCCAAAGGTCAAGATGGGTTCGACCACCACCGACTCGTGAGATGAGCCATAACTGACTGAAGCCAGCAAACGCAGGGCCTTTGAAATGGCGCAGGCGGGCCCATTGACGAATCGTTGAGACAACATATCCGACGATGATAACAACGCCGATAAGAGCCGCAGCATGGGAATCGAGCTGAATAAGCCCCATTGCAGAGTAAGTATCCTCAAAGATACTTATCAGAATTTGGATGAGTTAAAATGCCTCTTCGCAGCGACTTTGGGCCTCTTTCCTACCCCGCTTCTGTATATATCCACGGTTTGTTTAGGTTCCGATCCACAGGCCGTGTAATGTTACGGTTGTCTCTGATCTGGAAATGCCCGAGTGCTGTGCACAGACTTTTGAGTGACACGATAGCGATGATCTTTGCCTGTTGCAGGTTCGAAAAAGCATAAGTTGCACCAATAATAAGTCTTAGGATACCAATTATGCATACCTCGCTGGACCTTAAGCATTTCTTTACAGATAAATACAGAATGGTAAATACATATATATCCATCTGCATTTATCAAAAGGATTATGGGAGAAAGAATGTCAATTTAGGGGTACTGTTTGAGTCCTTAAAATGATAAAAGGGAATGTATAATAAAGGAAATCGAAAAGAATGTAAAAGAACATGCAGCTATCGTAGCCATGTTCACCATCTTACGGCATTGTTCTTTGTACGCCTATGTAGAAACTGCATCTGTAAGCTCTCGAGGACAACCTATCAGTATTCCTCAACTTCCTCCATACTTTTGGCATAATCTTCTTCCGCAACACTCTTATACAGGACTAATGATTCAATTTGAGAATAAATGAACTATCTACCTGCCGCACGCTTGTTATAGCTACTGACTACTGGTCTGCCATTCTCAACTTCTGAACCGTTACCTCCCGTGCCATTTCAAGCAGACTATCACCCTCAGGCGATGTGCCACCCTCCTCATGCTTATGCATTTGCGCGTCTTGTCTCACAAATCTCGGAACTGTTTCTCTACCAGTTTGTCGACGTCTCAAAGCACCCTGGCGGACAAGTCCGGGTCTTTTGGCTGGAAGCTGGCTTCTTTCAGAGTCACTTGACCCCGGATTCTCAATAGCCATCTTGCTCATTTCAATATTGAGATCTTGCTCCAAGGTCGAGAGCACCTTGTCCTCAATTTCTCTCAGGTCCTGCCGCTCTCGATGTACGGTTCTGTCCAATGTCGTTGACACCAACACACTGTAGCTCTCGATAAGAGAGTCCTTCTCCCCCAGTAACTTCATCAGTCCTTCTTGCTCGGCTCTCATTTCAGCTTGATCCTCTCTCATTTCTAAAATGCGGAATCTCAGTTCTTCATTCTCAGCTTCCAGCCTCTGAGAATAATCTCGGCTCTCTGCAAGATTCTCTTTCAGGGCCGTGCACTCTGTTTCAAGAGTGAGACATTGAATAATACCTTGCCGAATGAGCTCCGAGTTCCTGTTTGAGTTACTGTTATTGAGGTCTTCCATTTTGATCTGTGATTCCTTTGCAGTACCAGTATGCCCGAAGTGTTAGTACTTATTTCCGAATTGTTTGTGTTTGAGTGACACTGTGCTTCAATGTTCAAATGGTTCTTACCTTCAAGAAGTCTTAATATTTGGATATTGGCCAGAGTTAGCCGTGTATTTATACCCTGAAGCCTGTAGAAGACTGTTCTTAGAGGAATGCAGAATATCCTGCCTCCAATGTTCATATTCCATCTTAGAGCCCATGTACTCCATGTGTGTTCACGAAACCCGCTGCATAAGAATCAACTGCCCCCTAAAGGAGTAGTGTGTTCCTTGTTCGATAATTGCAGTAATGCTCATTGTATTCTTTGTGGTTGCTTACTGTCTACATAAGCTTGTTCACCATGCGTTCATTTCTACAAACACTCGTTCATCATAAGATAGATAGATGCTGTTCGATTCTAAGATTACCAGAATTCAAGAGTTAAACCTAATCATAAACAAGCAATCATGAACTGTTCTGTATTCTTAGTTCGCACATATGAGTAGGCGGGGGCTGAAATACAGTGTTCTACTCAGAAAGGCCGCCTCCAGCCCTTCAACCTTGGAAGTGAGGCCTGCCCGCACAACGGAAAGTTGCCCACTTACATAATTTAGCTATGAGTCTTGATAATTATCGCAGATGAGTAGTTACGTCTAAATGTCTGCTGAGAAATACTGAGCATTGCAGAGATATCACTCTGGCTTAGTTCAGGGTTTACACGAAATGTCTTCCATTGAGTCGATAATGGATGGTAAAGTGGAAACAACTGTGCCTAGACACTGTTCTTGGAAAATACTTGAAAAGCACTCTATGCATTGAGATTCCAGTAAGGGTTCGTTGAAGCGAGGGTGGAGTTGTGACCGTATTGCGAAGAATCAATTGGATGCTGCTCAAGGGCCTGAGATCTTGGGCGAGCGACTGGTCAGCTCGTTGGGTGGCATCTTAGTGGCTGGGAATTAGTGGCGTCGGCGATGGACTCACAGCTTTCAGCCGAGAGTTCTCTGTCTAATTGTCACCCATCGTCGGTCATAGCAAAGACGATCTATAGCCAGTAGGGTCCTGTGCCAGACAGGAACTCATAGCGGAACGGCGTAATAACAAGACAGTCATGAGATTTACCTTACCAGCATCCCCAACAAGGTCATGTACTATTAGCATGGTCAAATTGCCAAGACTGATGAGCAAAAGTGCCTCTGTCAGTGGCTGAGTACCGTGGTAATAGTAACTTCGCTTAGCCTTACGAACAGGCCTAGTCCCTGCCATTTCCCCAGCTAAACAGGGCTACATGAGAGTAACATGCTGTGAATAGGGTGACAATATAATTCTAAGTACTTGTTTGTACAGCGGTGATTACACAACTTCCGTTTCGATCCGGGACAGAACAACATGCTCCTGTTCCTAATCTGAGACATGGGCTTTGCCCTTCCGGCTATGCCACACTTCGGACTTGGTGCTGGTAGCGCTCGTTGGCTCACCGACTCCGCTGTCAGATTGATATCTGATAGAGATGGCTTGAGGTGAGTTCCGCGACGGTAAGGACAGCGGTGCCAAAATGCTGTTCTCGTATTGCGAGGTACCATGACAGGAAGGAGAAGCATAAAAATATCGACGAAACGTTTTCTGTCTCCAAAACAATTTAGGTCAAGAAAGAACAATGATTTCGGTGAGTGTATGTCTGAACGTGACAATAAATTAGAGACTGGAGCTCTCTAAGGGAGCAAATTTCTCCGAGCCTGAGCTTGGTGTTCCGGTTTCAGCGGCTGTCGGAGCGGGTATATGTACCGTGATCTCACGCGCAAGTCGCTCTCCCGCTTGAATTGCCGCGTTTCATAAGCTATTATATCTAGGAGAAGAATGAAAATTCAGAACCTTAATCCTAAGCGATAAGAATGCTTAGGTAAATGTGGCCTAAGTTATTAATAAGTTTATTTTAAGACCCTATATTTGAGTCCCGTGTTTTCTTGCTCTCTGAGGGCCATCCACGCTGGGCGATCCATTCCGCAAGTCTCACCCCCACCGTCATCCGCACCAACGTCTGACATTTTCAAGCCTTTTCGCTAAAGGGAGTACATAGCGAGCGCGGTATAGCGACAGGGGTAGAGCGGTCATCCCAAACACCAAGTGCGGGAAGAAATTAAGACAGCGAATTGACCTCTGTCAAACTGCTTTATTTGGGGCGTTATGCGTTGACTCCAATTCGCCAAGTAGCCGAAATGTTGATCTGTAACATCATGGCGTAATTCACTTTCTGTCTGGTAGCTCTAGCCTTGATACAGAGGAACTAGATTCTGACTTAGTGGTAGAAAGTGGCTTAGCCGCGATGATATATCACTCCTACAGGCGGATGGCCTAGCTCAGAGACGAGAGAAGAGAAAACAGCACAAGTGATCTTCTCTCTCGCTTAGCTTGTCGTCTGAGGGGGTTTTCCAAGCTCCCATCAATTAGAAATTTGTCGGTTTCTCATTTTCTTCTCATTCTCACTCCTGGTCCAACTTGAAGGGCATGTAAGAGAACGGCCTTGTACAAGCAGAGCCCTTTACCTTCACAAAAAGCTACAAACCACACATTTTCTCTTTCAACTCTCAACCTAAGGTCTACCAGATTGAAGTCGGTAATCATGTCAGACCCAAGTATCGAGATGCCGTCGTACCCCGAAACTCCCCCATCCACCGCCCAAACCATCCCAGACTACCCGAAGACACCAGATGAGTCCGACGATGAGGCCAATTCTCCCACTGCGACACTTGAGAGACCTCTCAAACCGCGCTCCAGTCTCGCTCGTCGTCCACGAGCCTCTTCTTCTTCAACCCTCCCCTTCAGCGGCCGCTTCGCTACACCACCTCACCACCCAAGACAACAAATGCCCATAGCTTCCAACAGAATTCAACGACGTCGCCCAGCTGTAGGCGGTCATCAGCGGGCAGAAAGCTTCGAATACTATCTATCATCTACTCGACGCCTTACACGTCGCAATCCCAGCAACGACGAAATCACCACCTTGAACTTTGCCAACAGGTTCCTTTCTCAGCGAGGACAGGCACTTGCGCCGACTTCTGGAAGCGTGCTGAGAGACTCGCCTCCACTGTCTCGGCGCCAGCATATCGAACAGCTGGAGCAGCGTGTTGAAGCTCTCCAGATGCCATCGCAGGGAGAGTCGGATAGGCCGCGATCTTCAGAGCCTCGTCACGCTGTGGCATTTTCAACCCGCGCTACCCAGATCAACACCTCACGCCGTCCTTGCGAAGAACCCGAGGAGGGTGCATCGTCCATCGTACCAGTCTGTCACTGGTCAGATGAGTCCGATTAGGACACCGCTTTGTGCTTGGCAGTTGATATGACTCGTATGTCGTAGATGCCATGTCTGATGATGGATTATTTAATCGGGTAGAGACTTCGATTCAATGTAGGAATACGGAACAACTGGCTGTTAGGTCTGGAAGAGATCACTGATTGTAACACGAGAGACAAGGGTCTGGCATATTTAACGAAAAAAGCAATGAGAGGAATTCTCAAAAATAACCAATAAATGGATTTAGCACGTTGCACTATTGATGAACCAGTGCGATTGCACCACAGCGAAATATCGTACCATAGAGTCCAAATACAGTTGCAGGGTCTGGGGGAGGAAAGAAAACTCAGGACCTTGACCCCAAGTGATACAATATTTAGGTGAATTTAGCCTAAACTTGAGGAAGTCTTGGCAAAGTTTATTTTGGTACCCTATACTAAGGTCTAATATTTCTTATTCCTTAAGGAGAGTATATTAACTGTTGGTCAAAGTATAAAAATGTCTTAATACACTCTATTTATCTTAAAAAAAAAAGACTATTAATTCTCTAATCGTTCCGCTTTTAAGTAATATCTTTTCATCTGCTGTTTCCAGACCAGGGTTTCTGTTCAAGGCTCCGGATCGAACGAGGGACAAGAGGCCGCTCAGGCTGTTAAAGTCCATCGACTTCCCGTTTTTGGGGTTCATTTTTCCTGTAGCTCTTTTTGCTGTGGCTCTTTTCGCCAATAGGTGTCATTATTGCTTATAAACCTTACGACAGATGACAATTTATGCATTAAGTAAGTGCTAAATCACTTGCTACATGGAAGTCCATCCAGCCATAAATGATAGTGGCAGCATTAACACTGCCACAGATGCTATATGTGTTAAACGGTCTTGTCACTGCCGATCCATAATCTTAGAACTTAGCTTATATAGTCACTTCGATCAACATCGCAAAGGGTCTTTATAGCGCACGATGCAGACCTTAGCTACCAGCCCTGTGAGTAAAGGATTGAACTCATATGAATACGGCTGAGGGAGCATACTAAATACTGATATAATTGCTTTCGTTCTTCACCTTATCTCGACGAGACAATGTCGCGATTCGTACACTCTTCTAAAAGCTCTCCACATACAACGAGTTACCAAGCAGAAACGGATAGCAAGGAGAAATGTATTCAGTTGTAGCATTCGCTGACGTCGCTCAATGGAGATAGACCGTGAGAACCAATAATACGAATGTGATTGTTGTTATTCAGTAATGAGTCCCCGGTTTTGAGACATATCAAAAACACAATATCTCTTCGAAAGTTTACTTTTGCTGCGTAGAAGAATTATCATTGTAAGAATCCTTCTGTTGTTCGAGTTTGGGAATACTTCCGCTGGCTAAAAAGCAATCGCTGTAATCTTTAAGTTTTCAATCGCAAGAAATCCGAGAGTCTCAACGTAGATACATGGATTCGAGAAGAATGAGTGTCAGCCGACGAACCATCGGAGACGTTGCATCAAGATCGGAATAGAGTTGCCGGACATCACTAACATGACATTGGGGGAATGAATGTGATTTGCGGACCTTATTACCCCGTACCCCGCAAATTCGTCCCCATGGGCAATGGGAAAGTTAATTGCATATAGAAAACCCCCAATCCGCGATCTGCCAGACAAATCTGGAATGGCTTCTGGCAGGTCGGGCTAGCGTGACACTATGTCCGGTCCGTTAGACAGATCTCGACTAAGCTTGAATGAAATTATGGATGATAGAGTTTGGGGAAGTCTGGGGTATTATTGGGGGTGGCTTATCCGTCTTCCATCTACTCGAATCGGTGCCTTGCGCGCAGAAAGGAGGCTAGAGATTCTCAGAAGGACTGGCTTTTAAATCTCAAATGAGTGAGATTAAGAAGCAAAATCAGTTAAAGCAAAGATCAGACATTACGCGGACTTTAAGGGATTGCTTCCATGTTTTGAGTTTCATGACGACTGGGAATAAAAGAGACCGAACCGCCGAATAACAGGGACCAGCTTGACCCAAAACCGCAATATAGCGGACATAGACCAACTGATCTCAGAAACAGTCACTAATGCATCGAATCATTCCGAGAAACACGAGTCACTTACAGCAAATTTGAGGGTAGGCAATGGCTCCTTGGCGAAACACTTTAACCCGTTTAGGCAATTCCATGCATTATCCCACGAATCACACAACAGCGCACCGACCGTCAAGTGCCGTACTGCCGAGAACTCGTGGGACGACCATGCCTGTAAATATTTCCGACGTGGAGAATTCCCCATTATAGCGCGACTTGCACGTTTCGAGCGTGCCGTATACCCAGAAGTGCCGATGCCGATTTGGACATAGTGAGTAGGGGGTTGATGAGTGGAATGCGAATGACTACGTTCTGGGACGTCGAGACGGAATTTGAATATTCCTTCAATGGGATCTGAGAGTATGATTGTAGTTGATTAGAATAGATGATAATCTATAAAACATCATGTTATGCCAACATGACATAGATTCTGACATCGCCAAGCACTTCAGCATCTCATCACTTCCTCTTGACTTTTGTCTTACACGAATATCACAATGGTTCGAAACATCGCTATTGCGGCTTTGCTCCCAGCTGCCTGGGCTCTGCCTTCAAGCTCTGTAAGACAAGGAGATCTTTCGACGACTGTTCAACCACTAATAACATAAAATCCAGCTCCAGGAACGAGATGCCTGTACCGTGACTGACTACTCCGGCCTCGCCACCGCCGTCTCATCCTGCACAAACATCGTGCTCGCCGGCTTCCAAGTCCCTACTGGCAAACAGCTCGATCTATCCAAGCTCAAGGCTGGCACGACCGTTACCTTCAAGGGCAAGACCGTAAGTTATTTTCCTCTTCTAACTAATGTGTTGAAGCTGAATGTAATAGACTTTTGCCACTACTGCTGATAACGACTTTGATCCTATCGTCATCAGTGGAAGCGGAATCACCGTAACGGGTGCATCTGGCCATGTCATTGATGGCAACGGTCAGGCGTACTGGGATGGAGAAGGTTCCAACAACAAGGACAACCCAAAGTATTCCCCCCTAACTACCTACTGCAGAACCTATACTGACCTTAGAAAGGCCCGACCACTTCATCGTTGTCAAGAAGACTACCGGCAACTCAAAGATCACAAACCTCAACATCCAGAACTGGCCCGTTCACTGCTTCGATATCACAGGCAGTTCCGATTTGACCATCTCTGGGCTCATCCTTGATAACAGAGCTGGCGACAAGCCTAATGCCAAGAGCGGTAGCTTGCCCGCTGCGCACAACAGCGACGGTTTCGACATCTCGTCCTGTGACCATGTCACGCTGGATAACAATCATGTTTATAACCAGGATGATTGTGTTGCTGTTACTTCGGGTACCAACATTATCGTTTCTAACATGTATTGCTCTGGTGGCCACGGTCTTAGTATTGGATCCGTTGGCGGCAAGAGCAACAATGTCGTCGACGGTGTTCAGTTCTTGAACTCGCAGATTGTGAACAGCGAGAATGGATGCCGTATCAAGTCCAACTCTGGCACAACTGGAACAGTAAGTAACACCCGGTCCAACAAATCATCTGGCTAGACTAACTGAACATCAGATCAACAACGTCACCTACCAAAACATCGCTCTTACCAACATCAGCAAGTACGGTGTCGATGTCCAGCAGGACTATCTCAACGGCGGCCCTACTGGAAAGCCTACCAATGGAGTCAAGATCAGCAACATCAAGTTCACCAAGGTCACTGGCACTGTGGCTAGCTCTGCCCAGAACTGGTATATCCTTTGTGGTGACGGTAGCTGCTCTGGATTTACCTTCTCAGGAAACGCTATCACTGGTGGTGGCAAGACTAGCAGCTGCAACTATCCTACCAACACTTGCCCTAGCTAGGTATAAGTGGGAAGGTTATCACGGGTTGTCACTCAGCTTGACTACAATCATATAGCATGTTACTGTTGTTGTATCGGACTGCAGGTCTATAGTGGTGTTTGTCTGATAGTTATTGGACGTTTCTTTGAGTAATATATTTATCTAGCGATTTATTGTATTTGCTCTGACGCATAGTCACGGAACTGTGATTCTTTAAAAGCAATTTAGATGCATTATTATATCTATATTATATTTGTTTATACATAAGATCAAATGGTATCAGCAATATGTATTAATTCTTGATGCTATTTAAAAGTAAGGCAAGCTGTTCAGAGCGCAGGTGTCAAGCCCCACGAGTCTTAACACTTGCTCACTGCTTAGCAGATCGATAATGAGAACAATCAAGTTGACCATGAACATGGTCTGTTCGACGGTTCTTCAGAAGCAATAAGTCTTTGGATTATGGCAAGATAACCTTCCAAAAGACCGATGATCCATGTCAGAATATCTGGTATGACTCCGCTCAGCAAGGATAAGAACGAAATTAGAACCGGGATAGTAAAGCGATCACCATAGAATGTAAAGAACATAAGAATCCAAAGGGTATTCAAAAAGAGAACACCGCTGAGAATGCAGAGAAACGCATCAGTGAGTAGCCAAAGGAGACATGACAGGATGGTGGCAGCTTGACCTTCGCCAAAAGCTAACTCTGGTATAACTTCGCACCAATCATACTGGCCTTCGCGAATGAATGAACGTACCTGAAAAGCCAGATAAGTCATTACGATAAAAGCAGGGATCTTCCGACAGTTGAAGGCGCCGACCATGAATCCTGGAGGTGGAAGCATGTTGAGATGGGAGGTAATGGTAACTCTGTAATGAATAGGGCTCTGTTAGTGTTGGTAGGGATTGGCTTGTGCTTGATGCTGTGCTTGAAAGTTGTGTTTAATAGTGTCGATTGGAACTGGGACTCATTGCGGTTTATATACTCTTCTGCAGCACAATCTGTGCATTCTTCAGATACTATGTGCAATCTTTCTAACGAGAGATATGCAGGCTAAGTATATCAGCATGGTCTTTGTTCGATTATGATGTAGAACACAATGATCTGAAGACTTCATTCTATATTCGGACTTGCTTTTCTAATGACCTGGTAAACCTTGAAAAACACACCAAGTTCAATGTACTTACTGACTACACAAAAAGATGAAAATGGGCGCGAAAGGCTGTCCTTTCCCTCACTGGGCAGGATGGATACTTTGTTGGTTGACTGAGAGAGTTCGCAAAGTGTTTATGGTCAGCTAATAATGACCTAACGAAGAGTCGTTTTTGGAACAGGCTTGCCAGATACGAGCTGACAGCGAGACTTGAACTGCTTGTTGGTGTGGATATTGTGCTATCCCTGTCATCCTGAAGATCCAGAAACTGGAGTAAGAAAATCAAAAGGCAGTTCACAGAGTTGACTGGCGGCAAGTTCACAGTTCTCAAAAATGACAAGATCAATTCGCCTATGGCACGAGCTAACTACTTTACTCAGCAAAACAGAGCTCGCCCCTCAGGTTTCCAAGCCACTGAGATATACGTTAGCCAATTCATCTTGAGAGAACATCGCAAGCCCACAAAGGTTCCCCATACTCAAGACTGAAAAAAGTTCACCTGACTCCCTAGTGAAATGGATCCTAAGCTATACTAAATTCCTCAAAAGGCATCCTAATGTTGACAAATCTTAGCTAAGTCTTCTAAGTCATCCTAAACTCGTCATAAGAGATGTGGGTCTACTTAGGTAGTTTCACATCATACCCTGCCCCCTTGATATCCTCCAAAAACCACTGCATAGGCGTGGCGTAGGTGACGTCGTGCTCTCCGAGAGGGGTTTTGCCAGCCTCCAATCCAGAAGTGATCATACCGCCAATCCGACCTTCCAGGTCAAAGACACAGGCGCCTGAATCGCCCACGTCAGAGAATGCCTTGCCATCCATTCCAATGATGCACCATTCACTCGAGGTGACGTCACCGACAACGTCAGACGCGTGGCGAATGACAGAGTGAATCCCATTGGCGAGTCCGATGGTGAATCCAGTTTTGAGGCCATGCTTCATGACGATGAGGCCCTTATCGCCACGTAGATTTCTGTGTGTCGCATCCTCCAGGTCACTTCCATCGATAGTGTCAGGTCCGATCTCGACTTCCAGGGAATCATCGAAATCTAATGACCGTTCACTCTTGGTTATGGACCCCGAGATTTCGGTCAGCATAACTTGCAGTTTCTGCGTGACTGGAACCTTGTTCTTCAGTTGGGCAAGGCCAGTAGTGAAACCATCCTGAGACAGCTCAACGAGTGCCCAATCTTTGAATCTGAGACCTTGAGGGCAAAGCTCCATAAGAGGCGAGAACTCTACACGACCAACAACAGCACTTCCTCCCTTGTTGAGTTCATCAATGAGTGGTTGGCAAGATTGCACCACGGCTTGCTTCCGCAGGAAGCCCGGTCGCGCCGCCTTGAAATCTGGGTTGCTGTGAGAGGGCTTTGCAGTAAGGTCGACGCTCATATCGAACCCATGCTTTTTGCTGGCGAAGGAATCCACTACCCGGTCCCCGGTTAGCTTTGCTGGCTGAATTACATCTTTAGCCACAATGTTCTGTCCGCTTGTGTAGCGATACTCTTCGCAATCCTCATCGAGGAAAAGAACATGGCGGCAAGTGAGCGCGTACGTTTTGCCATTATCGCCACGGAGATGGACGCACTTGGTGCCGCTTTTCTGTTTTTCGAGAGGCAGTTGAGATGCGCCGATAGAAGTTCCAACGTATTCCGACATATCACGAATGGTCTCGTACTTCAAGTCGGCGAAATCATTGGTGAAAGGTCCCGGTAGGAGGCGTCGGGCTACCTGACTACCCTGTGTTGAGTTCGTGGTAGCTATTGGGCTGGTAGCAGCGAATGTAACGATGCTTTCCTTCATCTCAACCTGGACATCATCGAGGTCGAACCGGTTAAGGATATCCTTGCACGCGATGATAGCTGCTTCTGCCCGTCGGAATGAGGTGGAATCTTGAGATACAGAAATCAGCATGGTGACTGGGCACTCTGATGATCGGTCGGTATCTTCGTATGCGCTCTCGTAACCAACGCGCAAGATATCAATGGCGTTCCACTCGACACCAGTCAGGGTGCTGACGACGAGCTGTCGGAGGGATCCTTGCGGGTCGTTCCACAGTTGCTGAATCTTGTGCCCGGTAGCAACGTCTAGCTTCTTGCGCTCTGGCCACTCATGAGGTTGAGACCAGGGTGTAGTGCCGGAACGGGCGACAAGTCTTGGGTGGCTTGGAAGGCCGTGATAGTACATGTCGCGCTCTCGATCGGCAGGCTCCTGAAGAGGCATGGTGATAGGATGAAAGGAAGATGAACGTGGCCGATCGAGGGATAAAGCTGGCCGAGGTATGGATGATAATGCCTGGGATCGGGATGAAGTTGGACAATGTTGGGATGAAAATAATAAAAAAGAGGTTGGGAAGAATCCAAATGATGGATATTTGGAAAGGAAAAGTTGACGTTGATGGAAAGAAAGTCCACTCTGCTTGGTTTTGTCTGCCTAAGACATCTCGAGGAGGGGGGTACGATCTCCAGCCATGTTTATATGCTGCCGGTCTTGATCAGTAAGCTGGGGTGCACAGAGCTTGCTGACTCATGAACGTTATTGTGTGTCTGATTCAGGTAGCGGTGGCTGGCTCAAGAACACTAACAGAGACACTGGCAGAAGGATGAGATTTGGGTGCAAAGGCGCCAAATGATCTGTTTCACTGTCTTGAATCCGGAACACTGGCTGTTCTGATGAACTCCAACAACATCCACTGTCAGCTGTGTTGTGAGATGTTGAAGGAAGAGAAAGAGAACTCGCAGTCAGAAGTTCCCTGCTGCCTTTAGAACATCGTCAAGGCAGCAATACCTTTGAGGGTGAATGCTGGTGTGGCCAGACAAACATGTTTTTGTTGTTTGAACAAAAGAACAAAGACACCATCACTGTTAGCCAGCTTTGTGATCAATGTCATGTTTGCATTTGATCTCTCTTTTTTCACACTATTTGCGGCCCATTGAATGTGGAAGCTTGACTTGACTGAAACCTTGGTCCTGATTGTCACCAAAAACTGGACTCAACTCCATTACAGTCAATCATAAGGACTTTTCCTTTTCAGCCAAAAGTAAGATGTTAGGCAAAAGTGATTGCAAGCAACTTATTGCCTATTCCCCAGGTTTTTGAGTGATGGCTGAATTGCTTTTTAATCTTTGAACCTTATCGCAGTGATCAATCATATTTGCAAACCCTACTTGTTTAGTAACTTGGAGCTGGTAACGAGTTTCTCACGTTTTGATCGCAATCAACTTAGTCGCAAATGATATTATTTTATCAATAGTTCCGTGTTTATTGTTCACAGTATCCAATGCATTAAGTGCATATCTTTGAACGTCAGGGCCTGAGCGAAGAACATGCCCACGCCACTGCAGGACGCGGGATACTATCCTTATCATTCCATAAAGCTCACAACAACAGAACTTGTAATTATTCATGTTCAGTAGACTGCTTAAGTAGTGCTGAAGAGCTATCTGCTACGCAATAGATCTGAAAAACCTGACCAGAACCCATATCATTGACTGGTACTCTACACAAACTGAAACGGTGGACTTTGGCCACTGGCAGAATTTATGCATGGCCTTTCACGGTTCATTCTGAAAGAGTCTCGCAGTGACTTTCCAGTATTTACACATTCAATCCGAGGATTGTTGGAACTCGCAGAGTGATCTGTTTGACAGTGTCATAGCACAGAACATATCCTTTACGCATTCAACGCCTGAGACATTTTAATACAGTCCCGACCGTCAGCAAGAAAGTCTCTCATTTCATCTTCCCAGCAACCACCAATCTCACAAAAGGGCGAACAGCCTTTCTCAGAAACAAAACAATATCTTCGGCCAAGAAGGGCTCTACACGACATCAATAGCTCGCCACTATCTCGACACAATCACCGTCATGCAGTCATATCTCAACAAGCTCGACGAGCTTCAAATCGGACTTCAAGCCCTCACCAAGGACTTACAGTCGCGGGACTTGGATCAAGTCACTGAGCTTGTCAACCTCCTCATGAAAGACATGAAGAGTATTGCATCTGCATTTCAGGACCCGAATTCTGAGGAACTCAGCGATGCAAATCTTCTCACAGAGCGCCACAAGCTTCTTCAGCTGACGGAGTTTGACGCCAAGCTTGCATACTCGGAAATGGACTGCGACGAGGCTTTTGAATATCCTTGGATGACAGCCAGCAATTGCGAGGAGTGCTTCAAGACGCTAGACCTCTCCATTCAGTATTTTGCTGACCACATGTCTGACGCTGGACCAGTATGCGCGCCTGTATCCCACCATTCACCAACCTTGTTGCAGAATGCCAAAGGCACTGTGATTGAATATCTCAAGCTTCGCCACCGTCGTATTGCTATGCAGCTTGATCCAGGTCGAAGTCCAGGAGGACTATCCAGATACGCAGCACTTGGACAAGAAAGAGGTGCTGAGCTATGTGTCTCGTCCGTTCTCGCTGGAGTTCATTCGCAATTGCCTTCATCCATACTACCAACAGAGACTCCAGCGCCAAGCTATTTCCATCAAGCTTACCTGGGACAGTGACAAGGAGGAGTGGACTGTAAAGAAACAGCAATGGGTTGACGCGCTGGCACCGGAATGGGAGAGCGGTGCTATTCAGGTCATCATGATCGAGCCCAAGAAGCTGCTCAACTCTCCGTGGAGTGCCAGCAAACAGTACGACGAGGAGAGCGACCGTCCTACCCATCCTCTTCTTCAGTGGTGCAAACTTGATTTGATGGATCGTGAAGAGGGTGTTTTGCATTGGAGTCTTGGAGGTGTTGTTGCTTGGAGATTCTATGGGGAGGACGAGTGGATGGATCGTTATGGCCATGCCATTGATGAATACGAGTAAAAATAAGTAGCCAGGGCTGCGTCTATGATGGCATAGGGGAGATTCACCGAGAGTGACTTGTTAGCGCGACATCATATGATAAAAATGGAGTGTATGGAAGAAGATCATATACACAAGGCGCTGGTCACATATATCACGTCATGGAATGAAGATTATTCTTAAACTTTGCTTTACTGAATAAAACTGAATGGATTTACCGAGAGGGCGCAAGGTGGGCGCTCAGGCCTTTGAATTGTCATGAGATGTGAATGTACTATTGGCTTCTTCCACCTAAAGGCTGGGCGAGAAGGACATCGCAGTGATAACAAAAACTTCAAAGCCCAGTCATCACCCAAGTCACTGATTTCGTGCGATTCGGTTTGTTATTGGCTACCTTTGCTAACTAGCATCCTAACCTCGCCAATATCCTGACCGCAACACATTTTATTGGCTATCCACATGTACGCCTTTTAACCTTGAAGGTAGGGAAAATCGGACCTCGTTCCAGTTCTTGGTCGCTTCGAAGAGATGAGAGCCGTTGTGTCATCTGAAATCTCGCCCCGCAAGATGTCCCCCGAAGTGGAATAGCAACAACATGAATCCCCATATCATCTTCGCTTCTTGATCTCCCGTTCCTGATCTCCCAAAGCCTCCACCGGGATTATGTGTGGATGCATAATCTCTGCCAGTCTCGCGGATTCCATCTGCAAGTCCAAACGATCAATCTTACGACGCAGATTGAGTCGCTGTACCATCATTTGATGCATTTGGTGGCATAGGTCATCAACTATGCCATAACATTGTTCCACTTCGCGAGAGAGGGCTCTGATCTTCTTTTTCATGCCAAGAACCGGTTCCATATTGTCGGGAGCGAACTCTTTGCTCAAGTCGTAAACCAGCTTATCGAGGGCTTTGTCAATCTGAAGGCGGCGTGCGTAGACTTTTCCGATTTGAGTGAAAGCTGCCTGGCGGTTTCGCTCGAGGGCGTCGATCTGCTGTTTCATATTCTCTTGCTCACGGCGAGGAATAAGCTCAGAGGCCTTGAATGCTCTGTGGCCAAGAGGTGGGAGGTCGTCGGTGAATGGGTCCTATAGATCAATTAGAGGGTGGTGTGTTGTCGAGTTGGGGTGACTTACACAAACAGGGGTGACTGGCTCGGCTTTACCATTATGAAGGAGTTTGTAAACGGCCAAAGTCAGGCCAAGAAGGACGAGGACCAACAGGACCTTTTCGATCCCAATCGGTGACTCGATTGAAATGGTCGTGGCCATTATGAATGGGCAGATGATTATTTTTGATGTGAGGGGTGAAGTTGTTGTTGGGTGAAAGGAGATGAAGGTGTTGTGATGATGAAGGGTGATGATGAAGGTGGATGAAGTTGTTGTTTGTGAAGGTAGGATGTTGTTGTGATGGTGAAGAAGGAAGAATGAAGAAAGAAGAAAGCGAGACGAAAAAGGTTGGTTGTTATTTAACGTGGCCGGTGTGACGGAGCAACATGAACCATCTGCCACTGGCAGCAGAACGTCTAGTCAAACGTGCCTTGGCGGCTACCTGGACGCGTCCCAGGATCAAGGTGCTATTGGCCAAACTGTCAATGACGTTCTGGCATTGACTGAAGTCAGAGGGTTCTGGTCGACTGCCACTGCGCTATGGCACTGGTGCGCGTGGGCGGTACGTTTGCTGGGCGCTGGAGTTTCAAATACCACGTCAACTCTGAAAACTGCAGAACAACGGCTCTATGATAGAATCGAGTGTCTTTATGATTTATTTTATGGAAATCTATAATCAAACTACAGAGCGTGGTTGTATTTCAAAATAATGATCATCCAAGGCGACCCACTCTCGACTTGGACTTATTCATATGGATTGAATGAATGTTTGGTGACTGGAGTTGCAGTCGCGGAAGAACTACGTGCTGTGTGTGAAAATTAAAATGTTTTATTGAGAGATTTACCTTGCAATTTTTGATCCGCCATAGGCACTGTCATGATGGGCCCTTCCTTCGCGGTGGCCATCACCCTTGACGTAGTGTTCACAAATGCACTGAGTCACAGCAGGGAAATCATAGCAGTCGATCAATTCTTATGTGGTCTTCACGTCGCGTTACAACATCCATCTTGTGGCGCGGCGCGATGTTGCGTTAGAGCTTAAGGGGTGACCAGTGTCAGTCAAAGGCTGCGATCCAGGCTATCAGAAAATGACGTGCCGTATAGCATTAGTAAAATTGACGAAAGTGACATTTTTAAGTGGCAAGACAGCTTCTACTCGTTGAACGGGAGCAAGTTAAATGGACAATCGATTGAGAAGACTGGTTCTGTTGCGAATTGTACTTGAAGAACTACAGAAGAGCGACACGGGAGTTGAGCCAGAATACGATGTCACGACCAACGTCGTGACCCTCCTACAACCTCCCCAAGTCCCAGTCCATCAATCCCATTCTCACAATGCATCCTCTCACAGCACAATTGCAAGCGCGCCAACTACTCCAGCAACAAGGCCAGCAGTCCCAACCATCAGCCCAGCCGCAGCGTTACTCTCATCAACAGTCGCCGAAGGAGCAGTTCCGGTAGCAGTCCGCTGGTCCTTTGATGGGATCTAAACCTCCTAGCCATCCTGCCAGGCAGACGCGTCCGCCTCGACGGACTAGTTGCAACGAGTCGACAATTGTGCTGTTTCCAACCAAATCCAGTACCGAATCGAACTTCTTGAACTCGCCGCTTGCATGGAGGTGTTTGCTCAGGTTGGGCGTTTCAAGGAATGTCTCCGTGACTCCGAGGTCTCGCAACATGGCAAACTTGGCTTCGTTGCGAGATGTCGCAGTGACGATAGCCCCTGCATCGACAGCAAGATTGATCGCCGCTCTTCCAAAAGATGAGGTAGCACCTCTAATAAGAACCCTCTGTCCACGCTGAAGACCTAGATTTCGAAATAGGCACGTCCACGCTGTAGCATAACTTTCAGGCAGCGCAGCTACATCTGCCCAAGACAGCGGTAGTCGTTCTCCAGATTCGCCCAGTGCGACTATGTTGTTAGTATTTGCGACGGTATACTCTGCGTAACTACCAGGTATGGTCCGACCGAGGCCGCCCATGAGGGTTGCAACTGGTGTCCCTGTAGTGAATTCTCCTCCCGGACATTCTTCGATGATTCCAACGCATTCGATACCACTGATTGGAACTGACTCTGCCCATTCGCCTCGGCGCATATGCATTTCTGCGTGGTTGATACCGAAGGCTTTGATGCGGATGAGCGCTGTACCAGGGGCTGATACTGATGGTTTGGGGACGTCTTTGATGACTAGATTCTCGACTTGACCGAACTCGGAGATCAGTATAGCTCTCATAGTAGAAGACATGGCTAGAAGTGAGATATAAGTTCTTTTTGATAGGGAGGATTGTAATTTGAAGAGTCTGGTTGTTTTACTCGATCGTTACGATGTGTTGCAGCAGTTTGATTGTCAATGCAAGGACAGAGGCTCATATTTAACGACTTGTCTGGCTGCAGAGCAAACGCCAGGAACGTCATTCCGATATAGTCTTGATCCATGTAATCTTCAAGGCGCGCCCTTTCAAATGTGTTTTATATCAGCTTTTCAGTGACTAAACGCTCGTTGTTAGTTGATGCTGACTCGGAACACTTATGTGGTTGGCCCGGCCTGACGCGATTCGCCATCATTTGTAAGCGCTTATACTGGTGCGGCCGCTACAGGGTAGGCGCAACCAATCCGTAGCTTTGGTAGTGCATTATCCAATCAACACTTGTCGGTACCATGACAAACCTCTCCGTTGAGGACAACCACGACCTCACAGTGGGATCGTAGAATCTGTGCACTTAGTCGTTTACTACCGAGTGCAGCACTTGTTCAAGCTTGGTTAGAGATGGGATGTGTGCTTCTTCGTACGCCATCGCACCGGGGCCGCGTGAATGGTTTAGTTGTTAACTATCTAGTACCATCGGCTGAGGTACCGAAGAACAAAGAGGAAGAGTCAGACATGTCTCTCGAGCTATACGAGGTCATAGTTCATAGAGTTGAGTTAAAACAATGCATCGAACACTATGTCAAGGCTGTGTAAGCCTTTGTTCTCACGCGCAAACAGCAGTGACCTCCTTGTTCTAAGAACATATCAGTACAGCTGGTTTGTAATAACGATGAACTTCGAAACAGTGCCACAGACAATTTAATCACCAAACCTATAAGATCCACGATCTCTGTACCTTTCTGTCAACAATGCGTCAAACACAGTCGCAAGATCAAACGGAGCATTTATTGCTGGTTACACAACTTTCCAAAATTCATTTTATATAAAATCTTGTGTTCTACATTTGTACCTCTCACCACCGCCATGGAGAAGCAGCTGCGGGAGATACAGATGGAGATCATGCAGGATCGATTGGACAGCCTTGAATCCCGCTTTGAGGAACTTGCCAACAGTTTTGCGCACGTCTCTGCTAAGCAGCTCAGCAAGCAATGCATCAGCTGTATGGAAGCAATACGAAACCTAGCTTCTGATTGTCTGATCGCAAACACTGATCAATACCTTCCTTGCTTTGACAGAACCGAGTTCATTAGATATGCGCAAGAAAGCCGTCAAGCAATGCGTTTCACTGTCGACGAAAACAACACAATCCAACGCATCTACCGTGAGGCCGGACACCACCGTCAAATGACAGAAGAAGAGCGCCATGATCGTTTTCTGAGTCTCAAAGCCGGCGTACCGTCTGCCAAACTTTGCTTTCCGCCTTTCAACGCCCACGAATTGTTCGTCGAGCTTGCTATCAATCTCGAAAACCTTACTATCAGGGAGCTGGAATTCCACGACCAGCCTTACGTGCCGGATGATGCTGCCATCAGTCAGCCTCCACCTCCCTACGAAAGTCAAGGTCGAGGGTATCAACACCAAGACGGTCCTCATCCTATGGCCGCTACAATGCCTCGAGTCGAAGATTCATTCAGCAGTGGGGCATCCTTCGAGTCTATCGCCACGGACATGTCTGGAGATGAAGAGTCTAAGGAAGATCACTTCAAGAGGTGGTCTCAACTGCAGCTTTCTGCCTACGGCAAGTATTTGAAACTACCAGTCACGCCTCATGTGATCTCCGAAGTTTTATCTCATTACGAGAACGCCCAGGTCGAAAGGTTGGCTCTCCCATTGGGACTCAAGCTGTATAGGCTATATTTTGTAGAAGGCCGACCTGGGGGCGTGGTATGGAAGTCTGTGATTCCAGACCTTGACGCCGATGGAGATTCGATTTCTCCTTTCGAAGAAGGTGATATTGAAATTCTTACGACAACTCGTGACCGACTCAGAGACGATAACTGGGACTCTGGAGCTGTTTTGGAAACGGAGGTACCTCCGCCTCACCCTTTGCTCCCACATTGTATGGTTGCAATGGAAAGCCTCAAGCCTGAGGAGCTGAGTGAGTTTGGGCTGGTGGTTGCTTGGCGCTACTATGGAACTCAGCCATGGATGGACCGCTGTGGCCACCTTGTTCCAGACGTTTGAGGGTTGTTGGTAGAAAGAACCTTCCGATGGAAATTACTGGTCATGTCGATTGCATGCTTGCTGCGATAAGTCCAGCATTGTGGCGGTGAGGGTTGACTTAGGACAATAAGGTAGATTTTCAAAAGCATTAGGCTTATGACTAGAAAATATAAGTAAAATTCACTTGGGGGCTTACCTCTCTCATAGCAAGTTCATTATGATTCTCCCTCTCTATTCAGATTCCATGTCATGGCTTCCTTCTTGATAACAAGCCACGTATCAGAGTGATTATCCATGAATGCGATACGTCTAAGCCAGTGAGTGGTGACCACGAGGTAGTCAAAATTGAAGCTAGCCATGTCTTGCAACGCTGAGACGACATCTTCCATAGCTAAAAGCAACCTTGGTCTTACTGTGATGATAATAGCTGCGAGCAAATTGTCTGACGAACGTGGTTGAGCCTGCGCGGCTCAAGACGCTATCTAGACAAGCTACAACTTAGTGATTCTAGTGCTCTCTTAAATGTCAAGACTGCCAAGTTTCCAGTTCGGTTTACTACAGTCAGCTTTGGTTTGTGGAGTATTGAGTCAATCATCCAACAGCATATTACTTGGTAATATAGAAATAGATAGATCTATCTTTATGTTTTACTAAGTGAAATTGGAGCCTCAAGACAGAAGTTTTAGCCCAAGGAATACTATTCATAAATTCTTTATGAAGTCTGCTATTCTATGGCCATGCTTCACCAATTTGTGAACCTTGCTCGCTTATGAGTCTCATCCTGATTGGCTTCGTCGTCGTCATCATCATCAAAATAACGTTTCCTGGACCTCTGTGCTTGTCCCTCAGGCTCACCATATGCCTCTTGCCCCATCATCTCATCCACCGGAGACCAGGCAATGTCTCCATCATCGTAATCCGGCTCATCTATATCCATACCATCTTCGCTTTCACTTTCAGAGTCTGGTGTTGGCTCACTGCGCGCGATGATGGCTTCATCACGTCCAGTGGGTGCCAGTCGCCTGGCGTCCTCGACGGGAGTCCGCTCCTTCCATTCCCAATACTGTTCCGAGGTGCGTTTGTAGGCCTCCTTGTGGGCCCCCTCATGTCCCATGTTGTGGTATCCAGAGAATTTCCGGAGGTCAATGTAGTGAAGTGAATAAAGCTCTTCCAACTGAAACGGTTTTAGGTTGCGGATGTTTATTTTAATTGCATCGGAGTGCAATGGATATGGTTCGAGGCGATCAAAATCCTCCTTTGGCCATGGACTTGCTAAAGGTGAATACTTGAGTTCACCAACGCGCTGTTCCTTCCCTGCGTCATCGGATAAGTCTATGAGGTAGGGTAAGATTCGGCGTCTGAGAGTGTCTAAATAGCTACGTTCAAGCGGCCAGCAACCTGTTCCCCAATAGGCATGTTCGCGTCGAGGGTAAAACCCTGGCATTGGTCTGTATTCCAAGCTTGTACACTCGAGATAGCAAAATGGATGAAGGTGCTCGTCCTCTCCGCCATGGGAAAGGTAATCTTGACAACACTCAAGGTGATATCTGATGATCGAGTCCTTCTCTTCATTTCCATGCAGGCGCGGGATAATGTTGTCGAAGGAGCGGCGGCATACTCTAATCGGGTTGTTGAGGTGTGGTATTGTATAGTCAAATTGATCAAGAAATCGCTGGTAGATTTCAGGGTGGGATGCGGATAGTGGTCGGATTTGTGATTTGGTCATCGTTGCTTTTCTTTGTTGGTGGTTGCTGAGTTGTTGATAGCTTTTGAAGAAGGAAACCATGCATGCGGAAATATGTGTTATGTTAATGAAGGTACGTAAACATCCCGCACATTAGGTCTGCGGCTAAGCTATTTATCATGCTTCAGTATATCGTTCAGAACATATCAAGGTTAGCATGTGTACCACTGGGAGAGGCTTTTGTTCTTGGCCAGGTAACAATGCCGGTACTGAACATTAACTGATTTGTGTTTCAACACTCAATGCAATTGAGTAAAGGTCTGAGTGCACTAGATATATTAATAGATTTGCCGTTCTTTAGACTCTTTATTCAAGATGGTTTGTTCGAGTAGAAGTCGTTGCAGAACTTGAGTTAGATCCTTACTGGTCCGTTATTGTCTGGATTAGCACAGGCGTTTGGCTATTTCGCGAAGTCCCTTCAAGCCACAAGCTTTGGCAGCCTCAAACTAGTGTCATGGCTCTTAAAACACCGCATTTTCCGCCAGTCTTCGTCCAGAGAATTTCCAATATCTACTGACGTGTTTGCATTTCCTGGAAAGAATGGTGTTGTTATCACCTACCAGCGTGTAATTATCATGATATCGGCGAGCTACGGTTCATATTCCTTTGCTGTTAATGACATACTAGTGATCTAACGGTAGAGAGCGAGGCATTGGCGTCAAACAAAGACTCTGAACAAAGAATTTTTTTGATCGCTGATCAAAGGATTCATCCTTCCGACGCATATGTCTTTAGTGTTCCCTTCTTTGAGCCAAGTCTGCAATATCTTTGTTGAGAATCATCTTGGACTTCAAGGAATTTGGCAAGCGACGGCCACTGAGAATGGTCTCGATACGACGACTGCTTAGTGAGATATTAAAATGTCCCATTTTATTCAAGGTTTACCACGCTATTGCGTATGCAACTATCTCGCTTCTCTACCGACACTATCGAGGCTCAATCGCATTTGCGAAAAATCTAGTTACAACTTGCAGATCCGACTTGTTTTCGAAGCCTATGGCTTTGGTCTGCGATGCCTTGGTCTCTGGTACAGGTATCCATGGTACTTCCAAGATCCATCTCGTGGTGCTTTTAATGGACGGCCAACGTTGAATATGCAAGCAAGTGCTGGCAGCCAGTAGGCAAGGTTCTCTCAGGATACCCTGGCTCTTACTGGTTTCCCGCCTGCTCCGCTGCTTTTCGAGCAGCCACTCTGGCTTTGCGGGCAGCTTCCCGAACCTGCCAGTCTGCCAAAGCGGCCGGAAAGTAGTTCGCGACCTTCTCCTCAGGCTCCCATCTGTCGTCCTTAGGCGAGTATCCAACCCACTGACAATTATAACAGATCTTGCCCTTGACCCAGTCCTTTGCCTTCACTTTGAAGACATGATAAAGTTGCAGACCTGTAACTTCCTGCCGACCACCAAGGTCTTCCCAGTAAGTATACAGAGCTTGGGGATCGATCTTCTGGATGAAGTCCTCGCGTTCCCAAGACTGTGGGATGTCGTCGTCTGTCCACTTGACTAGAATTTGGACGGTGCTTTCCGAGCGGTCCACTCTGTGTCGAATCAGGGTGTCGATCTCATCAGCCATGATGTCTGTGACGAAGAGTGATCCGCACTACTGTCGAAAGGATAAATCTTTACTCACGTACTGGTAGTGTTGATGTCTGTGAGTGGTGATGTTTGAGAGTAGATTACGGGTTTGATCAGTCCCATGGATGGGCATCCAAGGATAAACGACAGAAAGCGAACAGAAGAAGAGGCCATGCTACACTGGTAAATCGCCAATAACTAAGATCACTTTTGCTGCTCTTAGACCACTGGAACATCTCCCTAACAATGTGCCACTGTCACCAATCTAAGAAGAATTACATAAGTCAAGCCTGTAATACCTGTTGCTTGGAATGGCCTTTCGTAAACCTGGCTCGCGGTGAGTCTCGATGTGACGGACGCGTTGCAAATTGCGACTATCTCATTTCACTCAAAGCTCACTACGGCATCGCAAAACCAATTGTTCTCTTCTCTAGCACGATCGAGGCTTGGTTAAATGTTCAAACGCTATAGACCTCCTTCAAGTTATCTATTGTATCTCTCAACTGCCTAAATCATTTCCTTCTTAGCTAACTCACCTCCAAGTAACCCAAGTCCTCTCTCCCGACTTTGCTCTAAGGATTCGCCGGCGGAATGTTCTGGTCAGCAGCTGCTCGCCTAGCCTCAAACTCAGCAAGCACATCCTTGGCAATCCTCTTTACCTTTTTTGGAGGCTCTAAGGTTGTATCCTTACGCGAGTCTGAGTATCCCACCCACTGGCAGTGGTAATACCATTTACCCTTCTTCAAAACTCTGGCAAGAACCTTGAAAATGTGGTAGTGTCGTAGATACGTAGCATGACCACGGCCACCGCATTGGCGCCAGTACCGATACACTGTTTCGCTGGCGGTTTCTTGCAGGAGAGCCTCGGGTTCCCACGTTGGCTCGTCATAGCCTTTCCACTTGACGAGAAACTGAACTGTCTTTTTTCTTCTGTTGACTTTGTGGCGTATGAAGCGCTCTATTTCGTACTCTTGGTAATCTTGATTGGCGGCCATATTAAATAAGAATAGCAGTACCGATTGTGAACCCTGTGGATTATTCGAATATCAATTCTATTGACGTCTTGTACTTTGGTGCATCGTCACTTGGTCCTGCAGATGCGTTTTATACAAATTCAAGAATCGAGAACATGGCATGCAGTAGACAATGGTGTGCCCAAATGAGATAAGTCGCTGTTCAGTAGGACAATCGATTCTGTTCTTTGTCCATTTTGACCATCTCTTTAAGAACATACCACCATTCACATATTAACAGAACACGTACAAGGCCCAGTAACCGCCGTGTTCTGTATGCAGCAAATCTCGTCTGCAATACGCTGCTTTATGCTGAGTGTTGAAATACATCATGCTTGCCATACCGCTCTGTACACCAGAATAGAGAGATGTAGTCAACATTATCAAGGTCTAAGAGTCAGGCAAGGTACATTATTTCAACTATAAGAACCTGAGTATATGGTACTTGTGATGGTCAGTCTGCGGGTCAAGAACCTTTGTTAAGGAGGATCTCCTCGCTTGGACGGCAGCTCTTGGCATTGTCTTGAACGGGAATAGACAGGCCATCGCTTAAAACAATGAATTTTATTACCGCTATAAATAGTCTGAAGGATCAGAGTGGAACAATATTTCCAATCTTTTATCGTATAAATGTCTGAGTTTGGCTGAATGATATACCGCGTTTTGGCCGATGCAAGGGCTCAAGAGTTCAAATACTGATGAGTACCCATAGAAGCACATGCACTCGACACTTACATTCTCGTTCAAATATAACTTTCCAAAAGGTCTCTCTTTAAAATCCGTTCATCAAACGTCACTCGTTCAACCCAATAGAAAAACAAAATGGCACGATCAATCGCCCTCGCAGCTCTTCTCTTGGCTCTCCCTATCGCAGCTCAGCCCGAGATCACTTCTACTCCTGGCGCGTCTACTGCTGCCCAAAGACTACCGACATTACTTCACACCCTCCCGAAACCACTGAATACACGGTTGTGTCGACGATTACACGCAGTAATGGTATTGACTATTATGCCGTTCCGATCAGCAAATCTAATGGGGGTCTGAAGAGTCGCGGGGTTTTAATCCGCTGCTGCAAATGGCAAGTGGAGTTCACTTGAGCTTCTTTGGGAGTTTTGTGTTTGGGACTGAAGAGTTCCCAGTGTCTGACGTCCCGTTGAGAAGTATCATGCACAAGGTGGCAGAGGGGAAGATTGATGCGAAGCCTTGGAGAGTGTTTGGCTTTGAGGACATACATGCTGCTCATCAGGCAATGGAGAATGGGGATGGTAACGGGAAAATGGTTGTCACTGTTGAGTAGTGTTTGGGACTTCAAAGATGCGCCCTCTGAGCTGCACAAGTTCTGCAATATTGCTCGATTGAACGATGTTGACTATTGCGATCTGCATTAACGATACTCGATCCCTCCAGTGCCAAACCTCATGGCGATATGAATGATCACGTCCAGTTCAGTAGTCATCTCCAAAAGTGACCTCTCCCACAGTTTGCAATGCAATTGGCGTTGACTATAACCGTTTGGTTTGGGGACAATCTTGGTGTCCGAGAGCGACGAAGAGTCTCATCCAATCAGATCGCGCCTCGATGGCTCAGTGGTAGAGCGTGTCACTAGTAATGACAAGGTCCACGGTTCGATCCCGTGTCGAGGCAAACGAGTTCCATCATCGTTGACCAGTTCTTTTTGGTCTTTTTGCAAGTTGTGACTTGAATACTGGCGATACAGAAAGGTCGTTTCCATAAATAGGCCTGCAACTACAAAGCTACCTGCGCCCTCCTCATTACCCATTTCATCTCAGGTAATCTCGAATGACATCCTCAGGTACATCCTTGCCCAAGTAATTCGGCACCCTCTCATACATCTCCCAAGCGCTCCTCTTCATAAAATTCGTCTGTTCCCTGACCCAACTTTCAAACTCACCCCTCTCCACCATCTCGCCCCTCTTCTCCTTCTCAATCAGCGTCTCCAGAACCGCATCAATCCTGCCTCTCAACCTAAGCAACTTCTCCTGCAAGAAAATGTTACAAAACGTCGGAATATGATCATTTCCTAAATCTACACTCCGAAGCGACGTATACTGATCATCCAAGTTCGGATCTGCAAATGCGTAGCTACTCACCATGCTCAATCTCTCCGGTACATTCGTCGCTCGCAGAGCAGCATGCTCAGTGCATCCACCCTGCATGATGACTGCGCCTCCCACTCTTGGACTTTTCACCTTTACGATGGAGCCGTCTCCTGTGCGTATAGCTGTCTCGCCGCCTTGCATGCTGCTTGTATCGCTGAGCATCACAACGCATACAACCGGGACTTGGTCTTTGTGCCAGGCGTCAATGGGTATGTCGTCGTAGCTGGACTTTTGCATCTCTTGGGGTGAGAGCGGGGCTGAGGGTGTTTCGGTGAGTTTGTAGACGCCGGGGAGACCTTCGGGGCCGAGTTGGATGTTCACGAGTCCGAGATCGGCTTCGCGTCGCAGGAGTCTGAGGCCGAAGCCAGCTGCGTGATCGATGGCAGCTTGCGTTGCGGGATGTTGCCATGCTTGAAGAGTAAACTTTGCAGTCTTTTGCAACTAGTTTAGTTTTGATGTTGTTACTGTGACTTTTGACTGACCTTCTCATGCCCCGCGATGTAAGCAGGCGCACGATCCCATGAACGGAGATACTTGTCGAGAATTGGTTTACTCAGCATCTCACGACGGAGCATGCGCACTCCTTCTTCTGAGAAGAGCTGAAAAGGTTCTGTGACGCAGAGATCGGGTGCATTTTCTGGCTGCGGGAGCCCAAGGTCCTGGAAGGTGTGGCGTCGAGTAGGAGGCTGGAAAGCGAGGTGGATGGCGGGATCAAAGTCCGGGAGGCCGAGGTCGACAAGAGCGGTGAGGGCTGGGGAGGGGATGTTCGCCGGGGCCGGAGCTACCTTTGCAGACATGTTGTAGGATATCTAGAGATGGAGAGTGGTAGGTTTTGTTGATTCAGAAGCGAGAAATTGACACTGCGAAATGGCAAGTCCTGTTTTCCAACTACATCGTTATAGATTAGGGAGGGCCATTTGAGCCTTTTATCATTGTTACCAACCTCGTGAATGAATCTTTATCGGCGTCGCTTGCTGAAGGGGGGAGGGGCGTTATGTTAGTCTCTTCTTATATCATTTCCTATTCTGGTAATGGTATCCTGACTACATCGCTGGGCTTATCATCTGACGCTTCCTGTCAGATAAGACACCAAAAATAGGGGCCGGCAATTGAAACGCCACGAAATTCCTTATCAGGCCCATTTCTCCGCACTTACCCCACACGCAATGGCCTGAAAAGTACCTGGAGGTCGTTTGACTCAGTGACCAAGGAAGCTTGACCCCAAGGTTGGCTGACAAAAATAATCAGTTAAAAGGCCTGCTAAATCTTCCCTAAATTTAACTAAGTTTAGCAAAGTCTTTTCAGTATTTAGTATCCAGTTCTTACATTTACTTGCCCTAATTGAGGAATTTGGATTGTGAAAATCATGCGGCGTCTGACAGGTGAGTCGTGGTCATCAATCCATCAGGATTTTACGGCGATTACCTCCTTTGATCATCTGAAACGGAGCTGACATCAGAATAGGTAGATAATCTGATTGACCTGGCTGACTCTTGTGAGATTGAGACCTCTCTAACTAAGACAATGGCGGCAACAAACATTTAGCCGAGACTTTACTCGACAGCATCGCGAGGGGAAGTTTACTGGGAGAATGTAGGAAACCTTTTCTTTTCTGCACTGCACTACATACGGACTGTCTTCTCATGCCGCATAGATACCAACAGTCCAATCACTACCTGGGCAGGACACCTCTGCCTGATGCTCCTGTAGAGCATTGCCAATATGCAACCAACAAAACAGAGCGCCTTTCTTTCCACTGCGCTTTAGAAGAATGAGAATACCTCTAGTCCACTAACAGACCGCTCAAAAACCGCTCATTCATCAGTGAGAGGCTCAAGACCTTCAGGTCCGTAAAGAAATCTGTCAAATGACGGGGGGAACAACTGCACCGCAGTACTAAAGTTGTCCAAGAAACCGGACACCACATCGCAAAACCCGATTACTCGATCGCAAAGATTTTTAATACGAGTGAAGAAAGATGAAATGAACTGAAGAAGAAATTGAAGGACCGGAATGAGCATAACGATGATGCAAAGAATTGCAGCGTTGGTCAGGACTGAGAAGTAGACGGCGATGACGGCGAGACCCGAGAGGCAGACGCAGCTCGCGGTGGCGACAACGAAGGAAGTTCCGATGGCAATGGAGTAGAAGATGATGTCGTCGATCTCGTAGAATGTTTGGAGGGTGAATGAGATGATCCACAGGAGAGAAACGATAAGGACCAGCTTCATGGTGCCTGGGTCGATGAGATCCGCCATGTTGATGTCCTCTATTGGCGTGAAAGGGAGATGAGAGAGCGAAGTGTTTTATTTCGGGTTGCAGGTGCTAATGCTTGCAAAAGTGATGAAAGGGTAGTGTGGAAGATATTGCGATGAAGAGATGGCCAGAAGTCGGGAGAAGTCAGATGAATCTTTGGGGTTCGCCAACAATGTTGTTGTTCTGCGTGATTACCTTTCATTTGCCGGAACCTTTATGGTGAATTGACAGTGGCACTCGCTGGCGATCTGAACTCCGACCAGCAAACGATTATGAAGCTACACTACTATGAGTAGCATAAGCCCTGATAACGCAAAGTTGGCGTTGCTGCCACTGTCAGAATGACCTTGTGAAGGCGAGAGACGATTTTGTCACATGAGCTGTGCTTGAAGTTGGCTGCCAGAGACTCTCGTTATTTCTCAATTGGGGGCGAAGCCGCAGCTCGGTAGCAGATTGGCTCATATCTAAATTCACTATTCTCCCTATATCGTACACAGACTGCCATTGTACTCCCAACTTTCCCGGACAAGTTTGACTACCTTCCTGACATTCAAAGGACAGTTGACCTGTTCAAACTGAACACATCTCCTCTTTGACGACGATGCAAGCGTCGTGGCCATGAACAGTGCGAAATCCGAATCACTAAGATCAGACAGTCAAAAGGGCCAAGACGGTTTCCCAGCAATTATTAACGAAAATACACAGCAAGCCTAGATCCTTGAGTCCATGATACGTCGCCCGAGAGAAACTCTCGCCTACCCTCCTCCCGTCCCCTGAACCGAGGATCCAGGGTTTCAGAATGAGCAATTTTGCGCAACCACCAACCCAGCACATCTCGGTTGTGAGCAATCACGGCTTTTCTGGCTAGGCGCTGTACTTTAAGGGCGTACTTCTCCTTCCACGGCTTTTCCTTGAATACTACTCCCACATCATTCGGATTATATGGGAAGGCGAGTACAGGGCCCATGAGTCTTTGTGGGGGGTGCCCACTCTACAGTAACCAGCGGCGTAACGCTTGGTGGTAACATGGGCCACAAGTTTATGCCAGTTCTTTTGCTTGGAGTCGTGGTTGACATCACCTGGAATATTGATCAGCATCGTGAGTTCTGAGACCAGCACAGCTGGGGATGTACCGTGTGTATCATAGCCGATGGTGATTCTCATGTCAGGCGGCTTATACGTAAGTCTCGGCGGCGAGTGATGACCATCTGAGTTGACAGCGTTGATTTGATCCAAGATATTGACTTCGTACAGAGTCTTTGGGGAGATATCACTAAGAGCTTGTAGTAGATAGTTGACTTGCTCGCGAGCCGTTTGGGACAAGTCGGCGAAAACAGCGACAGGCTGATGAGGCAAAGTCGGGGTAGTCTGCACGCCACTGCTAGGTGAGACTTCATCGTCTCCATGGCTGTCGTCAGACTTCATCTTCTTCGCTTCATGATCGAGCTCGGATCCTCGACGTTTCAGGCTCATGGTGGAGAGGATAGGAAAACAGTTATGATAAGGGCAATGTTGATGGTGGGATCTTAAAAGGGAGAATCAAAAGTGAGAGTTGAAGACGATGGAAGCAATTTATACCATTGCTAATTTGACTAGATCTATTGAATATGAGATTGGATCAGTTAATGAGAGCTTCAAACAAAGCCATAGCCCAACATGCAGATGGACAAACTTTGGGACCTCAGTCCATATTGACAAAGGCGGTATTCGCTCATGCCTCAGAGTCCATTCAATCATACATCAAAGACCCCTTTGCGCTGTTACTAAAAAACATATCAAAGCCGGATATCGATCCACTTACGCTTTCATTTTCAGGCAAAGTTTGCGCGTCTTGCATTCCCACCCAAACTAACCGAAGCAGTTACAAAAGGTAAGCACGTTCACTTACCTATAGGACGATGGTCAAGCATGACAGGACAAGTGAGGTCAGCGGGGAGGTGGTATTTTACATAGCTTAACATAGTCAATACCACTTGCTACTCTAATTTGAAATAAGTATTTACAAAACTTAGGCGGCTGTAATTAGCTATTTTATCAAACGTATAACAACATATAAAGAGATACGAGGAGCATGGGCCATGCAGGAGCCTTTTGACTAAAGTATATATTTATTAATAGACGTTATTACGTTTATGTTACGGTAAGTATCTCTCATTGTGACCCCAGCAAGGAAACACTCTACGTGAATACCAAGATCAGAGGCCCATAATATAAGAGATCCAGTAGCAGGTCTAACACCACCAAATGAAGTTCAAGGCTGAGGGGAAACATCCAGTGAAGTTCATACAACATCAAGGCCGGGACAATCAACCAAAGCATTCCAAGAACCTTACGGTAAGTAACCCAAAGTATTACTTCGACTGTCCATAAACACCAATAGAAACCATACTTTACCAGGGTAAAAAGAGCGTATAAATAAACACGCAATACCGAGGCTCGATTGCAGTAAAGCAGGCTGTCAGTTCCATATGTTTTCATCATGTAGGCCGTCTTCTTGGTGTACAGTAGTAGGTCCAGATACAAACTTGCTCGCACAGCTAGCATCCCGCGCTCTCTCAAAGAGAACATGCGTAAATGCCTTGCTCTCTCGTAATGCGTGAAGAGTTTTGGCGTTAGGTCGGCAGCGTCGATGCATCGCTGGCCAGCAACGATGTACAGGTACTCCTCTCGACGGCCATGGGGAATTCGTGTACAGAGTCTTGACAGCTCTTCTTGGAGAGCCCTGATGAGCAACTGCCACGCATAGGGATGTCCAGGTGTTGTATTTATATGTTTGTCGGGAAGAAGGAGAGTTAGGGATTTTAGTGTATACCAGAGCAGGATGAGGGCCGGGTGAACCAGAGTGGCGTGGGCAGATGATGGAGAGTCTCCTCCCGGGGAGGCTTTGGAAAGAAGACCGTTAAGCATGGTGGTCGTAGTGGTTTAGTAGTAGATTAGTTCCGTGTTACCTTTGTCGCTGGGTGGGTAGCTGTAGGTTTATAACGGTGTTGGTGGGTTTGATCAGAGAAGACTGGTGAGAAGTTAAGTATTTAGTTTCAATGCAGAACATATGTCTGAAGTCGATGTAAACAAGTTAGGTTGTTCAAGGCGGAAAACAACAACCAAAATCAAGGTTCAGGTGAACAAGCAAACAGAGGACTTCAATTCAACTCGAACAAGAACAAAGGATACAAACTGAGACCTGAATAACTGCAAACTCAATGCTAGAAAGCCGCCGCTGCATTTTCTCATTGAGGAGAAAAATGTTCTTTTAGGCAACGTCTTTCCAGTATCTAACAACTGTCCCTCGAGCCCCGACCTCTGAAACGACCTCCTGCTGCAAACTTCAAGGCATCGCGCTGTTTCTCTCTCGATGGGAAATTAAGATCACAGTTCCGTTCTCCGCTACGCCATCCAATATATCCCCCCGTGTGGCTGCGCGCAGTCTCACTGTGCGCAATCCCCAGCGCAATCGAGATCAAGGCCGTCATGTCGAGGGTGTCCATAGAAGCAAGAGACATTTCAGGAAACACTTCTGAAGCATATTCCCTTCCTTCAATCCCGTAGCGCACCGAAATTACTCGTTTCAGAAGTACCCGAAAAGCTTCCAGCTCCTCAACGCGACGTTGGATTTCCCCTCGAAGATGACGCAAGGACCATATCGCCCACGATAGGCTTATGTTCTCGGGAGTGTCCGCTGTAGTCGTGAGATCAAATCTTTGGAGCATGAGGGAAAGATGAAAAGCCGGTCCAGACACCTCGTTGATTGAAAGAAACGCAATGGTCAAAGAACGTTCGAGGTTCTGAAGGGCCTCGGGTATGTTCATAGTGACAAGCTCATGAATCTTTTCGTCAATCTCGTTACCGTCGACCAAGGCGGCTGGTGCATACTTCCGGTGAAGTGCTTTCTCTTTACCGAGTGCCTCCAGATATTTAGACGCAATATCGCTCGATGGTCTCAAGTCATAGTGCAATTGCACGGTCAGATTTCCTATGCAAGAGTCCAGGAAGGATCCGAGATGAGGCTCAAGGCTCTGTCTTACATTTCTTGCCACGTTCTCAACATGAAAGGATGCATCTTGGATTGCGTTTCTCGGGTCCTTCAAATGAGAGACTAGATCATGAGCATCACTCTCTTTCAGTCTTCCGTATTCCTTAAGCCCCGCGTCACACACAGCCTTGTTCAGCCTATTCTTAAAAGGAATGACGCTGCGCTAAGATCAAAGGTGGTTTAGTCACTCAGATACTGGCAATTATATAAGCGCTGGCTTTGTTTCCCGAACCCAAAAGGCCCTGTAAATTCAATTAACAGAATTAAGAAGCAGAGGACATGGAAAAAGAAGAAGTAAATGTGTTTTATGCAAAATGTAACAGGAAAAGCCATTGAGAGAAAATCAATACTGTTATTGGTGTAATTGTTCTTATCGGTTGCCCTACCCTACACCACCTAAAGCGCGGCCAATTCATCCGCGCTCACATGCCTGGACTAGCCAGCCATGTAAAGACTTGAACAATAAGAAATACCCATCGAGCTCAGCGGCTAATATATCTAATAATTACCAATTTAACCTTCCCAGCATTATACTAGCCTAGATATGCATTTAGTTACACTAAACAGTAATTACTTAATTAAGGTTATTACATAAACAATCCCTCCCACTTTTTAAAAACAGCTATGTTTATTATTAAAGCACAACTTATTACTATTGATCTGACTTAATATCCTGCAAAAAGAAAGAATATCTTGATTGAATTGGCAAAAGATACATACAACAGCGGGGATTCGCTGGTCGTCACCGACCCAACTACTGATCCGCCCCTTACAGGCTTGACTATGGGAGAGCGGACGGGATCCCGTATTTTCCTGCAGGTATGGTCGTATGTGCTTGGAAAGTCTCGTAGTACAGGCTATAGTCATGCACGTCCCACAGACAGTCTCCTGGCCGACAATAGCTTTATTCATGTGAAGCGCAGAGAAGGGTTGCGAATATTCTCCACCTCACGACTAGCCTATTGTTTCAGCGCTACTGGAGCAATCCATTAATCGCATTAAACCTGAAGGTTTCCATGGTGGGAAGATGACAGCGCCAATAAGTGATGTCGCTCCAGCTCTTCCTCACAGTCGATAACAAACTTCATGAATGACAAGTCAGAATGGGTAAAAAACAGTCTTCAAAAACATTTTCAGAACCTGAGCGAAATAGAAATTCCAATCATCTATAATCCTTATTGTAAATTACTTTTAGATGATGCAGACTGTTTCCCTCTTCCTCTCCCAATTGCCCTCCTTATCAAACACCACTGGACCCAATAGCTCGTTTTCTCGCGCTTCTCTATTCTCATCATGAAGATCAAATGTGAATGTTCCGATTCGGCGAAAAGTCTGAGACAGATCGCAGAACCCTTCAGATGTCAATGGATCCTCCTCTTCGGTGTCATTCTGGATAAGGATTAAGCCTTCGTAGCTTTCCCACACGGCTTGTTCATAGCGATCGGTTTGACACCAGCCCAATTGCAGAGGAACGCAATAAATCTGAACCCACTGCGATGAAGGTATTTCTTCTGGAAGATCGATAGTACAGGAGTTGGCGAATTTGTGTGCCTGTTGTGTTCCTCCTGCGGGGCTTTTGAAGCAGAAGTTTTCAGAAATCTTCTTATACTCATCAGAGGAGATGATAACATATGCATCATCATCTTGATGTTTCGATGAGTCTTCTGATTGTGGCGCTTTCAACAAGTAGCACTCTCGTAAGTGGCATTGCATCTCAATAAGGCCCGACTTGATCTGCCCAGTTGTCGAGAGCGAGTACCCAGTCTGAGGCTCAACACAAACATCCAAGATCCTCGCAAGCTGTGTTTTCTTCCCATTCCAGATCCACGGTATGTATTGCTCAAAGAAGTCAACCTCGCCGTCCAACGAAGCCCAGCTCCACGACGGAGCGCGATAATAATCTGGCCTCCTGGGTGATGATCCAGCCTTAGGACGCCATAAGAGGCTTTGCTGGAAATTGTCATCGCGCCAAAGACCAGCGGCGTATTCCAGCTCCGATACACCTTTTTTCGATCCACGTCTTGCTTCAGCGATTCTCTCGACGATGCCTTGTAGCGCAACGAGTGTGTCAGAACTAAAAGTCAGACGCGCCTTGGTATATCTGCTAATAAAGTCGTTCCAAAACTCCGATGGCTCTTCCTCCAACTTAGAAGCTCTCATGAGTTTCTGGCGAAGATACGACAGACTTGCACTCTCGTTCACCACAGTGCTAAACTTTGGATCCAAGCCGATTGGAAATGCCTCACTCGCTTCTGTCGTCGCGCAGGACCAGACCATTTGCTTCGATCCAAAGACCAACGTCCGTGGTGATACCAAGAGTTCTTGCAGCGCCCAAGCTCGACGGCTCAAAGGACTCTCGTTGATAGTATCGAATAGTAGGCGTTCAGGTTGGTGCGGATAAACAGCCCATGGGTAGCTTACTCGGTGATATACCGAGCTTTGGATGATGTTTGCGACGCATGGTCTTACTGCGCGGGGATCGCGACGGCAGAATATGGAGTCTTGTACACTCGATCCCCCAGCTGCGGCGAGGGTCAGAGCCGCTGAACCGTAGATGCTTCCCATCTTCGAGGACTCCTTGATCCAATCGGGTTTGGAGTCTTGAATGATGCAGAGCGCATCAACCCATAGATATTCATACCCAAGATCTCGTGCTGTGGTGATTGCATCGCGGATGGTATTTGGTAAGCTTGCCGGAGGAATTTCGTTTTGGAATGGAATGAGGGTTGCTTGCGTGAGAGTGACGGTGTTGTCGGTTCCCCAGCAATAGCTCAGTGCAATATAGGGTACTGCTTTTGATGGAATGACGAGTCGCGGTTGGTGGGTTTTTGACCCCACGTGGATGAGTCTCGTTGGACGCCAATTCGTTTGTCGAGGTTGGAATTCTTTGCAGATGGGATGTGAGCGCTTGCAACCTTTGATCCATTTCAATGCAAGCTGTGAGTTCTGGTCGTTCATAGTCGATGCATGCTTGCCGGGGATGGTCTTGATCACATGGTTCGTGTCCGTTTCTGCAGCGAGATCAGTCAAAGTTCTCCCATGCGATCGCAATCTTACCTTGAAGTGGCCGCATTCGCAGATCGAATGACACATCTTCCAACACTGAGCCTTTATCCGACCTGACCGCCAGCCAGAACTCATCCGGAAGATCAATTCCCAACGCAATATCAGTAATCGCCATGCTCGTCCTCTCATCCCAACCCAGCTTCCCGCTTGGATCTCGCTCAACAGTGCGATATTTGAAGCAAAGCCGTACAACCTCATCATCGCCTAGATTCCGAAACTGCTCTTTTGACTTTTCATCAAAAGCATGCGCAATTATGATGCAGAGATGGCAGCCTGATGAAGTTGTTTCGGAAAGAAAGTCTCGTTTTGACTTTGACCATTTTGCCCAGCGCGATATGTCGTTTAGAAGATCCCAGCTGCTAGGATAAGAATAATCGCTTTTGGGGAATTGGGATCTGTGGGTTGGGCAGGTATATGGTGTGCAGCCGACGATGGACATTGAGCATGCGTGGGTGCATGCGTCGCAGAGACGTGATCGCTCGAGTGGTGTCGGCCGCATTGTGATTGACCGCGTAAGAACAGTTAAAAGGGTGGAAAAAGAAATATGGAGAAGGAGAACTAATCAATATGAAGTATGGAGATATATATGAGATGGTGTTTGTCACCTGCTGGTTAGGCTGACTCAAGCATTTAGCTCGTATACGGTATGACTCAGACCGCGTTAACACCCCGGCCAGCGAGTCAACAACCATAGCACTAGATAGCGGCCACTTCGTATAGCGTAAACTACCTGTACTTGGACTAGGTTAAAGTAGCAACATTAACAGAAATGGCTGAGTCGTCATAAAAATGTCAATAGAGAACGGAAGAGTTCAATTATGGTTCAAAGTCAATTCAGATAAATAATATTGCTTGCGAACATAATCCTCAATCGCTTTACATATAAAAAATGTTCAATAACAATACCGGGCCACCAATCGCAGATCAAGCAGCTCAGATCAACACAGAAGCGAATAGTCTCCTTGGTATAACATTCCACAACAATCGTGACGCCTACATCTCTAGATAATCTGAACATGTCCAGAACGGACAAGACGGCAATTTGTTCACACCTCCATCCAAGTTAAATGCCCACGTAGCCCGTCGACCTTTCCGACTCCCATTACAGTGACCCTGGAACTAATAAACCTGCTCGCTCTGTTCAAAAGAGCTCCCTGGAGTCGGAGAAGGAATACTCCAGCGACAAGGTGCAAACAACGCCGGCGACCGCAGAGGCTCGCGATCTGGCCTCTGGACGCAAAGCTCGGTCAACTTTATATCCAGGCCCGAAGTGCAGTCGCAATGAGTGTTCTTTTTCGCAGAGTCCTGGCGCATCAAGCCATTACTTGGATTGCGCAACGTTAGACTCTGTGCAGAGCAGAGATGCGGCTGTAAACTCTTGCGACGATCAGTCGCACTCTTACGCCTGCGTGGGGGAGACTCCAAGGCAAAGTGAGGAGGTGTTCGGCCATTGAGTGCAATCACTGTAGCGCGGCGACGCTGTTTCGGGGCCATGTGGCGTGGAGGACTTGAGGTCTGGGCGAAGCTGGGTATGTCTGTTGGGGTTTTGGGACCAAAAGCTCGTGCTGCTGGAGCTGAAAGAAAGGAGCTTTTGGTGAGGTTGAGTGGTTGAGGCACCATTTTTGAGAAATATGACTGGGCGGGATATTCTTGGAGGAGGTCTTGGAGTTTGGCTGTTGAGAGGAATCATGATGAAACGCCTTGTTTTATCAGTTTCGATGTGTAACGCTTGGGCGAAAAATGCTGCCGTTGTAAGCAAGCATTTTGTTTACTTATGCTGAGTTTAATGACGAAATTAAAAATTGTAATGAGACTCAGAGCTATTTTATGCACTCAAGAACGTCATTCCAACTATTTCATTTTTTGAGGCTGCTTTGGACAGGCTGAGTCTTGCGTTTCAGAGCATTTTGAGTTTCGGGATTGGGAACTTTGACCTGCTGGTGCGCCCGAGGTACAAACATGAAACAAGAAAGTGGAGAATGGCGTAGACTGTTCTAATGGCATGATCTATTAATAAAAAAGCTTATTTCCATCTGAATTGACTTTTTTTGTTGTTTTATTTGTAAGCACGGCTCTGGGTATAGGCCGCGATGACCTCGATTTCCTTACACGCAGCGAGCGATGGGGGACTACGATGCGAATAGTCATGGTGAGAGGGAAGACGGTATCGGCAGTGTGAGAAAGAGCGCTGGTAGCTAGGTAGCTAAACGAATGAAGTTGTTATGTACTGAGAAGAATGTAGTAGAAACAACTATGTACACAATTTGCCCGATGTCCTCCCTCTTTGTTGTTGCTCCTGTATCTCTCCTCCACTTCGATCCAACATGTCCATCCCTAACATAAACACTGCATCTAACAGTATCGCTCTCTGCAGCGATTCTCAAAGCAGCGACTTTAAGAAAGACCGAACCACTTGAAGTCAAGATCCTCATGGGTAGGTACGACATGCCCCACTCCAGCAGCGGATACAGCAACGAATTTGGTTCCGTCTCCGTAAATCATGGTGGTATAGCCAGACTGAGGAGTGTTAGTCTCGTTGCGCGAGAAAGAAACACCCTGAATCGTGGACCACTCCTTAATCTGCTCAAGAAGGTTTCTGTAATAGACAAGATTGTCCGCGGTGCCATGCCAGGTCTTGAACCGAGGATACGCCCCGCTGTAGCCAGGATACATCGACTTAACCTGATCAGCCCACTGCTGTCCCGTCTTGATGATCTTTCCGTCAGAGCAGACACGGTCAGAACTAATGGGGCTCGATCCAGGAGATCCAGCCATGCATCCGGCAGCAACGCCAGAGTAGCATGTAGCAGCGGCGAATCGGTCTGGATACGTAGCAGCGAGAACATTGGTCATCATACATCCGGAGCTGGTACCCGTGACGTAAACCTTGTTGCGGTCGGCTCTGTATGTGTTGATGATATAGTCTACCATGCTGACGAGAACCTGGCTGTCGCCCTGACCATCGTGCTTGAGGGTCTTGGTGCTGGCGACATCCCAGCAGTTAAAGTCCTTTTGCGAGGAGGGGAAGATGAGGATGACGCCCTTTTGATCGGCGAGGGACTTGTACTTGGTCTGCTGGAAGTATCCTGGTCCGTTTCCTCCGCAGGCGTGAAGCTTTATCAACAGGTCAGCTCAAGAACTACGAGATTTAATGGGGATGACTTACGGCGAGCATGACTGCTGGGCTGGAAGGAAGGTTGCTAGGGATGTAAGCCTGCATGATTAGCTGCGTGCCATAGGTGTTTCCAAAGTTGTTTATGGTCTGGAGCTGAGCCGCAACAAGGCTAGCGCCCATGCTCAGCTGTGCGAGCAGCTTTCGGGGTGAGGGGAGTCCAAGCATGATCAATAAATTCTCCAATTCTGCTTATTTGTTGGTGTCCGCTATTCAATTGCTTGACCGCGGTCTATCTCAGCTTTATACCCGAACCATGTCATGATTCTATTGTCAGCTCAGGTGAGGTTCAAATGCCGGTGTCAAATACCGCGAGATCCGGAGGCAGCACGTCCGAAGCGAGACCCCGCAGCCGGGAAAAAGAATAAATACTGCGTGCCCGTCGCGGGCAGGATCAAATGGTAGACAGCGTCGCATGCATGGATGAAACGAGTATTGTTTCAAGAGGCTATTTCCATCTCCAACTTATCCATCCGAGGTAGTCTCGTTTACCCCGCATATCTGGCGTCATATGTACGAAAAGAGTATGCCGAAGAACACGGAGGATGGTTCTCCGCATTTGCCAGAAATGGTAATTGGTACCTGACTAGGGATGTTCTGGATAAATAGGGCGCCACGCGGATGATTACGCTCCGCGACCGCCAAGAACAGGAGCCTGTGTTCAGTTTTGATCCTCTTGTTCACCGCCAGAGGTATTATTGCAACAGGCTATCACCATTTTCAGAACACAACTTGTCGACTCTCTCGTAATCCGGCTGAACAACCCTGGCGCTTTTGGGCTATCCAGCTGACCAAGACAGTGGCCGACAAATCAGGAGAGTCTCCTTTGGGAATCTCTACTTGAAGATGGTAGCTACAGAGCTCAGAATAAGTGGGCGGAATCTCGAAACCCATCGAAAGAGAAGGGTATACGGGACACCTTTAGTGCAAGAGAGATCTACATAGGGACATTTCGAGCGGTAGGCTTGACTAGTGAAAGCCTTTGTTCGCGAGATGCCGTAAGGATACGCCTGTCGGCTGTATCAATGGCTCTTACCAGTCACCATGCGCTACAGATGTCGAGGTACCTAGGCAAATATAGTGACTGCTGGCTACTCGAGCAGCTTCGTCGGTACGTGTCGACTGTGATGATCCTCGTGTAGGGTGAAATGCAGATGCACTGAGTAGACAGCCAAATCATCCGAGCAATCGGTAGGCATCATGGCGAGTAATTTCGTCACTAACTGGGGCTGTCGGTGATTGCCACGTAACTCGTCATGTTGGAGGTTTTGAGGACATCCCTATATGACCCTTTTGCTTCGACCCCTTTACAAAACGCATTGATTCAGTTCCCCTGATCATATAGCCTTATGGCCCAATGACGAGGCACCCCACTGTCTTGCAATACCAAATCGATCTATGAAAGAAGTGAATGCGGAAGAGTCCTGCGACTACGAGCGTTGTTGAGTTCCTGAGAATAATACACACCTTGTTTCTGTCCTTGTTCGCCAGTTATTGTTCCAATGTAAGCTTCTTTGTCCGTCAACAAGTTCTGCGCACATTCGTTCAGTCAATTTCGCATTGTTCATATTGTTCTTTGAGCATCTTCACCGTTAGTTGCTCACAATTTATCCGTGTTCATCATTCTTTCACATCCTCGCCTGGATGTTCACTTATGCTGACCTATGAACTTCTTATATCCTTAAGACAAAGAAGGAAGCAATTAGCTATAAGAGCTCAGAGATATCCCGATACCTCAACTTTACTCTCAAGCCAACTCAACAGGTTAGTTTACAAACACCTCCAGTTCATCATCACCCACCGTATGCGACTTCTTAGAGGGTTAGTCTTACTACTAAGAGCTTCTCGATTACTCAAAACCACGAAATTTACGAATCATGAATCGTCTTCATCCCAGCTGCAATTGCGAGGCAGAGTTGACGCGTCTCAAGGAACGTGTCACTGTGCTTGAGAAACAACTTGCGGAAATCCTACCGCAAAAGTCGTCAGACAAGGTGGCGCCCAAGAAGAAACGAAAGTTGAATGAAGCGACCGCATCAGCAGACGCAGAGCCGCCTAAAAAGAAAACGCCCAAGCGGTCGGAAACCGGGGTCCTTGCTAGTAAGGCAGCGCTGCTGACCTGTATGTCTGAAGCAAGAGACGATCCGAAGTTGGATCGACGTTATCTCACACAGAGAGGACCTCCGATTACCCAACGGGCCTTCTCAAAGGCCTATCTCGAGTGGACACTGGATGACATGGATCCGCGGGTCACACCATTTCGATATCGACACCGGAAGGCCAACAAGTGTCCTGCCCGAGAGAGCTGCGAACACTGGCATATCGTCGACGGCACAGAGCGCCACAAGGAAGGTGACATCTATATGCTTCTTAATTGTCTAGACATCGAGTCAGTCGAGGAGGGAGATAGTGGGTGTGAGGGGATCAACATGTTTGATGATGAGGAGCCTCGGGCTAATCGTATCACTCTTCACCCCTGCCGTATCTTCAATTCACTGAAGCCTGACTTTATTGCTATAGAGGATGAAGGATATGTTGTTCTTCATTGTCTTGTGCTTGATTATGGTAAGACGGTGGAGGAGGATGGGGATCATTGGAAGTGGATGGATCAGCACGGGCGGCTGCTATCGAGAATGTCGCTATAATTTCAAAGGTACAACTAGATATAGTTAGAGTGGGAATGGAGGATGGATTAGGCAATTAGGATTGGAGTTATGACGCTCCTCTAGATAGCTTTCAAATCTCATTGCTACCAGAACTTGCTTTCTTGAACTGCCTTCCATTCCTGGTCTGATATAGCAAATGGTATTATACTGTAATTTTCAAATACTAATTTACTTATATATAAAGATTAGCATGGCACTATATAAGTACGAGGAATAGTATCAATGTCATTGCTGTATAGTGAATCCTTCTATCCTTTATAGTAAGGCGTAGGTTTATTGGCATAAATGGCTTTAATGCAAATTTACCAGATTCTTAGAATAAGGGGATCTTAGGTAAGTGAACAGTATTAAGGCAGCTTAGACCTGAAAGATAACCAGTATACTGTTTAGTAACCTGATATTAAAGAAAGCTTTAATTAGATACTTAAAGGATAAAGATACATCTTAAGATTTTTTAAGTAAAGATAACCGTAAAAGAACACAAACTTGCCTAATAATGATTTTCTTTATAGTTAAAGCTAGTTAGTACTTATCTACATGCTCGATCCCCCTGATTAGGGACTCCTGGTGAGTACTGATTGACTTGCATTTTTACGTTTAAATTAAAGCAACGGTCCAGATCCTACAATAACATCACTACTATATTTACCGTTTAGTTGATCATTTAATTGAAACTCTTTTTAGAGTCACAACTGGCCTTCCAGTGGTGTATGACTTTTACTATTGCCCACTTAGCTGTATCCTGCCTTCGGCGCTGTACCTAGCCAACTCATTCCAATGCCCAGTATAATGTTAGGGCTTACGACTGTCTTGTTTATAATAATATTTACATACACTATATTACGCTGCATTACGGAAGCTATAATATACTTAGCCAAGAAGCTATTGTCCTTTGTATGGACACTGTGTTTAAACCCGTTTTTTATAGTTACTTAAGACTTTGCCTACCCTAAAGTCCTTAATGCAGATTACTTAATACATAGGGCAGCTTATTTCTCTATAGGTTTTTAAAGGGATTTTAGTATATTAAGTAAGAAATATAAATAAAAAGTATTTCTTTATGCCCATTATAGACCAATTTAGCTATTATTAAATAATATAATTTATAAATTCAGAATTTAGTAATTAAAATTCTAAATAATTTATACATTAAGCGCTTTACCCCTTGATATCTGTTAACAGATAACTGCATTCTGTATCCCTAAGCTTTACTATTACACAGAAACATCATTATAGACGTCGCGATATTGAATGGCCTACTTTCTCCAAATGAAAGTTAGCCATTTAGTATTGAAGCTGCAACTGCCAATCAGCTACACTAATGTATGTATTTTCAATGTTGCCTCAAGACGACCCCAAACACTACAGAACTTTAAATTTACTAACGGCAGCTCCACACATAGTAAGGCTTATTACCACTACAAATAGGAAAGAAACAAACAAGGAGTACCTTATCAGCTTTAGGAGCAGCTGGAATTACTACAATTTTCGCACTGGCCGACCTTTCGCAAATTAACCTCAAAAGAGGTAATGAATCGGCAAAGTCTATATAAGAGGATAAGCAGTACTGTATCGGTTGATGGAAATTTATTCTATAGTGCAAATTGACTTTAATCCTGTGCCATTTTTCGCATTGTGGAGTGACTGGTCTGGGATCTTACCCCTGCCATTCGATGCGTCTGCCTATTCCATGTAAGATGATTGGGCAGCAATGCGAATTTAACTGGATATAAACCTTCCTTGGAATGACCCTTGTTAAAGCCGGTAGGACACGACAACGCATTCGTTTCAAGGTCTTTGGACGGACTGAGAAGTATAGGTACGCTGTGAGTTTGGGCAATTCGCTGAGCGACACTATGTTGAAATAGATTGTCTCCCAAAAAGCGGAATCACTACGACTGGGGCCTGTCTGTGATTGAGCCAACATGTCAATTAGTGATGAACGGCAATATCTCGGATCTGAGCATCGACACGACTTCTTTAGTGACCAGCACTTATCAGGAGACGGTCCTTATTGCAGCGATGCTTCAACAGCACCCTGTCGCCTCTATTGGCTGCTCGTTGTGTTAACATTGGCCGTTGAGAACTCGCCCAATGTAGCCTATTTTGCTGCCATCATTCTGCTATGTCCGAGCAGAGGTGTCTCAGCGCGGGTAGATCTGACCAGACAAGCACTTGAAAAAGGCCGCAGATGGGATATCTCATCACACACTGCTTCAATCGTTGGAAAAGCTTGCTACTCCTGTAGACATTGATCCTATTAATAATACATATCCTATTGACAATGCACTACTTCTGACAATATGTGATTAAAATAAGCGCAGGTCTAAAGCTCCAAAAAGAATGTTGTACAGTCTGCCCTGGTATGTATTTCGAGAGCGCGGCTCTGTGGCGTTCGGTGGGTTTGGGGGAGCAAGATCTCCAATTCTGACACAGGCCCAGCCACGTGGCGATGCCCTACAGAAGCGCTAACCTCCTGTAGGTAGAGTGAGTTGAGCATTGGAACAGGGAGGATCGACGCTTGTGGTTGAGTGAGAAATTTGTCGTTTACTGCTAATTGCTCGTTCAACAAGATGCCAATGTGAACATTTCACAGCTGCGCCAGTCACGTTTTACTCTGCTTTGGGCGTCAGTAAATGCTTGATGTTAGCAGAAATAGTTCTGTACGGAGCAAATATAAACCGACATAGACGTTGATGTTGGCGGAGAGCATTTATCTCTACAGTGTTCATTCTCCTCATTGATCGCGTGTCCGATTGCCAAAGTTTGCTGTGATTGTGCTTATCGCAGGAAGAACACATCGTGGCGCTTCGCAATATTCAGTCGACGTGCCTGCCAATTCCCAATATTTCCGATTAGCGCCGTCTCGGGCTATTTTAGTAGATAAGCACTGGCATGCATCGGGCAAAAGACGAAAGTCAAAAGAACGCCAGTGAAGATGATGTGCAGAGCCTAAGCTCGATTCGGGATATCTTAGCGCTGGTGCCCTACTCCAGACTCTGCGGCGGACTAAACTTGGGCACTAGTTCAGGGGGTTAGATACCCAATGCCTCCCTCTTTCTTGTCATCGAGAAAGCGATGGGGTTTTCTAATTATCAGCATCTCTTTCACAACTATGCTCTCTAGAAGACAATCGTGTCAGCCTGTTTAGACATTCATCTCCCAATTGCACACTTTCCCGGCCGCTGTGAAATCAAATCGTGGCTGCGCTCGCTATTCATGTCTATCCCAAATTGCATCAAAGCTCCTCAATCCCAAGTCTCGACCTATCGGCAAAAATGCTTCTCGCTTTAATATTCTCCGTCTCAAGACCGTATCTAGACAAGATTCATCGCCCGTGGCTGATCTAGAGTGATCGAGGGACATAGCGTAAACTCTATCGCGATTCTCCAACCCAAGAAATCCGTTAGTGCCGAGTCTATTCCCGAACCTCACAGCCACCGTCAAAGCGCTGGTGTGTATGGCAATTTGTTTCTAGCCACTCAGACAACGTAGAGAAGAGGCACACGAAACTGGCGCACACCAATATAGCCACCATCCAAAGTCTCTTGACCTTTGGTATGATGTTGAAGCGAGTTCCGTGGTGCCAGTGGCGTATCTGCCGAACGTTTGTGGAATAGCGTCTCATCTCGTCTTTTGCTTAACTGAGTTCCTTCCCCCATGCCCCCAGCCAGATCGTCCTCCCGCGAGATTGAGTTGAAGCGTTGACCAGTTCACTCGTCAAAATGCCTGCAGGGCCATCCGGTGTTGTTGTTTTGGTATGCGATCAATCGCCAGCCATTTAGATCGTCAACTTCTAACAATAGCGCACTCAGACCGTCATCTACGCGCTCATCACGCTGTCCGCGATAATTATCGGTGCCCGAATCTATCTGCGATTGGCTATACAGAAGCAGCGCCTCGTAACAGCAGACTGGCTGCGCATATCAGCATGGTGCACCGCGTTCGTCACCGGTTTCTTCGACGTACTGTATGCGAAAGAGGGCGTTTTGCATCCCGGGATCAATTACACTCTGTCCAATTGGGATGCGCCGTTGGAACAGCAGATCAGAGTCCGAAAGGTGAGAGTCATAATTACTCACGAGGGAGATTGAGCTGATCAAAGGTTGCAGTATAATTGGGTCAATCCTTTCCCATTTTACACGACTTTCTACCTATGCAAGGCGTCACTTCTTGTCATTTATCTACAGCTATTTCCACCGTTTATGGTCATAAGACGACTCATGGTCTGGATCGTGGTTGTGTATTGTGTCTGTGCCTATATCGTAACGATCTCACTCCAGCTTTTTCTCTGTTACCCAATCCAACGGAACTGGTACTACAGAACAATCATATCCGAGATTCGTTTTCTAATACTGATTATAGGTCTGTCACGAAGCCTGAAGAAGCATGTAAATACACCTCGTTGCTTCTTATGTTCCAGATCAACTGGGTGTTGCATTTCGTTGGAAGCATTGCTCGAAAGTCCACCAACTACTCTTAACACGAAATAGAACTAACCTTGTGATAGTCTTCTGCCTGCCGTTCTTCATTATCCACAATCTCAACATGCGAACGAAGGTCAAAGTCAGTGTCTACTGCATCTTTCTCTTAGGCATCATCGACATCGCATTTTCTCTCACGCGCTTTTTGACCATTCAGCTCGGAGACAGCGAAGACTTTCGATCTTTCACGATAATCGGTAAGTACATCTCACGGTACAAGTGCGAACCACCATCTAACCTCTTCTCAGAACTTTGGTGTTCCCTCGACGTGTACATCGGTCTCGTCATCTGCTGCATCCCAGCTCTGCGACCATATCTTCATAGGAAGGGAGTCAACTACAACATCCAGGAATCAGGACGTCCTTCAAAGTCTGGCCATGCGATACGGCGGACCGGCCAGAGCGGATTTGAAGAGATAATTGAGGGGTCAGGTCTCAGGGGCGATGTTCAAGATGATTCATGGTCCGGGTCTCATTCTTGTGAGCTTACAGTGGATATGAGTGATAAAAAGCAAAATGAGAGCGATATCGAGCTGGTGAGTATTGAGGTTGGTAAGAGTAGCATATAGCTTAGGTATATTCAGCATGATTGAATACAGCATTGAGTACTTGTCAATTGAGTCGCGTCGAGTATTGGTTCTTGTGGAGTTAGTAGATATTAAGTTAGACTGCTAAACATAAATCACAAATGGCTGGCATAAACCTATAATAAATTTCGCAATGTTGAATTCTATCGGTCCCAGACTCATCACACTAAAGTTTATTATATTAAAGTTCATCAGAATTTATTTCAACGTGTAACATTTATTACGCCAAAGTTCATCAAAACTCACCAATCCTCTCCATTTCTGGCCTGGGTTGAATGCTATTAACTGCAGCTCAACGAGGGGTCATCCGCCCAACCAAAGCACTTACGACACATGCCATGCATTGAAGTTATTCATTTGCAGATTGTATATAAGAAAAATTTGACAAAAGGGTATAAGAGCTACAGCTACCATTTTTTATTTTATGACTATTTCCGCTAGCACTTGTTCTCGATGGCACTAGTAACAACAGGTATGACCCCGCTACCGGAACATACTGCCTAAGCGCATATCTGCCGCTGTCATTATCCCTGGCGTAATTTGTCTTGATAGTTCGACTTCTGAGGCTGCGGAATGTAACCGGCTACTTGATATCGCGTAGTAGTTCCGACAGCCTTTATCGTGGCATGTCTCAGCAACACCAGAGGAGCCCCTGTAAGTGTATGACTCCCTGCTTATTGCATGAAACCAATCGTGGCTCGGCAGATTCTCATCTTGGAGTTGTCCTGATATCTGCGGCCATCCGACGCGTATACTTCGCTGGTAGCGAACTGTGATGCAAGAATGGTTGGCCATGGAGCCTGGATGGGTACAGGGTTCAGCTGTGATCCGCACGCTGTCTTGGGTCGGATGATCGTGTAGTAAAGATGAGCGACTTATTTGTGGCTTTGCGCCTTTTGGATGTATGACTTTGACAGGGTGATCTTCGGATGGGGAATCAGTGTTGACGTCTTCAAGGTTGAGACCACTTAACTCGGGTAAGACTCCCGATATACGTTCTGGTGCAAAGTGCTTCCCGCTTTTCTCTCGGACCGATCGAATGGCTTCCTCAATAACTCTCATTGGGAGAGTCATTGTTCCAGTTTCGTAGTTCATACCGTAAGAAATGTCGCAGATGCCTTGATCTGGCGCCAGATCTGGATCCGAGTTACCGGTGAATGTGAACAACAACAAGCCCCCACCTGTTGCATATGTGATCATCTCGGCCTTTGGCCCGCCGAGTCCATTACTGCAAGAACTATAATGACTCGGATCTTCGCACCTCGTGATTTCGAATTTCTGACTCTTGTTTGGGGATGAATTCGGGCCGTTGACAAATTGCTGGACAGAATACCAATCGATGACTTTGTGCTCACAAAGCCGAATGTAGCCCGTTTTGGCAAGACATTCGAACTTGCCGGCCGAAAAGCATACCCGAGGATGAAAAACTAGGCAACTCATGCAGAAACCCCAGTCAAGATGGTGTCGGGGGGCAAACTTGCATTTCAGGGAGGCGCCTGTTCTCTTCCTAGCATCAAAACCCTCCTGGCACGTGGAACATGTCTTTCCCTTTCTGACGAGGTCTCCCAGTCCCTTCAACCATACACCTCTCTTCTTGGCCTTGTAACCGAAGCAGTGTTTTTCTCTAGTCAAGGGGAGATCGATATTCGTTAGAGTGGCAGATCGACCTGCCCAAACTCCAGAGAAGCTGACACACTGTTCACAGCAATCCTTGTCTGAGAAGAGGTGTGAGTCAAAGGCGTCATCTTGAGTCAGGCGTCTAAACCGTTGGGAGACTTGGCGTAGGGAAAAGAATGCGAACAAAGAGCTCTTATCAGTTCCTCCGTAGATATCGTGAATGATGCACATGAGGATCTCGTCCGGGAGGTGATTCAGGCCGATGTTACCGATGTGGCCTGGTTCGATTGCTTCAATACAATTAGCTGCTGTTACAGGAGCCTGGACCAGTACAACTTACTTGTACACGGAGCTAGAAAGCGAGTATAGAACCTCAGTTGCCTGCCGAGGAGAGGGGAAAACAAGTCCATGTTGAAGGGTGAAGATAAGCTGTGCCCGGGCGTTTGCGCCAATACGTGTGATTGCAAGAGAGGGAGATTGATAAGAAGAGTCTTTGCTGGATTGGCAGACCGAGGCATGCCGTTTTATACGCGGCGCTCGTAGGCTCCAGCTTAGTAAGTTTCTAAAATTAAACCTTATCACAGAAGAAAAGTATCTATCGTGGGACCAATAGGTAGAGTTGTAAAAGAGTTTCGCGCCTGAATATAGAGTTAGATCATACATATTGCCTAAATATAGAGTCTGTGGCTTTACATTTGCAAAGCAAGATGCGTCATCTGGGTAGCTGTAGAGTAGGAGCACAGTAGGTGGCGCCGTCCTCCGAGACAGGCTATTGGGATAATGTGATAGTAGTATACAGACTCAAAATTTCTTCGTTCGCGATAAACTTTCTCCGTGTGCTGAGCATAGTGGCAACGCGGGCGCAGGACAGCAGGGATGGTACAATGTGAAAAGTAACGTTCTTGATAGTAAGAACTAGGGTTTTACTAGGACATGGCTATAACTCCGGTTATTGAATTACATCCAGCACTTCACTGAGAACTTCTCAACTTGTAGATAAATATCCTTCAATTTGCTCCTCTAAACTGGCAATCAAGTATCTCGACAACTTCTTCTTGTACCCTAACACTATCATTGACCCTCAATCGCGAAACATACTCACTTAGCCAACAGTCCCAGCCTAGGGTCCATCGCGCCTCTCGTTAGTACTCTCCAGCTTCTTCAGATCCTGCAGCATCTGGAGCACCTCCTCCTGTAGCAACATGAATTGCTGTCTGTGGCGCTGAGCCAGCCCCCGTTGCCATTCCTCAGTGGCGATGATCACCAAGGCGTCGACTAGCGGGCCAACCTGGTGCATATGCTCCACAAGCGCTGCCATCTCTCCTGGAGTTGGAGTGATAGTACTGCTGCGGTCATCCGAAACAGGCTTGAAAACTCCTGGATATTTTTTCTTTGTTTCTTCAATAGAGCGTCTGAGTTGAACCAACAGGGAAACAATTTGGGCATAGAAATCCAGAAAGGGTGCCATGTTTGTAGTGAGAGTGGATAGAGAACCTTTTGGTTATAATCTTGGGCTGCTGTGATGGTATTGTTAAGCGGTATTGTAGTCCCTCATATTCGGTGACATTTAAGCCTATTTATCCATTGTCACTAACCCATATAAAGCGTTATGTTCATCACATCAAGCTGTATGTTAGTGGTATCTTGTTGTAAAACCGGTGACTGTTCAGAAATTATTGCAAGTAACATTACTGCAAACGAACATAAAGCATTGTTCAACGCCTTGGCTTGACAAAGGCAAAGCTAGGACAGCGCTTTTCCTTTCTTTCACAAAATGAATTTATTACGTGAACAACGCTCAGGGTACCCCAGAGGCTGAATGTGACGTTGAATTCAACGGGCACTTGGACAAAAGCATGACTGACAGGCTTGCTAGGACTTGTCTGTCACTACGCAAGGTTTATCTAGAGTGCCAATTTGTTCTCTTGTTTAACTGCTACCTAACGTCACTTTATCTCAATCCTAGATTGAGCATGATGAAAACAGTATTTGAGTGATTTAATAATTGAAGCTCTGGTTTTTTGTATACCTGTCGCTGACTCTGACAAGAGCGACTAAATATTTCTGTAAAATCCTTCATTCTAACTAAATTCGAGGTTTCTGTTTACTTGCTTTCTTTTTTTTAACCTGTTTCCTTGGTGTCTTGACTTATTTGGATCCAGGCATGCAAGTGCAAGGATGTGCAGCTTGAGATGACACGGGAAGAGGTCTTCTCAGGCTAATAAGGTATAATTATCTCTTCATCAACGAGCTGCAGGGAAAGTCTGCGATTTTTGGTGGATCTCAGCACGCTAAGTGATCAAATCACAAGGTCTGGATGAGTTGAGGGACTAAGGGATAACAGCTTACCCCGCCCCCGCGAGCTCCGTTTACTAGCGGCGGTGCCTATCGACGATGCCGTCTTGGCGATCCAGTCGATCTAACGACCCTTTCCCGTCCTCAGCCCTACCTAATCGGGAACTAGTAGTGGGACTATTGACCATTAGCCTGAACCCCTTCCACAAGACTACCGTGAGAACTTATGAGACGACCCGCGATGCAAAGCCAAAAAAATGCATCTATGGAGTATGGCCTTGTCTGTTCTTACCGTATACCATGAATCCTTTATGACGCGAGATGGAGCGAGAGAAACTACTCTCAATTGGATTCAAAATCCCAGTGGCTAGCTGACATGCCTTTTAAGTCGCTCTGAAATGGAGGAGAGAGCCCCAATCCCTTGGTGGCTTGGGCCTGGACTAATCCGTGAAGCCACCCGAACTTCCGCCTCCAATCATCTTAGTGCCTGATCCGAGCTTCCGCCCGCCACCGAGCACCAGCTGCCACGACGTTGCCGTTTTCATCATTTTCGTACTCAGCCGCAACGACTAGTAGACCTCTAGCTCTTACATTGCGACTCTAGGCAATTGGAATGACAGCTGAGAGGACAGACGCTGAGAAACGGCGGGTCGTCAAGGGAGCTATTGAAGTTAGAAACTGGGATAATATATAGAGAGCGAGGTGCGGGCTCTCGAGTCCCCAACCTGGACTCGTAAAACACAAGAATACAACAGTAGACCACCGAATTTCATCCTCCATTTTGGCCAACCATGACTTGGCACGCCCAACTTGCCTTGGTGCTAGGCTTGGCCTGCCTCGCATCAGCCGAGTGCACCGGCATGTCAGACGACTGCTCCTCTAACCCCATCCCCCTGCGCCAATTCAACCCCCTCAACTATCAAGCTGCATCATGCAACCTCAAGTGGAACAACGGCTGCACCATATTCAAGAACGGCCAGAAACAGCAAAAACCTCCTCCCTACTTACTCTGCACTTCTGGGCACCATCCTTCCGGACTTCTTCCCGTCGACGCCTACACACTGGCGATGCAGGAGGGCGACACTGATCCCGGCAAATCGGCAAAGTACACGCTTCACGGTCTTTGGCCCAGCTCATCGGGTGGCAATGGCGCAAAGGACCAGCCGTATGGGTGTCTCCACGGCGAGGAATTCGATGAGACGATCCTCACGACGTTCAGTACCCTGCTGAAATACTTCTGGCCTACGGACCCAAAATTCGGAAACACAATGCAGTGCTTCATATTATCAGAGTGGATGAAGCACGGCACCTGTGCCGTAATCCCCGGCGCAGACGGCAACGCATTCCGTCTGTCGCAGGAGACTTATTTCCGCACCGCGTTTGTGCTGGCGAATGAGTTCAATGCCAACGCCGATATGCGTCAGCAGCTTGATGACCCCAGTTCGGATGACCTAGAGTCAAATGTCAGCGCGGGCTGCGTGCAGTGCGCGTATCTCGCAACCGTGGGCTGGGAGGGCACTGATGTACAGAGCGTACCGCGCATGTCGGGTGATTGTGTTGATCAGTGCTTTTCGTGCGGCGACAGCTGGGACTTATGTCCGCCAGCGCAGCTCGATAGCACTGTTCAGCTTGATCCAAGCAACGCGCCGGTCGATAGCGAAGCCAACAGCGACGGAATGAACAACTTTGCTGTGCTTGACTTCGCCATGCCAGCTTTTAGCAAGAGCAACAAAATATCACCGTGGGAGGGCACATGGCGCTCTTTCGGCGCTGAGCAGGGCGGGTCTGGCAAGTTTCAGTTCGCGCAGACTTTTACTGACAAGACCTTGACGGTGACTACGGACAGTCCATATCCCCAGACATGCAACTACGAGCGACGCGGGGCTAAAGAATTGGTTTTGCGATGCGGTGGGAATAGACTTGAGGAGTGTTTGGTGCAGCGACTGCCAGACATCAGCGAGCTTGAGGTAGCGTTTCTGGCCTGCAATCACACTGGTCAGCCGGCGCCAGCGAGCTTCTACGCTGCGATGGACGCACCTGGCTGTGGCAACTTTCTCATGTTCCGCTGTAAAGCATCAGCGAAAGGATGTTCCTTTTCTGCGGATGCCAACTCAGCGTCATCAAAGTCCGATACCAAGACAAAGCCGGAGTCTGAGCCTAGCCACATTCGCCACTCCCAGGGTGGCATTGCCGGTGCGCCTACTTCTCTTCTTGGTCTATGGCGGTCACTCCAAGTATCCAGCCACTACGAAGAAGGCCTCGCGAACTGGAGCTTTACATCTGATGGCCAGGCAACGCTCAAGTGGCCTAACCACCCTGAGCGCGGCGTGGAAAGCTATTCAGTCTCTCACTCTAGAGAGGATCCTAACCATGTCCTTCTCGCCACTGCCAGCGGCGCTATCACTACCTGTCGCTTCAAGTTTCAGTACCAGCCAGTATACTCCTACGCCGTGCTTGACTGTACATCAGGAGGCAAGAAGACGCGGTGGGCCATGGGCCGGTGTAATCCATGCAGCTCCGAGTGTCGCTACTCATGCAGTGCTGAGAACGATAACTGCGGTGCCGGATCGTGCGACCCTGCTGATTTATCATCTGCTGGTGCGCTTCCCCCGCCAAAGGAGCACAGGTGGTGCACTCCCGAGGACTCCAGCTGCTGGCCTACCAAGACGGCTATCAAGAAGCTAGAGAGAGCTCTGGACCCCAGTATGCCCCGTCTTGGCGTCCAGTGGAGCAACTACCCGGCGCCGCAGCCCGCGCCAGTCCCAACGGGATCAATCAACAACCAGGCCTTTTACGGTCTAGGTAGCACGGGTCTCAAGGCGCTGTACTATTATGAGAATATCGATGACATGCAGCGCCCATGCTTCAACGTCAATGACGGTGTTAGTATCTGGAACACTGCATCGGAAATGTGTAAGGCAGCGCTGCATCAGAATGAGTACCGCAACTGGAACCCCTTCATCGTCGTCTTCCCTCTCAACCAGCGTCATATAACAGCAGCGCTCAAATTCGCCGCGCAGCATCGCCTGTGCATCGCAACAGCTGGCACTGGCCACGAGTACAACAGCCGCAACTCGTGTCCCACCGGCGGCATCCTTATCCGCACGATCCTGCTCAAGAATAAGGAGTTCCTCCCAACCTGGAACGAGGATCCAGCGTTGGCTCCCGCGGGTGCATTCCGCTTCGGTGCAGGCTCTATCTTTGCTGAGATGCATGCTTTCTCTGCCAAGTATGACCGCGTCGTGGCGTCGGGGTGGTGCTCTACCGTTGGCATGACGGGATACCATCTCGGTGGCGGCCACGGTCCTTTTGCACCCTCCATGGGCCTCGGAGTTGATAACGTGTTGGAGATTGAAGTTCTTCAAGTCGGTCGCAATGCACATGGCCAGGCTGTCGTTCACAGGAAGATCGTCAGTCGTCGGAAGAATCCTCAGCTCTTTTGGGCCATGCGCGGTGGTGGCGGCGGTGTGTGGGGCATCATTCTCTCCATGACGCTGCGCGCTCACGCTGTACCTGATGGAGGTCTGAGTCGTGTCTTCATGTCGCAGAGCGGCACGTTTTGCCCTGGCTCAAAGGAGAAGTTTGGCTACGAGTGGCTGCGCGAGATGTGGCCTCGATTTGCAGAGTGGCAGCTGAGGCTCAATTCCAAGGTGAGCACGCAGCCTGGCTTCTTCATTGATACCAGCAAGTACAAGAAGGGCAATCTCTGCACTGCCACGTGGACATTCAACTTTGAGTACTTCTACGCTGGAGGTCAGAAGGAGGAAGAATATGTTATGTTCCGAGATAGTCTCAAAGACGTGCTGCAGACACAGACTGTTCAGGAGAACAACTTCAACTCGGCTTATGACTATCTTCTTTCTATGCCGCCGAACAAGTTCCAGCTCTCGGTCATGAACCCGCTGCCAGCTCCGCACGAGCCCTCCGACGATGCCACGGGCTCTCAAAACTCCGTCTTTGTCTCAAGAGAAGATATGGAGACAAAGTTTGCTTCGACGATGATGGAAGTGCTGGACATCTGCGTAAACAGCCTCAAAATTCCCGACAAGACATCCCCTGATCCAATGGGCTACCGCTGTGGTTTCCACTACCTCTACACGTCAATCACCGGCAATCTTGGCAGCGCACAGCCTGATGACACCGCTATATCTCCCGGCTTCCGCTCGGGTCTGATGCTGTGGAACGCGCGCACATTGTCGACGAAGCAGTGCGAGGACACGATCTACAAGCTTGGCAGGGACAGTTATTTCTCTGAGAGCTCATATGTGATGCATAATTGGACGGACAGGTATTGGGGTGAGAAGAGGTATGAGCAGTTGCTGGCGGTTAAGAGGGCGCACGACCCCGGGAATTTATTCTGGTGCCATCATTGTGTTGGGGATGATCCTGATGATGCTTATGGGAGTCCGCTGGGTGTGAAGAAGGAGAAGGAGAAGGATATCAAGGTTGATCCGTATAAGAAGGATGAGCTGTAGTGGTATAGTTGTTTATTCCCTGAATGTAACGATGTTAGGAGATATCGCGTTATTGAATCGGTGCACATAGAAGAGGAGACAAACCTCAATGTGGTGCTGGGTGTCATCGTGACTGCATTCAGAAATACATCAACCTTCCAGCTTGGAATTAAAGAGGTACGTATATAGGTATCTGCAGACGAGTGTTATTGTGGCGAATGCTTGTAGTGCTGACATTTTGTCGCGCAGGGAACAAGATCAATGGGGAAATACATGAGGGGATGACATTTCACCTGTATATCAGACCAAGACTTCTGTTTATTCTTGTGCCTACTTCGTGTCTATCATACTATGATAGCATTATCCTAGGTTCAAATAGTTCTTCAAATACAAAAGTAGGCAACACGGATGCAAGGTCTACTAAGACACCATTCTATCACGGCGACAGCGAAAATTATGTAAGTGCCCTGTAGTTACAAGGCGTTTAGCGGTGCTATTCCCTGTACCCAAATTGGCATAGCGCTTGAACTCTCTGCTGCACAACTTCCGAATCTGGACTTGCACCCAATCAGCCAGCTTACTATGCAGTTAAGATCTCCAGTCAAATGTTCCTGCTAATTTCCGACGACAATGGCTGGCTGTTTCTAAAGATGTCGCTATTTGGAGTGTCAATCTCGAAGGGGACTCCTCTCAGAATCCGGCATCTCGGAACCAAGGTCAGAACGAAGCCCTGTTTGGACAGGGTTGATGAGAAGACCTTCACGAAGGTTCTTGTCAACCACCTCCCGCCGAAGAACCACCCTCTCAGCACTCGTGAGCAGATCGTCAGCTACATCTCCAAGCTAATCCAAGCCTTGAGGGAAACCATTCGTTTGGTTGTTCCCAGGATTGAGATTGGCTTTCAGAGGAAACGACAAACCGTCCTCGAAAAGCAGTTGAACGATCGAATGTCTCATGTGACTTCTCTGCAAGAGTCCCCGGTAATAACACTAGCGATGCAAGATCAGATTAAGCAACTTTGACGGTACATCAGGAGGGATAAGCGAGAGCTGTGGCGTATATTCACCGAGTCGGAGCCCCCATCTATACGCAAGTCCTTTCATTTGACGTCCTTGGGACAGAAGATTTGTCGACCCGTGGAATCCTTACAGCTACCTACGATGACTCACCCCGGCGAGTAGGATGCCAAAACCGCTCCAGCGAAGGTTGACATGTTTAAGAAGGACATCTTTCGCGCCAACGACGGCCCAAAGTCCTGCAGAGAACCGGTCCAGGCAGACTTCACTCACAGCGGAGAAGAGCTCCATATCCGACAGGACTTGAGCGACGAGGAACTCAAGGAGCTTATCAGAGGTTTGCCGAGATGGAAGTCGACCGGGCCCGATGAAGTACCGTACGAAGCGATGCAGCTCGGAGGCGGCATTTTGCGGAACCATCTTTTACGGGTGTTCCAAGTTTGCCTGCAGATGAGCTACCACCCGGCCAACTTCAAAGATGCGATTCTCGTCATGGTACGCAAGTCACCTAAGCCTGCCAACCTGCCTACCAGCTGGAGGCCCCTGGCCTTGCTGTCGTGCCTCGGCAAGATTCTCGAGAAGATTGTGGCTTCAAGGATGCAAGAAGCCCTCAAGGCAAATCCACATCTTCTACCGGCAGGACAGTTTGGCTGGAGAACGACCTCGGAAGCCCTCGAGTATATGCTGGACAAGATATACAGTGCCTGGGCCATGTGCAAGGTTGTTACCATCATGGGGCTTGACATAAGCGGTGCTTATGACAATGTCTGGAGGCAGGCCCTCATCCAGACTCTGGCTGACAAGGGCTTCCCACGATGGATCGTCAACATGATTCAGTCTTTTCTCTCCGATCGCACAGCATGCTTCAACTTTCCTGGCATCGTGTCCTCGCCTTTCGATCTCAACACGGGTGTTCCCCAGGGTTCGCCGCTCTCGCCTATCCTTTTCCTCTTCTTCGCCGCTCCCCTTCTCCAGCGTGCAAAGACATTCAAAAATTACCCTGTCGAGGCGGATGGCGAGAGGAGCAAAGTCGACCTCTTTGCATTTGCATTCGTTGACGACATTTACCTCATGGCCATATCAGACAACTACGCGGCCAACTGCAAAGGTCTCGAGATGTTGCACGAGGGAGTCATGGACACAGCAAACGAGCTGGATCTTCGTTTCGGGGCCCATAAGTACAACATCATGCACTTCAAGAAACCACAGAGCAAGAAGGGCCACAACGACGTGATCCCAAACATACCGGGCTTTTGCAAGAAGCCAGAACCCAACATGAGAATCCTCGGCGTTATTGTCAGCAGTGATCTTACTTGGGGAGATCACATTTCGATGGTTATTAGCAAGGTGAAGCAGAGGATGGGGTACCTGAGTTTCATATCTGGGCCACACTGGGGTCCCAATGTGAAGACAATGCGCCTCTTCTTCATATCCAAGATCCGACCCGTCTTCACATATGCCTGCGGAGCATGGTTCATCAGAAGGGAACGGGACGAAGACAGGATCAGCTATCAGATCAACAACAAGCAGATGAAGCGTCTTGAGGATGCCTACACTTTCTGCCTTCGCAAGATTTCCGGGGCTTTCTACCGCACTGCTCCGCAGATTCTGGAGAAAGAGATGTTCATCGAGAACATATGGACAGTTCTCCATTCACAGGCCACTCTACATCGCGCCAAATTGCTCTCCGCTCTTCCTCCATCATGGGTATCAGACAAGATCTTCAACTTCTTGAAGTCTGGGGTTCGCAACCCGTATGATGATCTGAACCTTGATGCTTGGGCATGCATCATGAACCTGCACGAGTCTATCAACTTTAACGAAAAGCCAGATTTCCGCGAGGCAGGATTGAGAGCCCTAGATGATCCAAAAGCTCGCAACAACAGACTGAGGGGTTTCATCAAGGTTCAAGCGGCCCGAAGCTACAAAGTCAGATGGGAGAAGTATATCCTACAACGAAGGGTTGAGAGAGCCATGACACCTCGAGGGGATAACACCGCTCAGCTACCTGCTGTCCTCCGGGAGCCTTGGGGCAAAGAGAGCCTTGGATACTACGACAAGAACATGACACGCGCCCAGACTACCATTCTCCTCCACTGCCGGACCGAGTTCATTGGACTCAAGGCTCATCTTTCCAAGATTGGCATCAAGGAAGCGGGACCTGGCCGCTGTGCATGCGGGAAGTTTCGAGAGACGCCATTCCATCTCTTTGTTCAGTGCGAGAGGCTCAAGGACGCACGCAAGAAGCTTGAGGAGGAACTTGGTCATACCACCTATCAGGACTTGCTCACCAAGGACAGCCAGGTTGCAACCCAGTGGGCCTTGAAGTACTTCGACATTGAGCAGTTTGACTCGGTGAGGTCAAAACACACGACGTTTGAGTCGATTCCCGGTATCATCTCTCCTCGACTCGGGCAGTTGGACGATGCAGACTCCCCACCTACTCACTCACGGACTCCTTCCCATCGCTCTGCTGGGCAGAGGAGATGGCGTCGTTGAGCGCGCTCCTAGCCTCGCTACCCCCTACTTTTCACCATGAGATGCCTGGCGCAGTCTCTGGTGTATACCCTCAACTACGACATCACCACTACCCTATCAACGCATAGGTGCCTGGTGTACCTTGCATTCCCTTTCCCTTTGTTGGCTACCGCCTTGATGGTGGGTGCTGTTATTACGACCTGGTATGCTGAGCTATACCGTATCTTTCCTGCTTCCTGGAGAAGTTGGATCCTCTACTGCCATGAGATTGAGGCCTGGTTCCTCTCTATGGCGACCTGAGGCGATCTGCTGGTCGGATTGCCAGTTTGGAGTTCTGCTTGAGGCAGAACCTTCCCATTGTGTTAAACCTGAAGTGTATTTTCTGTGAGTCCAATCCCGATTGTTCGTGAAGGCTTGGTCTGATACTGACTCTTGATGACAGAACCTTGTGATTGACTCATAAACTCAATACCGCCACAACCTTCCGATTGCCCCGAACCTTCTCGTAAGTTCATTCCATCATCCCAACTAGGCGAAATGGACTGACTCATACGTCCAGCCAGTCCAACCTTCTTGTATGACTCATTGAACCGTTCAATTGGTCCTTTGCTGACAGTTCAAGCTCAGCCCAGTGGCACCGACATACCTGTCATCACGAAACTTTCTGTAAGTCTCTCTCCCCTTTCAGTTCTCGAGTGACTCACAGGTTGACTTATAGCCAGTCCGGTCAAGCTTTTCTCGTGCGTCAGTATTTCTCGACAAATCTGATAGCTGTGCGCCGTACCTGGTCAGTACCTCTGTAAGATATTCATCCATTGTGAAGTGCCCAAGCTAATTAGTGGTAGCAGGAAGTCATCGTCTCAGGCATGTATTGCCCACCTTTGCCCTTCACATCCGTCTATCTCTAACTACAAGACAGCAGCGAATTGCCAGCCACACTTCGATCAGGGACTTGATCCAATCCCGGTTGTGAGTAATATCTTATGTTCTCCTTCTGCCTGAAGATATTGACATCTTCAACAGTCTTCTTCTGATCGACTTCATCGTCTTCTTGGCTTTGGCCCTGTCGTTGGGAAGGGCTTTGAGTGCCTCCCTCTCTTGCCTGATGGCTTTCTTGACCTCCTGACGAAGTCCTGTCATGGTGCAAGTAAGAGCATGAGTGCCAAGAATAGCCAGTTGTAAGTTCTATCTATTTCACTTACTATCTCCACTACTTACAGTATCATGTAGGCCGGATAAGCTCGTCGGGGAGCCTTTTATATTCCTCGATCTCGATGACCTCCAAAACTTCGTCCCTTGCAGCTTCAATTTCCTGGAAGGAATCTTCGTTCTGAAGTGTCCGTCTGTGATTCTCGACATCGGTGAGGTTGAGGGGAAGTCCAGTAAGTACTTAAATGCTAGTATATGTGCAGAATCTGACCTCCCTTTAGTTAATGTACTGCCGCTGGAATTCGTTCGGATATGCCGTACAGACGAGCTTTCGTTTAGGTGTGTGTGAGTTGTCATTCTTTACACGACTCGAGACCCTCTGACCTTGTCAGGTGCCGCCATCCTGTTCTGTTGTTGTCTCGCGTTTGATCGTCTCCAGGGGCGTGTCAGAGGCACGTAAGTTTAATCTTGCATCTATAATGCGCGGCTAACAGTGGTATTAGCTTCTTATAACCGTGATGGCGGACAAGTGAGTCATCTTTTAGGTTTTCATGATATCAGCTTTTTGCTATAGCAATTGGTCAGACATTTTGATATAATGTCTAAGTTGTGAGCTAGATGTGTTATTTGCAGTTGAGACTTGTGGCTGAGAGCTTATTCCAGCAGACAGAACCTAGTTTTATATGATACCCTTGCATATATATCTGTCTGATTACTGATTGGTGAAAATATGTCTTTGTCTGCTGGCAATAAGGTTAAGCTTCGGCGCGCGCGCCGATATCGCTACGTGACTCATCCATGTCGTTGGTTCAGCGGCCTATAAGTTACCCCTCCATTCATCAGCAAACACGTCTCATTCTTATCTTCTCCCCTCTGTTACTTGCACTCAACCCTGCAAAACGAGGCAGAGGTCCAACACCATGCCTCTTGAGACCCTACTAGACGTGCCTAGGGCTAGCTTCTTAGGCCTCCCCTTGGAAATACGCCAGCAAATCTACTCAGAATACTTCACCACGGAAGGGGGATACATATACGACGTCGAAACCGACAAGTTAGTGCAGGCCAATCGCTGTCCAATTGACTTATCACTACGACATGTCTGTCGCACGATTGCACTCGAGACATACCATTGCCCCTTCACTCTCAACAACATCACCTTCTCAACAGCTTACAGGCGAGATTGGAGAAAGCAGGCCGCGGCGGTAGACTTTATATCAACATATCACCATTTCCTTCAACTTTCCATGCTCATTCGATTGAGGCATTGTTTGACTTCCGACATGTACGAGCAACCGATCAAACAATACTCCAAGTATATGCCGCTCATCGTGAAGGGCATAGCCGATATCATCAGCCGGGAGCGCCGCTCTCCAAAGTTTAATGCAGAGTTACTTGAAATGGTTCACATACGTGACTTCATGGAGCGCCCCGGAAGTGACTCAAAGGCTGGCAACCCCTTGGCCATATCTATATACGACAACAACGTCTCACGCAACCGCACATATGCCTACCTCCTAAGAAAAATTGCAAACCAGTATCCTGAAAAGTTCAAAGAAGCAATCGATAAATTCCTACCTGGTTGGACGGACTGCAAACCGCGCCCTGCCTCAGATTTCTTCAGTCTTGGTTTCGACCTTTGGGCCATACCCTCTCTACCTCAAGTTACGGCTATGGTGGAACAACTGCAATTGACAGAACGATGGGACCGACTAGATCAGTGGCACTACAGTGAAGTCGGCAAAGAAGGTTTTTCTGGTACAAAATACTGCTACCAGCGCAAGCATTTCTTTTCAGCTGCCGCTCTGGCCATCAGGTTCCTCAACAATATCTCGCAGGCCCAGCGCCTCTTTATAAACAACCTGATTCTAAATGAGGATAGAATGGCAGTTGGACACCCTGAGTGTCATATCATTGGCATGATACCATTTGTCGAAGAAAATCCAAGCCTGCTTATTAAGCATAAGGTCAACCTGTGGCGTAATATCCTCCCCAGGAGTGCTAAGATCGAAGTCAGTAGTTTCCCTACGACAAATGAATCTAATGTGGACCTTCCTGAGAGCGTTCCCTCTCCACATCAGGTATTTTCTAATTGGGCCGGCAAGGAGATTTCCCACTTCATTATGCACACCATGGAAGCACTAAGAGAAGGACTACCAGCTACTTCGTACTCATTTGTGTTTGACGGAGAGCCCGACTCGAATCATTCGACGGAAACCTTCAAATATCTCATGGAACTCCCAATAGCCTGGATCACAAATCATACCGATTGTGTGGCAGAAGGTCTTCTTGCATCACCAGAAAGCAGTGGATACCCATTCATGACAGTTCCGTCATCTGACGAACACATATCTGGCCGAGAACGAACTTCTATCATCGAATGTAATTTCACTTTGGACCAACCTTGGGATTATAAGCATATCGCAGGGAATGACAACCGGAACATTAATCGCTGGAAGACACTGGACAAAGTCCATCGCTTTGCCAATGAAACCGATGGAGAGTATGCTGATAAGCTCGATGTCTCAAACGGTATAGTAGATTGGATGAAGATCAAGGGAGAGTATTTTGAGATGAAATTGTTGTCTGATGTCCCAGGAGCAGCAACCAAGGCACTTGACTCCAGTGGGTCTTTATCAGAATGACCAGGACGCATCATCATTGTTTCTTGTGATTAGATATATGAGGCTGCATTAGGAGCTGGCAAAGCCATGTAAAGCAAATGGGCTAATCTACATTTTTTCGATGCCTTTTCTCTGCAAGCTTTTGGGGGATCCTGTATTACTTTTGACCCTGATCATCCCCTATTGTCTGAATGGTGTGAGGATAGTGCAGAGGCAACTAGCCATAGTCTATAGTAGCGACATACTATGCTCTGTGCAAGTTGTGCATTGCTGCTGGGCGATAGGCAGGTGTTCATAGCAATACCCGGATTCATAACTCATTCAACACTCTCTTGCTGTATTATATCCTTTCTGCTGTCGCTACTAGAACTATATGTTGTGATATTATGAGTCGGTACACCTAGAGCCTGAAGATTATGCCCAGAGCTATGCCTCACATTACCTTCACGATCCATAAATGTCATTTTTCTGACTCCCTCTTTTGTAGATCTCCAAGCAAGAACATAGAGCAATTGCCTTCAACAGTGTCGATACAATAGATGGCAGCTTCGCCATTAATAAGGCGACACGAACGAGGATTCTTGTCACACTTTCGTCCTCGCTGAGTGGGCTATATCCCCTGTCATCAGCAGCAACGGCCTCCCCTTCAATAACACCTTCTTGTTCCCAGATAGCACTATCGGATAACCTACAGTCCGGAATTCATACACTATTCATCATGACTTCTTTCGAATAAGAAACCGTGACAAAATTTCATCCATGAGGGGAATTTATTCCGTCACCTAGTGATTCCAAAACTCTCAGTCATGTGCGATGTGGGCATAAATGGCAATCTTTGTCTCGCGCGAACCATAAGCAGCTTGCCTGAAGGATACTCACGTGAGTCAGGCTCTTATGGACTGTTAACAGAGAGACAAGACTTTCAGGAGAGCCTTCTATAGCAAGAAACATATGTACTAGATTGCGCTACCTGAGTAAACTGATCAACAAAGGCGATGCAGGTTAGTTTCCTTAGTAAGGGACCTCAGGGTCAATTCTTTACCAGCTGCTGTGATAAGGTTGAGGGGTCAAACTTTACCAGCTGCATGAGGTACCATATCTCGGTCAGGATAAGCTGGGAAGGGTAGATTAACTTCAAATGGACTCACCAGGCAGGAGTAAATACCGGAATGGCAATGGAACAAGGTAATCTCGTAGGGGTTGAGTATGCGAAGTGAACATGCAACGGGTGCTTATGTTCACTGAAACCTCTCACTGTCTTCTAAGTAGAGCTACCGCTTCATTATCGTCATTGCACTTCACTAATTCCAAGGCTCATAGCTCTCTTCACTTGGATGACTCTCTTCTGTGGATTATTCGAAACTTCTTCATACACTCAAGAAACGCGAGTTTTTTAATTGAGGTGCATTGTTAATTCCTAACTATGGATATTCCCAAGGTCACCAAGCCGTTTTCATCCCCCTAGATATACCACATTCCTCACCATTATCCGGTGTAGGTACTATGCTGCCATTCCCATAGTCACTCAATTGCCTTGTGGCTTGGGCAAAGGTAAAGGCCGGGGTCTTGGCTTAGGCGTTGGTCGCGACTGAGACTGTGGCTGGGACTCGTAACGATCCGGAGCCAGAGGAGGTCGTGGTCTCGGCTTGGGACGGGGCTTAGGTTGAGGTTGAGACATGTTGTAAAATGTTGTTGTTGAAACTTTTTTATGTTTGAAGTGGTAGACGCTTGAGTGTGTAAGATGGTGATCGAGTTTTTGTTGGGGGAGGGAGATTGCGGGAGCTGTGGAGCCTTATATAGGCACTTTTCTGCTTGGATGTGATACGCAGAGTGTTGACTCACTTGTTGATCAGTCTCAATATTCTCATCATTTAAGTGAAGCGACACGGGGAAATTCACTTACAAAGAGACTACCCTTGCTGTTGATAACGACAAGTGGCGGGAAGTTGGGGGGTTCAGTGACGGAGAGACTGACGTGGGACAGGGCGAGCATGAAGCACGATGGATCAAAGAAGCGAATCACTGTGGACTGGTGATTCGCTTTTGTCAAGCCTTGAGTCTCGGCACATGACCTCGCATACGTGACCAAAGTATGGATGTGCTGATTGTTTCACTGACCTACAGCCTTTGATATCGTATCGTGCTCGCTAATATTTCTCAAACCAACATCTTATGATCAACTCTATTGTTTCAAGTGAAGTTGTTGGATTTTCCATCAAGATGTTGGGAAAGCTACTCAGTAGAGTGCAGAAAGGAGAGTTTTTATTGAGCCTTGCAGTAGTTAATTCCAGGTGTCATCATGCAGATACTGATGTTTCCGTTGATCGTGGACCCCTTTTTCGCTTCATTCATGATACTTGGGAAGAGTCGTGAAGCATTTTATGAAAGTCTGTTCATTGGCTGTCCAATATTCATATTGGGAAGCTTGATAATAGCTACCATTACCACCATCAACAACCAAGGCCAAGCCCAGCTGTCACGGGTTGCCTGTGTACACGCAGCGTTGGTCGGTGCTGCCATCTTACCAATGCTCACGTCAACATTTGTTCTTTCCTATGCCCACCACAACTGTCTGGCGGTGGCAGCGTCTGTTGATCTTGTCAGAATCGCAGTCACTGTCTCCTCTGCCAGTGGTATACCCATCTTCGGTTGACAGTGGCAGCTCGAAATGCCTCCCTTTTATTCCATTCCGCGCTTCCAGATTTCTTCTCTCTCTTCTTTCCTTCTCATCAACCCAACACTCCACTCTTCTATCAACAACTCACTTCATACCCCAACTACCACTCTCCTATCAACACTCATCTTACTTCTATCACAACCATACCTCCCCACCTCTTACCAACCATCCGCAATCATGTGTTACCACCTTGTGACCACCACCTACTGCCGCCGCTGTGGTGCGGTTGTCAAGGTGAATGAACGGGACCTCAAGTGTGATCAACGACGACAAAACCGAATGCCATGGCATACTACTCTTACCGTCGACCACAGAACGAACTATGCCCATTGGACCGAATGCCCTGATTGCAAGTACGAGTACGAGGTGTACCGCCACGCCCGTGAAAACGGCATTCCTTATCCCATCCCGAATCCGCCGTTCAATTGAACAGGGGTGGCAACTCCGCTGAGCCTTTGGCAAAGATCCCATAGGAATGCATGCACGAAGAACGAGTTAATACAAGAAAACAAATAAAGCATAAAAACAGATGAAAACTGCAAAACACCTACAAAAAAAAAGCAACCAACGCGAGAGGCATCAGACATTGGTGCGCCTTCAGAGAAGACCTGACACAAATGCAGGCATGAACAACAAGTGGCTACGATAAAATGAAAACACCAAAAAAAGAACCCAATAAGAGAAGTGCCAGAAGCTCGGTGCCCCATCGGAGAAGACCTGATACACAAACAGGTATGAACGACAAGTGACAAGTGGATACGACAAGTTGAAAACACCAAAAAAAAAGACGAAAAACATAAAACCTGACAAAAAAAAGGACACCAAAAAAAAAAGGCACTAGAAGCGGAGGGAACATATCTTAACCTAGAAAACAGCAAAATACCAAAAAAATTTTAAAACCAAAAAAAGTAAACTATATACTGCTAAAAGTGATAAATGTGCTCTGTGTAAATAAATGGTGTTTCCTGAAAAAGGTCGGCGCTGTGATCTTGCTTGCTATTGCTGGCACCGTGTTCATTGAAACATATAGTCCTACCACTTCCCCTGGTGTTCAGAATTCCAGCCAAGTCCCGGCACACAATGATAGAAGGATGAAACTAATGGCCTGAAGGTACAACATATTGGCTACGGGGTGAATCCTACTTACTTCCAACATCAAGAAGATACCGTTTATCGTCGATACCTCCGCAAGGTCCGCGCAAGATCGCATATTCTCCGCAGTCGGTGGGCTGTTCCACTCTTGTTTTTTGCTTGCGAGGTTACCCGCAACAAACATCTCCAACTACCACGGCATCAGATCCACACATCCAACTGATAACAGAAAAGAAGCCTAAAAGTGAGTATTCGATGTGAAGTTCTTAGTTTTCAGGCGCCATTGCAATTAACATGCTGCCAGTCGCCGTGAGATGAAACTTCAGGGCCTAATGATAAGATCAAGATGTGATACTTGCGCTGACTTGTCCCCTGGTTCTTACGGTTGGAAGAAGAAGTCGTGGCAACCATGCTTCAGATCTATGAAATTTGTAGTGGTGCAGAATATTATTAATCGACTCGATTGATTCTGGCGGCGATTTATGGTGGGTAATGGATGGTTTCTTGGTGTTGTTACTGGTGCTTATGACTACGACCTGAAGTCACTGGCCATTGCCTCCGTATGACTACAGGATACAAGGGCTCAGAAGTTTGAATGATGGACGCGCTCATCAAATGCCAATAACGACATTTGAGATAAAGACAAACAAGCAACACATCCGGCAGCGTGCAACTAAATCCCAACACGATATGTTTGTATTGTGGAGAGTATGGTCATGGTTTAAATCGTACAACTACAGAAATATACTATGATCTAGTATCATAATTAGCTGCTGCCCGTTTGGGAAGAGGTACCCTGCTAGACCTGTTCCTCGCCTGCAGCTTCACCATCATAACCGACGCAACTAGCCGGACCAAATCCACGGCTGATTTCAAGCCGTGACAGGCAAAATCAATCTCGACACAGCGTCCTTAGAATGATGAATCGTATGAACTGTAGGTTCAGTCTTCACGCCATGTGCCTGGTTCTCCCCTGTTCCCAGATTGCGCAAATACGCTGGATGTGCACCACCAGCGATGATCACACGAATCTTATTCCCCTTGCGGAAAACATGCGCGCAGTCCACCAACGCAAGGCTCAGCGGCTCAGGACCTCTCGCAGGATCCAGTCGTTTATAAACATCACTTATACGTGTAGACTTTCCCCTGTTATTGACTTCGCTAAGCCGAACTAGAATATCGGCGTGTGGATTATCGGTGGTGTGATAAAGCTCAATGGTTGGTTTGCCGCAGACTTCTAAATCAGTCTCGAGAGTCGCGGTATCGAATACCGCAACATCTGAGCGTTTCGCGAGCTCGGTATCATTGTAGTTTGCGGGCTGCACATCGTCGAAAGGTCGAGGCATACCGATAGGAGGAGTTGCCTCATTGGGGTTAAATGTAAAGGTTGAGACCGATGCAAGCTCAGGCTGTTCCTTGCTCAGGGTTTTGGGCGATAAGTAGAAGCTTTGTATGGACGAAGCAAGCGGAGGCCAGCTGACCAAATCTCGCCATTCATTCAACCCTGTAACGAAAACTCGACAAGATGATGTTCTAGGAGCCGCGCCGCGACCGGCGAGATAGTGGTCAAAGAACTTTAAGCCCTCAATCAATGTTGGACCTTGTTGTGAACCAAGGTGTGACCATGGGCCGACGGTTAGGAAAGTCGGTGCTCCTTGTTCCACGAGAACACGATGCTGGTCCATGACCATCGGCAAAACGCTATCGTTCCATCCTGTAAACTGCAAGATGGGAATCTTAACCTTTTGCAGTGCAACACTCTGATTAGCGCTCGACCAAAACGGAGTCGATGTATCACTTTGGCTGATCAATTCTTCGAGCCAAGGTGGCTCCTTATTCTGCAAATGGTCCTTTATACCATCCATCAGAGGCAGAGAATCATAAACCGGCTGTAAAGTTTGAGGCAATTTCCTGATGTATGGCAAGCCAGGAGTGATACCCCGCTTCGGAGCAGTCATCAAAGCCGCCCAGGCAATCATATGAGTTTCCATCGCCCCGGTGCCCCAAGTAAAAGCACCAAAGTCCACTGGGCCGGTACTAATAACAGCAGCTTTCATGTCCGGCGGTGGATCCGTCAGAATAGCCCACTGCGTATGTCCAAGGTACGATCCTCCGTAAGTAGCGAAAGAACCAGTATACCAAGGCTGTTCACGCATCCAAGCAACAGTCGCAAGACCATCTTGTGCTTCATGAACCGCAGGGACGATTTCCTGGCCATCAGAGGGATCTGTGCCTCTGCAGGCGGCGAGGAGGACTTGATAGCCTCGTGAAGCGAACATACGTGCGTTACTGAGAGCCATGAGAGGTGCGATGCCGTACGATGTGCGGATGAGAATTGTGCCGAGGGGAAGGGTGGTTGGCTGGTATAGATTTGCAGCGAGTTTTACATCTTCGATTGGGATTTGGATGAACTCGGTTGTGTAGCTGCTTGTTTCTCGGGGGAGGCCGGACCACCACCCGAAGATGCGGTCGACGAAGAAGGTGATCCAGCCGCGTTCAACGGGCGGCATTTTGTCGTGGTTTGAGTGAAACTTATGGGGCTTGCCCTGGCTTCTTCAAGGCGAAGATGGTGTTTTCATTACATCGCATGAGAATTTCGGGATTTACGGATGTTCATCAAGGCAGCATTTATCAATGACGGGATTGTCAGAGTTGCATTATGGTTAGTGCTGACAAGTCGCTCGACCAATTGTTGGAGTCTCCAACCCCGCATTCGCGAGAGATGAGCTTCCGACTCCGAGCCTACCGAATTGAGTCTGAAGAGTGATTACTTGGAAGAGCAAAGGAAACAAGATAAGGCGAGTCGGCTAACCTTTTATTAAGTGCGTTCTCAGTCCCTCCGTCACCCTTGTAAAAAAAATATTTAGTATTCATCAACTACCACTAAATTTTATCCGACTGGCATATTAAGACTTTGGCCTTGGGTTTTTGACTGCCATCTACGACTTACAGACTTCGGCCAAGTAAGAAGTCATTTATCTTCTTCAAACCCTGTAAGTCCCCCTCCACAGTTCCCGACAGCTCCTTAGACACCCAACCATTTGTAAACCCTCCACCAAAGTCAATCAGCCACGCGTCATTCTTTTGGTCAACAAGTACATTATCGGGCTTTGCATCACCCCAGATAATACCAGCAGCATGAAGTTGCTGGAGCGTATCATTGACCTGCTGAGCCCATGTTTGCCTCGTCTCCCTCGATATGTCCGGATTTGCTGCACAGCGCAAGGTTCTGTGGCCGCAGTCGATATAGGTCAAGAGCAAGCCGAAGGCTCGCCCGGTGTCATCTCGCGCTAGGCCAATGAGACGCGAGACTCGAAGCGACTCGTCCAGCTGGGCGTTGTGTATGCTCTTGTATCTGTCAAGCTCATTGATGAATGACTTCTCGTCTCCGTGCCTCATAGGCTTGAAAAAAGCGCTCTTCCCACCTTTCAAAAGAACTTTAGAAGGCCTGCATGATGGCGGCCCGTGGGTATTTCTCTTCATGGGCAATTGAATGTCCTTCGGATCATACCAAGCCCAAGGCGCGCAAGTCTCTTCTGGCAGTTGAATACCGAATATGGGGGTCACCTCGCTGCTATCGTTGGACGGAACAGCGACAAGCTTATCTCCATTTCCTCGGATATCATATCTGTGTGTTTCAGGGAAGAGGAAGTGTTGCAATGTCAAGGGTGTCGTGATCTCTGGAACTTGTCTGAATTCAGGCAGAAGCGGCACGACAATCCAGTCATAAAAGTCTTCCAGCGTGTACCCATCAAGCTCATAGTTATCAGCAACTTTCAAAAAGAACAAATATTTATTTTTCAAGGTCGGGGCCTGGGAGAAGCTGTCTGCAGAGGCGTGAACCATGAACTGGCGGTAGTTGCACATTATTATAAACTCGGTGTCGGTATCCTTGGTACTAAAGGTGAATTCGAGCACGCTCCATGGCGGCGGCACTGTCGCATCTGAAATCATGTCCATCTCGTTATATTTTAGAAGCGTAGAGAGCCAGGGAGGTTAAGCGGTGGAGCCGTGGAATGGTGAAGAGGAAAAAGTTGGGGTCGGCAAAAAATGAACAAACGGGATTCCTTTTTCTGCCCTACTATTGATTTGTTTGTCAGCAATCTCACCCTCTACGCAAGCCATTCCTCACATGCAAATAGAACACACAAATTCTCGAACAATAACATTCCCACAAGCTACAATGACAATTCTTAATAATAGGCCAGCTACCAAACAATCATACTGTCTCATCCCCAGGTCCCCAGTATCTGCTCAAATACAATCTCCCCACCAGCAATTTACCCTCACGATCCTTTCCATCACGTCTCTGTTCTGTGAGCTGAACACTTAGTTCCCCTTCACCGCTTTCTCCTCCTCCTTCAAAATCGCATTCACAGCAGCGAACAACGTCCGAACAAACACCTCGTAGTCATACTTTGTAAACGGTCTCGTTGCTTCTTCGTCCTTATCCTTGGTCATCTTTTCCGCCATGGTATCAACATGCTTCTCGGTAGCCAACAGAACAATCTTCCGCGGCTTCCCGTGTTTCTTCTGTGCCTGTTCAAATCTCGTCACAATGCACCTCTTGATCAGCTCGGTAGTTCGCCGCTCGCTTACTTGGTCCTCGCACTCATAAATGGTTGTCAACCACTTTGCCTGCATGTATTCTTTGAGGATCCTGTTGTTCAGCGCCTCGGCTCTTGCCTGGCCTAGCTCAAGTCTAAGAGTCTCGATTTCGGTTGCATCACGGTTGTCGGTCTGTGAACTCGAAGAGGGTTGGCCAGATAGCCGGGATGGATAAGACAAGTCTGGATGTGTGTTAGCTCTGAGGGGCAACAACTTACCTTGACGATCCAGGAACGGGGAATCCTCAACTCCATAGAATCTCCAGGCAAGGATAACAGTCCCTGCATTCTCGATCAAGTCAAATGAGTCCTTGTACATTGAAAAAATCGATAAGGAGGCTGTTCGCGGCTGTCCGTTTTCAGGATTGCTCCTCAGCAATTTGTAGTACTCCACTTCCGATGTAACCACCATAGCCACCATACCAGCTTCAATTTTCTCAATCGGAGCAACTGCGCAAAGACAAGGGGTAATATCTGTGAGAGCCATGAGGCGCACCTTGATCTTATTCCTGTAAGCATCGAAAATACATTTGACAAGCGTGTCAGTTGAAAGAGGCGGAAGTGGACGAGGAAGTGCAAAAATGCCATCAGAGTCCTGGATGATGAGATTGTCGTCTCTGTAGACGTCGAGACTTCTGGGTAGCTCCATCACAGCGGCCGAAAGTTGTTAGATTTGGTGGTGAGATGAATGTCTTATCTTTGAGGGTCTGTGTTAAGATTGAGTTGCGATTGTGCGTTAGGGCTGTATCCAGGCTTGTGGTATTCCTTTGATACTTATACTCTTAGTACTTTCTTATCGGTTATATGAACAAAGTCCATGTTCTGTCGTAGATTTGTACGCATGACTACTCCAGCTATTCGATCGAAGTAAGGTCAGAACAAAGGACAAAGGAACTGAGGACATCTGAGCTGACAATGGGCTATGAACACATGAAAGTAGGTGCCAATGCGTTACGGACCAAGCAAGACTGCAATGGCACTGCCATACCGCGTTCTGGTATACCCTTTGAGTCAGAAGCACCGAACAAGATGAAGTGCCACTGGAACAAGAAAACTGCCACTGCGACTGAAGATGAGAATTAACTGATGTTCTACTCCCATATATAATGTTTTGATCCGGGATAGAAACTCTTCGACTCAAATATCTTGTCAACAGCCTTCATCCGAGAAACCCCATCCACCATCAAGAACCTCTCACTATTACTCTTTACCAAAGATCAGTCAACCTTTCATCCCAACTGTCTGCCCATCATGGCTCCCTCCGCACCCATCATCTACCCATCCAAGATGTCCCCCGGCATCCAAGACACCTTCAAGCACCACAACGCTCACCCCCTCGAGTACCGCGAGAAGCCCCTCTTCGTCATCGACGTCGCAACCGTCGAAGACACCGTCCGCGACTTCATAGCCTCCATGCCATCCACCGCCAACATCGACGTCGTCCACTTTGCCGCCGTCAAGGCCTGCTCCGGTAATCCCGTCACCGACGTGTACGACCAGCTTCGATGTGGTTTCGACTGTGCCTCTAAGGGTGAAGCCAAACCCCTTGTCGATAGAGGCATCAATCCCGCTCGTATTTCGCTTGGGAACTGCAATCTTCCAACCAACGAGCTTGAGTGGGGTATTGAAGTTGGTATTCAGTACTATGCTGTTGATAGCACTTCGCAGGTCCATCGTATGATCGAGGCAGCTGGTCGCGTTGCGAAACGTAAGGGTTGTGATGTGGCCACTATTCTCGCTAGCATCAAGCCTTTCTGTCGTCTTGTCTGTTCTGGAAAAGGTTCCGACAAGCCCTTCTCTGCCAAGTTTGGGGTCGATCCCGAAATGGCCTTCACTATCATCGAGGAAGCTCAGGCGCATGGTCTCACTTTCATTGGTCTCTCGGGTCACCCTGGGACTCAAAACGTCGCTATCGACGCTTTTGTCCAGTTTGGGCAGCTCTTCCGTGGTGTCTTCGACCGTGTCAAGACCGAACTCGGCATCACCATGACTCTGGCCAACATCGGTGGAGGATGGGCTGGTATCTCTACCAGGACTTCCCCCTCGTTCGTCGAGTACAACAAACCCACTATCGACATTTTCTCCTCCGTCTTCGCGGACTGGCCCGTCAAACTGATCCTCATGACGGAACCCGGACGCGCTTTCATCTCCAAAGCTGGATGGCTTCAGACTCATGTCATCAACGTCTCCAAGCACACCGCCGGTGCTTCCGTCTCACGCGTCTTTCTCTCCGTCGGCACTCTCCACGGACTAAACGAGGCCAACAAGATTTCCTTCGAGTGGTACACGTCTGCTCCTTCTGAGAAGACGAAGCCTTGTGTTCTGTATGGTGCCAGCTGTGACAGCTCGGACATCATCCTTGGGAAGGACGCCAACGGCAAGGAGAAGACTGTTGATCTTCCCGATGTCCTTGCTCCGGATCATCTTGTCTGGGTCTATGGTCCTGCTGCTTATGGGCCGGACTACTCGACTTCCTTCAATGGCGTTCCTCCCCCCCAGGTCATCTATATCAACTCCAAGAATGAATCCGTCTACATCACTTCCACGAAGGGAATCACCTACGAAACTGACAAATCGGTTCTCCCCACATGGCGGGTGTGAGACAGCATTCGGCTTTTGTTTTTGCAAGATAAAAAGGTTAGAGACCCCAACTAAAGGAAAAGGATACACCACTTTTGACTTTGTCTTTGCAGCGATAGCGCACTCTTAGTTTTCAGGAAACTCCATAGTTGGCAAAATTATGTCTTGTCTTGAAAACTTCTTATTCCCTTTAATTTGTGACTTTATGGTATGACAATAGACATAATACGGTGATGTTGACTTGATCTTGTATGACCTTCACAACAGACCCACCCTTCCTCATCGTGGGATCTCGCCTTGAATCTGTTGCTTGACTGCATCTAATACATAATAGCACTGAGTAAAAACACTATTGAGTGACAACAGATCTTAGAAAACCTGGAGCGCATGCGAAATTGAGCCCTCCAATGTCCTTCTCTTCCGTTAAAGGGCATCTAGAGTGTTTGAAGATTCTATTAGAACATCTTCCCTCACACTGAAGCTACATAAACACTATAAGGTCCTGCTCGTGATGCCAGATTGACATCCCTAAGCGTATCGACGAAGCTTGAAGCAAGAAGTGTAGTGCCTACAACAGGCTCATGAGAATGAGCAAAAGAACTACCTTTTTTGTTACATGAAGCAGATCAGACAATGAAAACGAATCCAATACCATTCCCAATCTCTGCATCCTTGTTCAACGCATAAATAGGCACTGAAAAGAATTAAAGCTTAAAGTCCAGACACGATGAGGCATTCATCCAAGCCTTGAGCCATTAATATATACCAATTGCCTCACCAACAACACTGCGAAAGATACCATCGGGGTCAAACTTCTCTCGGACTGCCTTGAAACGAGCAATATGCTTCAAGCCAATATCAGCATCCCGATCTCAGTCGCGTGGAAACAAACTTACATCGGGGTCGAGATTCTTCGCAGAGCGCTGAAATACCTCTTTTGTATTCTTGGTCCAATGCGGACGACACGGGAATTCGTCAATGAGCGTTTCCGCAAGTTTGTGATCTATCAACCTGTCAGCTGAATCACTCCCTGGCGATCTATGGAGCCAACTTACAAAATGGTTCGTTATATCGCAGTCCATCGCCGATACTTGGTTTGTAAGATGGGAAGTCCAACATGATAGCACCTTTATCCCAGTCGGCGCCATCGGAAGTACCGTAGGTCACCTGACCCAGGAGATCGAAATAGGGTCTGCCAAACTTGATGTTGATGCCGCTTCTGTAGGTCGATGCCATAAACTTGAGTTTCTTAGCCTCGTTGTCGAAGAGCTGACGAACGCGCTTAAGCATTGCATTTGCTTGAGTCACGGGGAAAGCAAGTTCAAGAGTATAACCGTGGATACCGTATTCCCAAACTGGCTTTTGGTCGGGATATAAACCGCCGATGAGAACGTCGTAGTTCCAGCCATAGACGGGCCACTTGGTGATAGGTTCGTTGGTCGTCTTTTCTCGAAAGTTGGGGTTTTCCCATTGTCCAAAAAGGATCTCTTCGGCCAGGAGGTTAGAGAGGGCGACGCCTTTTCCGGTGTTCCAGAGAGCTGTGATGGCGCCGGCTTCGAGTTGGGTTATTGAGAAAGTATTCTGGAAACCCTCCTGGTCGCTCTTGTCGGTTGGAATGACGTCATAATACCGCCAGTGGAATTTCTTCTTGTGGGGCCACCACTACAATCATTTAGTTCCGGTCAAGAAGTATAGCTGAGTATGGAGTACTCACCCAAAGATTGGCTGTGGCATAAGGCGAAATCATACCATAGATATCCCCGTTTAGAACATCAGCCTCGTCGAGCGTCTTCTGATCGGCGTAGACCTTAAAGTCGGGATAGATCTTAAACTTCATTCTCACAATCACACCAAGGAGACCAAGAGATGTCGAGGCAGCAAGCCACTCATCACTATCATCACGCTCCAGGTGTCGCAACTCGCCGTTGCCATCGATGATATCCAGAGCCAAAACACCAGCCGCAACCATAGAGTCCTCCCGAATAGAAGATCTGTGCGCGCCCATGGCTACACAACCGGCGAGAGTGATGTTCCAATTGACAAGCGTATATCCCGCAGATGCACCGCGTTGGTGCAGGTAATCTGCGAGCTGCAGGAATGTCACGCCAGCTTCGATCATCACAGTCCCAGCGTCGAGGTCAAGATCATAGATCTTATTGACCTGCTCTGTACGAACGATGACAGTATTCGGATCGTCGGAACACATTGTGTCGTACCACATATGTGCTTTTCCAGACGCGCGAACCCTCTGGCCTGCCTTGATGGCGTTTTGAACAATGTTTTGGATGTCCTTGACACTAGTTGCGTCACGAACAGCCGAGACATTCTGGCAGGCTGGGAAGCCGGGGCCGTCGAAAGTGTTGTACGTGAGAGCACTAGCCCCAACGGCCAAACCCAATGCGGCCAAGCATCGAAGAACTGTCATGGTGGTGGGAGAATTGATGAACCACTGGCGATAAAGTTCAAGTAGCAGCCATTTTCAATAGATTAGAAGTAATCCTATTGTATTTAAGCTTATTCCCAACAACCAAAAACATAGAGTTAATTACGCTCCGATAAGCGAGTTCCATGTGAAAGTCTAGCACGAACGCCGAGCAAAAGCTAAAGCCCCGCGTAAGGTCGCATTCACTAAACCTGGAGTTGGCGATCAGCATCATCAGATGATGGGCAGTAGCTCTCTTCAGGCAGGTCCCCTGCCCAGAATGGCACTTTACGCGGGGAACTCACCAAGTGAAATAGCGTTCCTGGTTTATTGCCCCAGAATGGGTAGTTCCGTGATCTGCTGATTTCTCAATTCGGTAGGGTTTGCATAGAACCCCAGTCGTATATGCCGCTCAACTAACGTTACCCCGCGTTTTGAACTGGATTGTTAGTGAGGCACAGTAAATGTCGTCTTGATCATGACCAAGTTCACGTCGGCTTCAATTGTGAGATTCAAGGCTTGATTCGCGGAAGTGAGGATCCGACATGTGAAAGGTTTTGGAGAGCATCCCTTCCAAGACGGTGAATGCGAGACGCAACTCGCCAAGGTTGAAAAAAAGTCTGGGCAACACTATTACCAATGACAGGTCAAGTATGACAGGATGAAGCCCAAACAGCATCATGGCGAGACTTACTATCCGCAGTAAGACCTGAATATATACGGCATCGCGGCAGTTGCTCTAAATTAAACCTGCTTACCCTAGGCATAACAAGCTACTTATGATCCTCTTACAAAAATCAAGCTGTCAACTGCGGGGTCGGATGCGGGACAACAATATTCCAGGTACAGACTATTCCGTCATAGCAAAAGGAGTAGCCCCACTCAAGGTCTCCCTTTATCTGTCCCAATCGTAACAGCACAAGGAGCAAGCATTGAGATAGCAAAGAAAATGCCTTAATTATAGATATAATCGCTTCAAAGTACTGCGGGGCAAACCTCATCAAAGGACAGACCGACCAAGGCACAAGGTCCAGTGCGTTCCTATCAAGCAGACTAAGGACTAACTCATCGGAGAAGATACCAAGCTACACGCCAATCCTGGCGATGATACCGATGGCAACCCTTTCGATAATACCGTAGGCCTTTTCTGGTTCTTCAAGAGTACTTGTCCCTACATGCAAGCTCGTCACGACTACATTACTGCTATTCTCAATGTCCGCACCGGAGAAGCCGTCGAGATTGCTCTCCGAGAACCTCTTGAAATGCTGCGTCTCTGCCTAGCCGACAACCTCGGCGTTCGCTCACAAGAAAGGCGGCTCCAGTTACGACTGGCGCGACATGATCTTGCCGTTCCTTGATCTCAAGGGAGAAGATGCATTCGAGGCTGTTATCGAGAAACCTTTGTACTACGGCGTTTCCTTAAAAATGGCCCTGACGCTTCTCAAGATTCTTCTAATGAAGGATCTAGAGTCTCTGCAGGGGTTCTTGCAGAAGAAAACCGATGCGACGGGGCAAGAGAGATATGTTTATCTGTAGGAGGAGTCTATGAGCGACATTCTTCAACAGCGGGCGGATATCGTCACGCAAGATGACTACAAGGACTTGATTGCTGAGCTTAAACTTCAGGTACTGCAGTTGTACAAGATGGTCAAGGAGGACAACAAACACATCTGGCCGGGCATTGAGAACCCGAACCTGCATTCATACGATGTGCCGGCCGCTTATTCTCCCGGCTCGCGGCAGGAGGCAGTGCTTACCTTTCGCCAGTCATGGTACTCTTGGTCAGTGACAGAGCCGGCGATACGACATATCAGGGGGATTATCAACGATTATAGGTAAAGAATCTGCCGTATGCACAAGATAAGAGGTGCGTGCCCAGCGCAAAGATATTGAAAAACTGTCTCAAATGACTTGATCTGAATGCCGAGAGAGCTGCCTTGTTCGAGACTCTTGGGTCGAATGAAGTCTCGGGCCGAGTTCTGGTCGATACGCTATTCGCAACTAAAACACGGGGCTAAGCATTTTATGGGGTGCGCTTTGACTTTACGTCCGGTGAGCCTGACACAGACGATCCGGAACAAAACCCCATAGACAGCCATGATCGACAAACGTTTCCGGCTAGCCAGAGCAAGATTCGGTTAGACACCGCGAGTCAGTTGAAACACGAGTCAGTCCCGACGCCACGGTCAGACTTAAACCCGTAACTAAGCCAATACAAATGGCCCCCAACTGTAAAAGGGGAAAATATGGAGTCATCGCGGCATTGAAATTGAACAAGACGAGATGATGTGCCGAGAGGATCGGCCACGTGCGGTCGGATGAGGGTGCCGAACAAGTCCGGTAGAGAAACGGAGGGAATGGGACTAATACAACTTGGGGGATTCTTGCGAGGGAGTTGTTTGAGATTGTGGATGATAGCAGTGATCATAGATGATGGTGCTTTTGCAGTTGAGACTTGTGGCTGAGAGCTTAGATCAGCAGAAAGAAGTTAGTATAAGTATCCAGGCTGCAAAGCCGTCAGTTCCAAGCCAGCCCAACATTCATCACATACCTTCAACAAACAATCAAGTCTCAGCCATGCTTTCACAGTTCATCACCTTCCTCGCCCTCACAGGCTGCGCAGCCGCTGCTCCCAACCCAAGAGCTGCAAAGTGCACATCCTACACCATAATCAACACCCGCGGCACCGGCGAAATGCAAGGTCCTTCCGCTGGCTTCCGCACCATGAACTCCCAAATCACATCCCAACTCCCCGGCGGCAAGATCTACAACACCGTGTACCCTGCCGGCTACGACCAAAACTCCGCGCAAGGCACCCAAGACATCATCCGTGAGGTGAAGAGCGTCTTGGCGTCCAACCCCAGTGAATGCTTCATTCTAGAGGGTTACTCCCAGGGCGCTGCGGCGACTGTGAATGCGCTGTCGCAGTTGACGGGTAGTGCTGGGGATGCTGTTAAGGGAGTTTTCCTGATTGGTGATCCGTTGCATAAGAGCGGGTTAGCGTGTAATGTTGATAATAACGGGGGGACGACGACAAAGAATGTTAATGGGCTTGAGGCTTTTGGGGGAGGAGGTATTCCCCAGAACTGGATCTCTCGCACGCTTGACGTTTGCATCTTTGTAAGTTCACATCGGATCTGGGACTTGAGATTGGTTACTAATGTGATTAGGGCGATGGAGTCTGTGATACGACGCATGGCTATGGTATCAATGCTCAGCACCTTCAGTATCCGAACGATGCGGCGACACAGAAACTTGGAACAACTTTTGTTGTCAAGCAGTTGAGTGGGTAAGGAGCCTGCTTTGCAAGGGAAATGTTCGTTTGTATCTAGTATCGAGAATGGTGATGTATATAGTAATTTGACAGTCAAAATTAAAGTGCTGATGGCCTCTTCATAATAACCACGAGACTAATAATCCAACAATCCATTAGCGCATAGTATTCCTCGTCATTGGCGCCGGGGCTCCAGTTGCATGAAGCAGCCTCAATGTTACTTCAGTTAACGCGATCAGACTGGTATACCTACCATTTCTCCCCAACTTGCAATCCGTTATCAAATCAAAGAGTCGGCAAGATTAGAGCTAACTATGTCAAGGAACGTAACCGAGCCACCTGTGCCCACTGCTCGGTTGCAAGTTCAATGGTACAAGATGCCAGATGATTGATTGAACTTCTGATCCAGCGGCTGGAAGATGGTATAAAATAAATGAAAAATAAGAACCATTGTGACTTTCTCAAGTCGAGCCTCTGAATCGAAGTTATCTATCTAGGCCACTTGAAAGAAATAGAATACGCGTGATGGTTGACTGGCCGTTCTGTGCTGCGACTTTTCCTTGCCGAGATGCGGCATACAATTCGCTCAAGGGTGAGCCAATTACGCGCATGGTACGGAGTACAAGTCCCCGTCCTTTTTGCCTGTCAACGTGGTCAGAAATAACAGTTAGGTTCGGACTACCTGACAAAATAAATCAGATGAGCTCCACCTGTAGCAAGCTGTGACCTGCACTGCTATTCTCGTTCTGCACCTAGCGCTTACTCCACAGCATGAACCTTTTTACTGCCATGTCATGCGACGGATCGGAAGAGTAGATGATCCGCTTCTTGGAGCCAGTGATGAGCTCTTCCCTCCCTGCAAGTCTCAGAATTGCTTTGTGCCAACCCCACCTTTCATTCATCATTCAATTGAGCAGTCACATCGTCACATCATCAAGCGACACCGCCATCACGCACTACAATCCCAGCGAGTCTCTAATAACACATAGACTTTACTCTCCATCACAAACCACCCAAAATCTCTGGTTCCGACCGTTGTAAGCACCGAACCAAGAGGCCCCTCCGAATACCCTCATCATGCCACCAAAAGCACCAAAAGGAGGTGAAACCCTGGCCAGCATCCTCATCGGCGGCACGCTCTATGCAGTCGCAGTGACAGGCATGGCAAGTCTATTTGAGAAAGCAGACGACAAGAAAGATAGCAAAGAAGAGCCCAAGCAAGCAGAGCCGAACTGGTTGCAAAGGAATTTCCCAGCAAAAGAAAAAGGTTATTACATGAAACAGGTTGAAGAGGAATTCAGGGAGCATCACGAGAAGCTGGAAAAAGAACGACAACAGTCACCACCAACATACGACACATCAATTTTCAAATTAACTGAGCAAGATCGCTTGCAAGCAGAGAACATGCTGAAGCCTTGAATAGTTGCGCGGGGTAATATAACGATATGAACTTGAATCCTTATCTATTTCTCATGCCAGTCCTGTCGAATATGCGTGATGTATCGACCAAGTGGAAATGAGGGCGAGTTCTGCGTATCTGGGTGAGAACGCAGCGCCTTGACAGGTCGCTGAACTGGCAGGCTCTCTGCCTGCGAGTGTGCCACTGTCTTTTATCACTTTACTTTCAATGTCAGGCTGAAACAGCGGGCTTGATGTCCTGTGCTGACCCATGTACAATGAACACGCCTCGACAAGCCCGGCTTTCATACCACTGTCACAGATCAATTGACAAGAGATAAAGAAATCTGCACTGCGTATTTTGTGAACAGAAGAAACGATAAAGATGGGAAATGTCAGCCCCCAGCTAATTCTCAACCTTCCAACTTACCATCCGACACCATCATGAATAGCAACACAAATCCGTATCTCCTCGGCCGACAGCTCCAGCAGTTCCGCCAAGACAATCCAGACGACACCCACGCCATTTGGACCGAATACGACCTCTACTACTTCACCCTTTGCCCACTCTCAACCTCTGGGAAAGGAAAAGAGACATATCCTCTTGAATGGCGATACGATGCCGTGCGCTTACGATCTAGCCGCGCCCTATGGAGGACTCTGATGGCGGACCGACACCCCTATGATGATGCGATGGAAGAGTGGCTTTCGAACTGGCGACAGCCCATGATTGAGAAGTGGCGTCAAGACAGGGCTGCGAATAAGAACGGATTTTGGAAGCGGCTCTGGGGTAGATAGATATCGGCTTTTTTCGAGGTCAGCGATATGACCTAATAAGCGCGCATCATTCCCAAGTTGTGCTGGTCGAGTCAAGAGGATCATCCAAAGTTACGAAATTGAGCAGCGCTTGTGGATCCAGGCGACAGTTATTCAACCAATTGCAGCATCTTGTTTTGCAAACTGACCTATTAGCTACCTTAGAATTCGGAACACGGGCCCACAGACGCTACCGAATTTTATAAGTTTATACAGAGGTTTATACTAAAAGTCTTTGCCGGCGCTAAAATCACGCTAAGTAAGGCAAAAGAGCTAGTACCTAAAAATATCGATTTTTATACCTATTTATCCCTGCCTTCTTTATACTTATTTTTACCTTCTAAAGCTATAATTTTTTAAATATATATAGGAATTCTTTTTATTTATACCTAAATCTACTTCTATAGAAGGTTATTTTATATAGCCTCCTACTTATAAATAGCTTTCTTTCTATTCTTTAAGGCGCCTTTTTTTATTATTATCCTCTTTATTTATAGCCAGGCAGGCTTAATAGCATTTAAATCTGGCAAATTTAAATACTAAAGAAGTCTCTAAACTCCCTTAATATTATATAAAAGCTACTATATATAGTATTTATAACTAAAAGCTTAATCTTTTTATATAAAGGTATTTAATCTTTTCTTTTTATATTTTTTTATAAAAGGAAGTAATTTAAGAATTAAGATCTTAATATAGTATTACTATTAATTAATACTGCCTTTTTTTCCCTCTTTTATTAGCTTACTATTAGCCTTATTTTAAGACTATATAGGCTTTTTATCTAATAGGTTATAAAGCCCTAGCCTTCTTATTTTATTTTTAAGTTTTTATTTCTCTTTTATAACTAGCTTAAGCTCTTTATTTATTGCC